TAGACCTCCCCTTCTCCTACCATGTTTGATTGGCATTGGCTCGACCGCCCTTTCTCAAACGGTAAGCGGCACCGGCGATCTCGCTGTGTTGAGCGTCGCGGAGGGGAAATTTTCATGGGATGGCGGGCGGATTGTCAAGCCGCACCCATATCGCTCCGATGGCTCAGGTACCGCGAAATGCTTCTCCAGAGGAAGTTGCAGCATCGCAGTTCTGGGATATGGAGAGGGAGTGGGAGTGACGAGCGTTTGCAGGTAAAAAAGGTTCGTTGCGATAACAATGACATCACGGCTTCTCTTGAACCTGGCACGTGCGCGCAATGTCGCTGAGGGCCCTGTTCGCATGGCTTGAGCGTTGTTGCTCGCTTCTGAGACCAGCAACTGCCTGGCAACGGCTGGCAAATTAAGAACCTTCCGAGCCGATGCGGTTTGACCTCAGATCGAGTGATTGAGTTGGAGGTGCTCAATACCATGTCCCCCACGGCTACTTGCTCGGCCTTGTTGTCAGGCCACATCTGCTGGGTTTGATACAGTACAGTAGTCACAGTAGCAGAGCCTGCAAAAGAGAGAGAGAGAGAGAGCGCGCGCGCGGCATCGGCATCCGAGCGAACAGCGGCGGCCATGTGTGATATGACTGCAACAGCGACTGAGTAATAGAGCCGGCCTACGGGTGAGGTGAGAAGCTGCGCGCTGTCCCACCGTTTCGAGCTGTGGCCGTGCCAGACAAGGCCGCAGTCGCTTGCTGTCGGGAGATAAAGAACATAAATCATCTGCTAATCCCGCCTGGACGCCACCACGACAGCACAGTCAAGTAGTCCAAGTACCCCAAAGTATCTCTGTGTCGCGCCCTCCGCCGCCGGCCTGCCTCTCTTCGCCCCTCAGCATACGACGCACCTCCTATCTCCGCTCCCGTTGGCCTCTTGCATCCGTAGTCAGAACCGGTTGCTGCCGCTTGGCTGTGTGGTGAAAATCCTTGGTGGTGCCCCGGTCTGTTGGGGTTGAGCTAAAAGGCCTTGACCCACCTGTGCATTGGTGCTGCAGCTCCTTGCCTTGCACCCCTGCACGTCCGAGCGCCAGGCCTCGATTTCGCTTCTATCCTGGTTCAACGATTCCCCAATAGTCGCAGCACTGCACGCTTCTTCAGCGCTACCGCCCTCAACACTCTTCTCCATCCCTCCTCATCCACAGCTGTCGGGCCCATTGCAGCCAGAAGACCCTTTTAATAGGACTGCTGCAGCCAACGACTGCATCTTGGTTTGACACACGGCCCCTCTGCCTCTTCACTCCACCACCGCCTCGCCCACGGTTCCTTCCCAGGCCTATATCGTACGATCGCCGTTGCTTGCTTATACGGAAGCCACCGGCCTCGCATCATACTGCACACTTTCGGTCCTTCGAAAGCCTCACCATCGTCTCGATTCTTCTCCAGACCGAGCCCATCCGCCAATTTCGACGTCATTGCAGCTTTCGCTAGCTGTGACCGCCTACGTCGCAACCTTCCCTACCCGCTTCTTACAAGAGCGAGCTTTGCAAGCCGTTCGTCCACCTATATCTGTAAGTCTACTCCCATCACGATATCTACCAGCGGTTCGTATTACACACCGTGTGGCATGGGACATCGTCAGCTCTCTCGCTGTGCTTCATTCGCTTACGCTGCTTCTTCAGACTCCTCGTTATAGTAATTCTTTTAATGCTCCCTACACACTGAAGCCCCTCCACCACCACCACACATTCGACCCGCTTCCTTAACCCCACGAAGCCGACCGAATGCCTTACACTCCCCCCTCCCAGCGGTCGCCGGCCTCATCCAAGACTAACAGTCCTACCCTGAGCCGGAACCACTCCTACGTCGACCAGCCTCCCCGCTCACCGGCAACATCACAACGGCCATCGCTGCCCCGCTCCGTCTCATCAACTTCATACCTGGCCAAGTCGCGACGGTCGCCATCTTCTGTTACCAATGACAACACCGCTGCAAACGGCCAACAAGGAACTGGAAGCGTAGACATCAAGTCTGACGCTAGCCGCCATGGTCCCTCAACTAATGGTAGCCTCCGTCCGTCTCCTCCTCCTGTGAACGATCTTCTGATTCCGTCAGGTGCGATCACGACTCCTCCTGATTCCTCGGACGATGAAGAGCGCGGTCGTAGTTACGGGGACCTCCGCGAACTTCAACAGGCTCTCCAGCACATCGACCAGAAGCGGATATCTTCCCCTACCCGAGCGACTACCGAGAATGTAAAGCAGACAAGGCCGCAGCCTCTCGTCACCGTGGCGCGCACACTCTCCGCGGAAGCACGCAAGATTGCACACTCGCGGTCTTCTAGCGAGATCATGCTCTCCCAACACATGATCCACCCCATCAACACAGACACAATCATCAGCTCATCAGATGGCAGCGATGCCGAAGACGAGGAGCTGCGGATAAAACCGCCGCTACTGCGCAAGAAGTCTGGCGAACTTGTTAAGCCTGCTCTTCGACCCCCGTCCCGCCGCCGCCCTTCAAGCATGCCCGGTACCCCGACTTACTCCAAAGCAGTCCACTTCAACGAGGACATTGAGCAGGTCAGGCATTTCCTCCAGGTCGACCGGCCCATCGCTGTCAGTGCAGGCTCTTCCCCTGTCGAGACTTACGACAGCGAAAGCGAGTACCCCTTTGGAGACGACTCGCGGTCCAAGACACCTGAATGGGATATTAAACTGATGAACTTCCCTACCCAAGAGACACATGAAAGGCAAACAGCACCTGTTCGTGTGGAGCGAATCTTCCTTGCTTCTGATCATCAGACGCTGGTCGGCAACATCGCAGTGGCTAACCTCTCCTTCCAAAAGTTCGTCGTGGCTCGATTCACACTGGACTACTGGAAGACCACCTCCGAAGTGGTTGCTGAGTTCAACCAGGACGTTCGCAAGAAGCAAAAGGACGACGGTTACGACCGATTCAACTTCAACATCAAGTTGGCGGACCAGGCAAACCTCGAATCCAAGACTTTGCTACTGTGTGTTCGGTACCAGGTCAACGGCCAAGAGTACTGGGACAACAACAACTCGATGAATTACCAGGTTGACTTCTCGAAGAAGGTTAAGCAGCGTGAGAGCAAGCGCCCCACTGCCAGTCTCGGTGCTGTTCCTCGCAGCCGACACTCACCTCTGGCTCCTCGCCCACGTTCCATGCCTGCTACTTCATTCGACGATGACTTTGGTCACGACAGTGAGACCGGGTTCCAGTTTGGTAGCGGCCGTGCGATCATTTCTGAATCACCTAGCTCGTCGATCAAGCTCAAACCCAGGACCAAGCGCAGCAGCATCTATGCAGCTCAGGTCTCATCTCGTCCACAAGTTGCCCAGGCTTTCGCCTCCCGTTACGACTTTGGTGCCTCTCTTTCGGCTGCTCTTTCCACTGCCCAGACGGCACTTGGAGATCGCAGTGGACTCAAGGTGAACACCCAAGGCAAGATGAACAACGGTTACTTCGACCGCCCTGCCCCTGCTGTCCAGGCGCCCGCCTCCACTGCTCCTGTACCTGGTACTCGCCCTGACTCTCTGACGCTTGAGAAGCCCGATCTTCAATCTGCCGAATATAACGAGTTGATCCAGAAGTTCTGCTTTGTACGTTCTCAACCTCCACCTCAGCACCCTGGTAGCTTGGCCTAGACGGAAACTGACTCGCATCCAGTTTGGCACACCCACTGGCAAAATCTCTCCAAACGTCACAACGCCTTCAACAAAGAACGTACATGGCGACGGAGCCCAGGACTACGTGTTCAGCCACACTACTGGAAGCAATCAGTCTTCGGCTACAAGCAGTCCTCCATCGCCTGCCATGCCGCTTATGGTAGATGGTGCGAGTGACCTTGTCATTCCCCGAAGCTCATCACCCTTTATCTCTCATCAAGCCTCGTCCGGTCCTCTTACCGGCTACTCACCCGAGGACCAGTATACCTCTCAATATCAGTTTGGCTATAGTATGCCAAGTGGTGTCTTCACCGAGCGCAGCCAAACACCTCAGGCTTGCGTTTAAGAAGTCAATACATCATCTGAATTTGTGGGGGTACTTGCTTTCTTTTCGCGTAACGAATCTCTTTGGACACGAATCACGCTTACGACCTGACTGATGGACGAGTGGAGCGGATGTTCCTGGTCTGCCGGCAACTGAGCGCTCACGAATCTTTTTCACTACGGTACGAAACGTTGTTGTGGGCCAGCGATTAGCGTTCCTCGCGATGTCTTACTAGAGACGATCGTCTTATCCAGCATAATCCGGACGGCTTTTTTGCAGCATCTTCCTGTTGGCTTTCTTGCATGTTTTTCAACGGCGTACATTGGGTCCCATTATGGCGTTCCTCGGACATCTTTATTCTTCCTCATCCTTTCTCGTACAATGGATTGGTGTTGTAATGCTCTATGAGCGACCCCACTCTGGTTTCGGCGTTAATTGACGGTCGCTCCTGATCTGTGTGTTCGCAAAAGCTTGGGATGGTCTTGCATTTTGGAGCGCTTTTCTCATTATTCATAGGATTCGTTGATCCGAATCCTCGTAAATAGGCGGTAGGAGAGGCAGAGAATGCGAGAACGTTGTTGTCTAAATTGTGTCAATTGTAGTATCACTTGTGCGATATCGTGTTCGTTCGTATGCGGCGTTGGGAATCTCATCGTTACTTGGGTTGGCGTGACGCGGGGTGAAGGCTTTCGGCAAATGTGGACCAGCCACCCTATATAGCAGTAAATGTAAAAAACATATCATAAACCGCTTACCCTCATTTCACGATGTATCCACCTTCGTGCACCTCGTGAGCATGGCCTCTGCCGCCGATTGTAAAGCTATTGGTTCTGGATCGTGACTTCCCCAGCCATGTGACCGTGGTCTAAGCTCGCTAGCGTCCCTGGGACCTTGAATTATCTTCCACAACTGCATCCGAGCGCGTATTCATCCACGACACAAGCGAGTTGTGTCCCAGTCGAGCCGTATCGTGGTCCCGTGTTCGTCGTTCTTACGTGTCACGATGTCCTTCTTCTTCGGTAGCAAGAAGGTGCCTCCGCCGCCGCCTGTTATACCGCCGCCTGTCCCCCGCTCAGGTCCGGAAGTCGACGCGACGACCGTGATTTCGCTCTTGGCTGTACTCGCTCTGCTCGGTGGCGCTTATGGTGCTTCGATAAAGGTTCTGCCGAAAACGACTACCCTCAAGATACGCGTACTGTTCATCTGGCACCTCTTCGATGCTCTAATCCACTTTGTCTTCGAAGGCTCTTTCCTATGGAATTGCTTCTTCGTTACGTATTCGCTGCCCACCTCTTTCTCTGCCGCATCACGCAACCACCCTCATATCACCCTCTTTACTCCTCCAGACGTGTATTGGCTGGGTAGGCAGGATCTCCTCTACGGAGCAAACTATGGGACGGGTCCATTCAGTCGATTGTGGCAGGAGTACGCGAAGGCGGATAAGCGATGGGGAGGTACGGATCTAACGGTTGTGGCTCTCGAGATTCTGACAGTCTTCGTGGCGGGTCCACTGGCATGTTGGATATGCTACCTTCTCACCAAAGACGCAAAGAAAGGTGTACTGAAGAAGTGGTTTTGGATGATTGTACTGGCCACAGGGGAAATATACGGAGGTGAGTCACAAACACTTTCATTACTTTGTTCCAGTTAATACGGAGCATGTGCAAATTGTGGAAGCGGTTACAATTGGGTGAGGCGAGATGTGGGCCCGGCCCGAGGATTGTTGAGATGAGACAACACTGCGTTGTTGCGAGTATGTGGCTGACACGTGGTTCACCGCTACATTAGGTTGGATGACTTTCGCGCCTGAGTGGCTGACTGGAAGCCCCAATCTCGACACAAGCAACTGGATGTACCTGTAAGTCGATTGTTCATGTTCGTTATGTGCTTCCTATCCTATACAATCATGTTTTCTTCGAGAGTTGCGTAAAGACTGGGTTGCATGGCGGGTTCATTGCATAGCTGCAACCGTCCATGTCGTCTCTTTTGTATGCATCTTCCGTGGAGTTTACACACAGAATATGTACTTTCACATGCGTTGCATGTGTTGTTCCTGGCCTAGGAGCAGTGATGTGCTGGTCCTGCATATGCGCTGGCGGGTGCGCCATCTCCCGCGGACCCACTTCTCATCTCTCGACCACGACCACGCGAAACATTACAACTCAACATAACAACGCACAAAACATGCCAGTCGCATATGTCATCACGCCAATTTTGTCATGTTCCTCGGCCTGTTCAGTCTGCCATTTTTATACACCGTATGGTTCGGGGATAGTGGTTCTCGACTAACATCCAACAGCTGGCTGTACCTTGCGTTCTTCAATGGCCTATGGGTCGTCTTCCCCCTTTGGGTTCTATACGAAGCATACCGAGCTATGAGCTCCGCCATGTCACAAGCTGAGATGGTCGACCTGGTCAACTATCTTAAGAAGGATGACTAGACAGCCACGTTATGGAAGAGCATGATATGTAGATGATGTGAATATAACGGCAAGGTCTTACGGCATGCGCATGTCACCAGATGTACAACTCGCGATCAAATAACGCAACAACACACCTTTTCTGAAGAGCTGTGTACTACACATTTCAGTACTGGATATCATCATAAAGCTACAGGAAAGATATATCTCCTACAAACGAGCGTAATACCCGCATTCTTACGCACATTTACCCCACTCTACTGTTCCACCACCACCACTCAAGCCCACACTCTCGCCCTAGCCTTTGTCCCATCACGTCTCTTTACATGGAAGTACTCAACATCACAGTAAACATCTCCATTCGTATCTCTTCATCCCTGATCTCTCTGAGTGGTCCACGTCGCCACCCCTTCATCTGAGCTAGCTTATTGGCCATTGTAAGGATCTTGGTATGCGCTTTTGAGGAGGTCTGAGTGGCGACTGGCTTTGAGGAGATGGGTAAGATGCAACCAGTAGATGGGGTGTGTGGATGGCCCAGATGTGGGTAGGTGGTTGGAATGGGAGTTCGAGCTTCTGACAAGAAATCATGGGTGGGTGAAGAGAATAGGATAAGAGTAGAATGGGTATAGAACTGGGCTGGGTTAGAGGGCACGGGGTAGGAGGTATTTTGCCTTTATTCAATGGGTGTTTGCTAATGAGTGCATGGCAGTAGACACGCGACAACGAGTCTTCGTTGTGTCGGATTTCTAGAATCGCATGTGATGCTTGCTTCTTACGAGTTCCTCGCAAGTCTCTTTGCAACGCAACTCCATTGTGTGCAGGGATTCCACGCACTAGCGATGATACGAGACGTGTATCAAATTGTCAAGCCTTTTCTGGACGCAATGTATCAACAAATTGGCCTCATACGTAGGAACAAGTACTTCTTGATAGATTTCACTGGCATCCTTACTGCTCATTTGGTTGCTACGCCTATCTTTTTTGTTTTCGATTCTACATGCTGGCATGACTTGCTCGGTTTAATAATGAGTTGGGTGTGCGACTTATTGGGGGCTAATACTTATTATGACGGTCTAGAGAGACAGGCAGAGCTTGAAAGACGCCTGGCGGCACGGCGCACGGCGCGAAGGATGGACTTTCATAATAACGACAATACTCGTGCTATCGCACAGTCTTCAAATCAACAAACTCCCCTTGGACCAAGCGATCCTGAATATGCTTTCCTCAGGGAACATGCCAACCTCCAGAATAGATCCTTTGGGGAGAAGGAAAAAGACAAGGATCTCCAAACTCACCTCGCAATAATTCCCAAGTCGCCGCAGATTCTGTTAGACAAAGATCGCGAAAGAGCTAGCCGAAAACAGCTTTCCGAAAAGAATAACATTTCAAAAGAAAGTAAGTCGGGCCAGAATCTTTCGAAATCCATTGTAAAGAGGGGCTCCATCTCCCAGTTTCCTGGCACAAGTGAGGTCTCACCGGGTGTACAACCCAAGGGCCAAGTTACCACAGCTAGCAGCGCTAAAGCCACCAAATACAACATCTCACACATTGCTTCAAAAGTCCCTTCGAGGACCAAGGCTCTTAAGAAAGACTCGAATCCTACTAAGACGTCGACAAGTAGACTTGGTGCTACCGAGTCTCCCGAAGTCTCCACTACAAACCATAACACATCAGTCGCCGCTATTAAGGCTACTACAAGTAAAGCACCATCTCCGGTTCCCAAGACGTTGCCTGTGCGGGCCAAGCCTGGAAGCTCTTCGAACAACCCTGCAGGAAGCCAGTAGTTGCAGCTCAGAAGAAAGCCTCAGTAACAAGCTCGAAGGACCAGAAGAAGAGTGGGAATGATGGACCAAAGAAGAAGCCTTGAATGGATCTCAAGAAATGGGGTTTGTTTGTACAGAGGGGTAGTAACTTATCGAAGTTTGTGCCGTGCGGGAATCGTGGTCAGACTGCGGAAAGGACTTGGCTGTGCCTGCCTTGAGGGTTTTAAGCGAAAGCCTTTCGTTTTTGTTGCTGATGAGGCCGCATTTTGCAAGTGGCATGTGATCACCACATGTATGAAGTTAAGATTACTGGATAGTGGAGGAGGCGTGGGATTGGAAGGAACTAGACTGTATCAGGTATGGCTGTTCTAACTTGACTGCTTGGTTGCATCTTGGTAACTTCCTTCTTTGCTGCCGTTGTCTTGAAGCCTTTAGCCTGCTGATGCTTCTTGTTCCTTTGTAAAATATCATTGGGATACAAACATCCCACGGTCTCATCACAACCTGACATGCACTCAGACTAAACACGAACGGTCGGAATGCTGACGAAGAGATTGCGCTGCTTCGTTGCATATGCTTATTTCCACTCCTACAAACGGCAATACGACTTCACAATGATCCACAGGGCCGTGTAGCTCAACTACTTGCATGTTGAGCAAATTACCACCAGATCTATCACATAAACAGCATGATGCATCCGTGTCATCCATTTTGGGTATCATATCATCCTATCTTCTCCCCACCCCACCCACCATAACTTTTCCCCCATCACTTCTTCCCCAACTCCGCAAGCACTTTCCTAGTGCCCTCAACAATCAGTCCATGCTCAACTCCATGAATCCTCTCTTCTAGCTTATCCAATGTCTCTCCCTCCTTCAACTCCACCTCTTGAGTAACAATGGCGTCTCCAGCATCCACCTCGGCAATAACCTCATGAATCATAACACCCGTCCTCTTCAGCCCTTCCTCTTTACCCGCCTTCCATGCGCGCTCAATCGCGTTCGCGCCCGCAAACTCGCCCGGCAAAGCGGGATGTAGGTTTATTATCTTGATGCCCGCCTCGGCGATGGGTGAGAGAAAGGCAGTAGTAACAATGTGCATCCAGCCTGCGCAGACGATGAGATCGGGGCGTGGGTGTGGCCCGTGTAATATTATGTTTGCGAGGTCACCGTCATATTCTTCACGGCGGACCGCGTCGGTGGCATCGGGGTGTTTCTTTTTGTAGGCGACGAGATTGTGGTAAGTTGTTGTTATTGAGGCCTTGTTGGCGCGTTCGAGACCGTAGGCCGCTTTGCGACTGCAAATCTGTCAGGTTCATGAAGCAAAAAGGGTATTTGAGGACTGAGGTACTTTGATATAACATGTGTTATGCGCGTGTTGGGGAGAGCGCCGGATGCGCATGCGTCGATGAGGGCTTGGAGGTTCGAGCCATTGCCTGAGATCAGGACGGTGAGGTTGAAATGGCGATCTGACATGGCAACTATAAAATGTTCGAACTGCACAGGAATAGTCAATGTGGCTGTCTTTCGATGCCGTTCAGGTGTTTGGGTTCCAAAATTTGGGCGTGGGGTAGCTCTGCCCCGCGCGGAGATTAACTTCCAATCGCCGGACTGATGTATCTGGTAGCACTATACGCAAGCATTTCGTGGATTGGGTATACTGCCTAAACTATAATTATGAATGAGACCTCGAGATAAGACTTCGGCACAGATTACGATCTTCGGGACATCCTAGTCAACCAAGAAAGCTTCTGCTCTCACTTGGATACCTTGAATATCAGGACAGCCTCTCACTTTACGACCGCATCCTTTTCGAGCTGGCTACTGACACTTCATCCATATCTTCCCACTCGTCATCCTCGTCATCTTCGACCACGACCGCTCTCTTCCTCTTGCTTCTCGCACCAGCTGCGGGCACAGAATTTTCGTCGGCTGCAAGACTCTGGCGCTTCTCCAACCCTTCTAGACGCTCTTCGAACTCCTCCTGCTGCGAGTCGACTGCAGACTCCAGCTTCTCCACGCGTTCTGCGACATCCTCCATCTGGTCCAACGCATCTGCGTTCTGGCTGTAGATTCGGTGCTTGAGGGCCAACCGCCAAAAGTAGTATTTTCTATCGTTCTCGTTGCTGGACTTCGCTTTCCTTGTGATTCGTGCGCGATTTCGGTTGTTTGGCGGGATTGTCGACAACAAATGGAGCTCGACCATCCTGTAGAACTGTCTGCTCACAATCTTGGTACCTTTCCGAAGCTCTTCAAGATCTTTGCCATTCCCAAGGATTTGGTCCCGCGGGATTGGTGAATCCTTCCTCAACGATTCTGGGGAGAGATTTGAGGCGATTGACAGGTCTTTGAAGGCAGGAAGTGTACGAAGGTATGTGATATCACTGTAATCTCGCATAGCATCAAAAGCTTCGCTTGGGTCCTCAACCGGAATCTCGTAGATGAAGGGCTTTTTCACCAACTCGTCGAAGATGGTATCGTACAAGCGGCTTCCGAGTGATTGGCCTTGGTATGGAGGGATGATGAGGAATTGTGAAATGCGCTCCCTCGACGACGTCTCGAGGAGATCAAGCTTGTCGGTAAAGAGGAAAGTTTCGGGGTCTTGTGTCAGACGAGGCGGCGTGTATTTCTCTGCGTCACCGTTACTGCTGTTGGCTGGTGAAGGCAGCTGCTTTGTGGCGCGCGCAATCTCGAAAGTGGGAAAGACCCAAGCGCGATACGACGTGGAGAAACCGGCGAGTGTGTACGGGGAAAGTGATGCATCTGTCAAGGGCGTCACATCGTACAGAAGGTATAGCGACCAACGATCAAGCGTTTCCTCGTCTTCCAGACCCTCTAACGTCGCACCATCGATAAACAGCAGCGTCAAAATCTTCATATTCGACCAGATGCGCCGAGCATTGGGATCTGTCATGGAGGCCTTCCATATCTCGTACTGTTTTCCGTATAGGCTGAAGGTCTTCATACGCTCGCCCGGTGGTTTCCAATCTGAAGACGTGGCGCCGGCAGCATCATCGATCGACTCGGGCAGGTACTCTCGGAACAGCTCTGGTGATAGATCAACCTGGTTCAGGTCTGGGGAGATCTTCTTGAGGTCGAGCTCCTGATCGAACGAGATCTTCAGTTTCGGTTTGAGGTCGTTTGCGCGGAAATCAAGCTCGATGCTTGGGTTTTTGTACCCCGCGATTGTCTCGTTCTCTTCGATGACTGTGTATGTGTAGCTTGGGTGGAAGGATTCATCGAGGATGCGTTCTGGGCCGTTTTTATTGGATGTGCGGTAGAGGTTGATATGAAAGCACTCATTTGAGTTGGTGACCCCTACACAACGTCAGTAACCTATGCGCCGAAGCTATTCATGCTACAGCTTCGCGTTGCTTATAGCGTTGGCTGTTTGCGACTTACAATCATCCAGATCGAGCTGCATGACGACGGCAGGTGTACTGAATCGTGAGATATGAAACCTATGTTTTGTTGACCTTGGGATGTCTCCGCGAGGTCGGTGGGGTGTAAGACGTAGTGCGTAACAATTAGATGGCGGACAGGATCAGGATGCGCGCAAAGTGAAGGAGCGACTAGCGCGACGGGAGACGCGTTTTAGTGCAGCCCTACGTCGTTCCCGCCCCTGCTACCAAGCCTCAAGAAAGTTGCGCTATACCACCAACTTGTCCACAACAGCCTCACAACACTCCAACCCTCACCGCCAACACCACCACCACCTCACCCATATTGCGACGGCCCACTGCTCGAGGCATGGACAGCGTCGATTGAACCGTTTATAACCTTCTTCTCTTTTTTTGTGCCTTGGGCGCATTCATTCTTCGTAAATCCGCTTAGGGGACGACACTACACACGACGCCAATATGTGGGACGGATTGTTTATGCTGCTCGCTTTGAGCACCGTCATGGCCGTTGCGTATGTCTTCAGTCGTTACAATGTACAGGACTGAATCCTAACATGTACAGTTCCTTCCTCGCCGGCATTCTCCCGCTCTCCTTTAATCTCTCCACCCGCCAATTGCGCATCATCACTCTCCTCGGCACCGGTGTGCTAGTCGGAACCTCGTTGATCGTCATCATACCCGAAGGCATCGAGACCATGTACAGCGCCGGAAGCAAAGCGCATTCGCATAGTGCACGGAGTGTCCAACCTACCATCCCGTCGGTAACGAGCCTACAAAAAGAGATACCTCACCCACCCAAGTTTCCGAGTTGGAAGAGAGCGAATGAAGTGGAAACGAGCTCGCTCACCGGAGGAGCCATCAAGGCGCCGGGCGCCGTGGACATGACCAGCGATAAAGCTGCGATCGATATGCAATTGAAAAAGATTATGGAAAGCAAAGAGAAAGAGAAGCCAGCAGAGGACCCTCACCCGCAAAAAGGTGGCGATGACGACTCGACAGAAGGCCACAAGGAGGGGCATACTCGCGTCCACGCACCGGAAGACGATGAGCCAGGCCATGGGCACGCTGAAGCTAGCCATGACGACGGACCCAGCCCACATGCATACATTGGTGTTGCACTGATTCTAGGATATATCCTTATGTTCCTGGTCGAACACCTGCCAGAAGCCATGGCCTCAGCGAAACCAAAATACCAGCCAATGCATATCTCGTTATCGAACCTGGCACGTGGACCGCACAACTCATCCTCTCTGAGCCTCAACGGAATGGGTATGCAGAGCGCTGCAGTGACACCCCTAGCGACCCCTGGTCTGCCTCCTCCACCTACAAAGAAGACACCAGCTGCCACGATTGGTCTAGTCGTGCATGCCTGCGCTGACGGAATTGCACTCGGTGCTTCTTCCACAGCAGAATCCACATCTCTGTCGCTAGTCATCTTCTTTGCAATTATGCTGCACAAGGCCCCTGCAGCATTTGGTCTCACTTCCGTTCTCCTCAAACAAGGACTATCCAAACGAAAAGCGCGGACACATCTCGCTTTCTTCAGTTTAGCAGCACCAGCTGGCGCATTGGCTACTTGGACTATTGTACACATGTTCGGACGCAACCACTTGGGTGGTGATGAAGGTCTGACATGGGCGACTGGCTGGGTGTTGTGTTTCTCTGGCGGGACATTCTTGTAAGTCTTCCATACTCTATCGGAAACCCTCTAGTTTACTAATCCGACACAGGTATGTCGCCATGCACTCCATGTCTGAAGCTACAGCTTCTCAACACGCTCATGAAGACCCTACCGCAAACGGCTACATGGACGCTTACCCCGCCAACAACGACATGTCCAAGAGTGACATAGGTATCGTCATGGTCGGCATGATACTCCCGCTCATCACCCAAATAGGGCATGCTCACTCGCACGGTCACTAGAGTACTGAAGGCTAGGGTTGCATATCGCGGCGTTCCGCAAAGGCGTTTGTTGCGCCAATTTATCTTACTACTATAGAGCGATGTTGTCGAGCCAGTTTGTGTGCCGTTCTGGAATGATACCAAATCTTGTTCACCCTGCATTTTGTTCGCTTGATAGGTGCCACTTTCTGACAAATTTATAGCCAGGTTATTCACATGGTCCCCATATCAACATCGCTATACTCATGCTCCTGCTCCCCAGCCTTCCCACTGATAGCCCTGATCTTTACCCTCTTCCAATCAACCCCCCAGTCGGCCTTGCCCAGTCTTCCACCTCACTGTCGACCTTCTCTTCCAACTCCTCATTTAGCTCTTCACATGCGATCGTCTCGAGCAGATATCAGCAGGTGTTTCTCTTGTTCAACTTGATCTTCACACACCGCTCTTCTTCCCACGTGGTCTCCGATTTGATAAGTTGCTCGTCCTGATCTCCACCCGCGTCCCAATACCAGTCTTTTCCATACGCCTGCTGTCGCGCCATGTCGCTCTCTTCAACCATACTAGACATATTGTCGATGATCTGTTGCGCTTTGGTCGTGGAAAGGGTATTGTAGATGATGGACATGGTTACGTCGGGGTCGCAGATTGCTTTACAGGCGACCTTGTAGGCATGGTATATATAATAGTCGGTGATGCTAGATTTGGGGATGGCCCAAGGGAATGTTGCGTGGTCGTAGCATAATGGGATGACCGTGTTAGTGATAGCCATGCTGCAGAATGAGGGCCGTTTCGGGTCGAAAGGATCCTATGAAGGATGGTATGTCGTAACCATTTCGCCGATGCGGAGGAGAAGGTGGGCCCGCGGCATCTTAGTAGGGATTGCGGGAATGCAAAGACGGCTATGCGAGTGAGAAGTCGGAGTAATTGAGAGAACTTGGAATGTCGAAAGATGTCGTGCTCAAATTTGTCAACAGATGACTGTTATCTTGCGCTCTGTTTGTTTGTGACTTCGTCTCACAAGTGAATCGCAGAAGCCTCAACCCCCTCCCAATCTGTCAACCGTCCTTCACCAAGGCATAGCCTCCGCACCAAAATCTATCCTCCTCCCCGCATGCCTCCTATCCTCCCACTCTTCTTCCTCATCAACATCATATGCCCCTCCCATGCCCCACCTCTTCTTTACCCTCTTAACAGCAAATCTTCCAATACCCCAGACTGTCGCCGCAAAAATCGTGCCCGCAATGCCTGTCGGCGCCAACACGAACCCCGCCCCACTAACCACTGTGCCAAAAGCCCCAGCACCTATTGTTGCGACCAGGGACCCAATAGCAACGTATTTCGCATATCGCACGAGTTTCCAAAATGCGAAAATGATGCCAGAGCGGACGACACGGAGGAATGCGCGAGTACGGCGTGAGGATACGGCATTAGGAGCGGTTTTGGGATCGTAGAGGTAGCGAAGGTTGCGCCGTGTCGAAGCGAGTGCTGAGCGGGAGCGGGCGTCTATCTCTTGGTCGTGGACGTCGGTGGACGACATTTTTGGGCGGGTGGCTATTGCCTGTGGTCGTAGTGGTAAGACAAGATGGAACTTTGCGGTGAAGTTTACTGATGGTGGTGACGTCATTGGGCATCGAAATTGAAACCCAAAAACCCATAACGAACACAACAGTTTTGACATGTGTAATGTCAAAAATTGGACTGAAGAGTAACCTTGATATAGCCATAATGATATCCAATATGCACATTCCCATCACCGTCTTCACGATCAGAAGGTGAGATTTAGCTTGCTTCCAGACGGCGACTTCATACTTTCCCTCTTCCACCTTATTCTAAGTGTCTGGCAAATATCTGATCTAAGTCGTGGTCTTCTCTTCCAAATAAACAATCCATGAATTCCACGATGGCTTCCTCGTTTTCCTCTTTTATTACCATCTCAACTTCTGTTGGTTCTTCTTCTACATCCGTCTTCGCCTCAACCAAGTCCAGACAACCATGGAGTTTCAGCCTCTCTTTCTTCTCTTCCACGCGTCCAAAAGCATCCCAACCCAATTAGGCTGCCACTCTCTACGTTCATCTTCCTGTCGCTCTTCTTCCTCTTCTGTAGTACGCCTTCCCAAAGGATCACCGGTGGAAGGTTCAACGATAGTTGCCATAGAGAAGACTTGAGGGTTGAACGCAGCTGTAGTTACGACTAAAGATGAACTAAATACACGAAGAACATTGTAGTTGACGGAGCTCTGATGGAGTCATATGTACGGAAGTCATGAGTATCTTGACCTTTTTCACACATGTTTGCTGTTCTGCTTATTTTCACCATTTGTCCCTGATGTTCGTATTGCCAGCCTAAGTCCAGATCAACTCATGCTGTGAATAGTACTCGAACTATTTCCTCCTTTAGTATGGCTAGTGTTGCCCCTTCTATTCAAGCCATCCAGGCCTGTAACTCTGTTCACTCCGGTTGACTTATATGGGAGCCATATTCCCGCGAACACGCCAGGCAAATGGATTACTTTAATACATCGTCCGCCCTAATTGCCATGATTCCTTCATACACACCGTTCGCGCTGTTCACCCTGTTCGAAAAATACACCCTGTTCGCGGACTTGTCAACCCAGTTCACCCTTGTGTTTCTAGTACGCAGCATCGTAGGAAAGACGTTGACAATCTTGGGATGAGCACGGAAAGAGTCCAGCTGAACAGTGTGAAGAACGGCGAAATAGAGTAGGTAGCTCATGTCGATAAGAGAATGAAATGATGATAGCGTAGGAGTATTTGGGTAATGATGCATGCCGCGCGAAAGTGGCGAGTCAACGTTTGGCTACGAGTAATGCCTGGTAGACCAACAACGTTTGTGAAGGTCGACAAGCCTCTGTACGAACCCTACCTGGTTGACAAGTGAGATGCAGCAAATACGGTTCATGACTATCTAGGATTACCGATCGACAAAGATATCAAGTCTTTCTCGATATCCCAACAACTGGATAAGAACGAGCGACTTCTATCGGAGCACTCTCAACGTTGCATCCGTTTAAGTCTCTCTTCCGCAGCCCTAGCTCGCCGTTCTCTTTCCATTCTAGCTCTCGCTTCTGGCGTTAAGCCCCTCATTTCTTCCTCCCGTAAGTCCGCTCCAGTCTTGACAGGCAATGCACCTAATGACTTGCCCTTGCCCAACCTCTGCTCCTTCCTCCTGACTTCTTCAGCCTCGCTTTCTTTCCGAACGCGTTCGGTTTCAGCCTTCCGTCGGTCAGCTTCAGCCTTACTTTCCGCAGCTTTCTCGCTCTTCTCTTGAGCATCTCGCTTGTCAGCCTCAGCTTTAGTGATGGCCGTAGGTACATCTGCTTTCTCCCAATCCCACGCAGACTCTCCGAGTTCCGAACGTGCAACACGAAAAGCGTCACGGGTTGCACGATCACCAGTCAGCGTGAAAGGGGTTCGTGCTTCGTCGTTCATCGAAGTTGGATCGGCACCGGCCTTCGTCAGAAGCGCGAGCACGATAGGAGCAGAGTTTAGCGATGCAGCAAGATGCAGCGGTGTTGGTGTGTGGTGATTGGTGGGGAAAAAGTTGAAGCTTGGTGGAACGTCGTTCGTTTTGAGGTAGTTTAGAAGCGCGGGAACCTTTGAACGCTTGATCATAGGTATAATCTGAGAAGTGTGTAGTGTCGCAGCCTCTTCTTCCTTTGTCGGCTTCTTGGGCTTGGGTTTTGCTGGAGCTGGTGTCGTGGCCGCCGCTTCTTTCTGAGGAGCATTGAGAGCAGCAAGCGCTGCTTCATCAATAGTACTCTGCTTTACTCGAGTAAGTTCAACAAATGCACGCATCAGCTCTTTTTGAGTCGCACGCCGTGTGCTAAAGGGGAAACCTCGATTACGTGGGTCATTATGACGCAGAACCTGTCCTTCATACGGGCCAAAAAGAGCTCTTCGATTAGTCGCGCCGGTTGCGCGGACGAAGATCAGGTCCGCAGTATCGATCATGCTCTTCCAACCAGATAGCAGCTCACGGACTTCAGCGATAAGCGCAGTCTCGTTATAACGACGGATCGATGAACCGGCAGAGTGTGCGTTGCCCTTTGCGTTGTCGTTGGCTGATTGCGAACCTCCCTGTTTCCGTCGTGTAGTGTACCTGTGGAATGTCTTGTGGGCAATCACGGTCGCCGATCGCTCATCAAATCCAGTATGATTCTTTCCTGTCTTTGGTGCCAGAGCTACTATCATTGCAGCAAAGTGCCCACCTCCTATCATACATAGGAAGTAATGCGGCCCTATGTCTGTGCCTGGTAACGGGACGCCGCCCTCGTTTGCCTTGACCTTGGGGGGCTGCTTCGGGGACAGCTGCTTCTTGCGTAAAGTTTCCAGGATATGCGACTCGTCTTCTTGCTCTGCGTTCGAGAAAATTGCGCGATAAACGCCCAGTGACATGTTGTCGGGTATCGAGGGCGAGGTGAACCACATTAACGGAGGCTTACCAGGCCCTTTCTGCTTCTTCCGCGAGGCGAAATCGTTGAACTCGGGATCCGATATTTTGGCCTGCTTCTTCAATAGCGCACTAAGCGTAGAGTCCTTCGCCTTCACCCCCTCCTCGTCTTCATCCTCGTCAGATTCTGATGACTCAGAACCTGATATGCTCTCGTCCAGATCTCCGATGAGCTTCTCAAACTCTACTTCGCCCACAGGCTTTGCACCCTTTATCTTCTGCTTCAGATTGTATCCATGAAGGTCGGACCGGACATGATTGCGCTGGTCTGCCAGAGATGCGAAGCTGAGTCCACAGAGGTTGCACGATGTGGCCTTTGCAGGACTGTTGCTCCCATCTTCGGCGGTATCGGAAGACTCGTTCGCAGTCGCAGGTATTTGGGGCGGTATTTCTTCTGTCGGCTGATCGGGCTGGTCTTTGAGAGCGAGTGTGGCTAATAGCTCTTCGGGCAGGTCAAACACTGCAGCTGTCAGTTCCATGCGCGTGGGGGAAGGGAGCAGTCGTCTTACCATAGAGAGGGCGCTGTAATAGATGGTCTCCTTTTTGTGCCATGTTGAACTATCTGAAGTCGTGGTGGAGAGCGGTAAATCGGGAATAGTCGTGAGCCAAATATTTGGTAGGGGCGCGTTGTACTGTAAATCGAACATGACGTACATCTTAGCTGCCTTTCACGCGAGTCATAGCTCGACGCGCTAACACCCCGCTATCGCGTTCAGCCCTGTACCCGCCACAAACTTTACGAACGGATCGCAAAGTCATTTTCGATCGAATTGGAATTGTAGTAGCATGGTTGATTTTTGCGCAACTGATACTACGATGCTATGTGATTGAAATGAAATTACGCGTACTCCGCAGCAGCGACTTGCACAAACACCCACCCCGGCTCTACAAAGTCCAACAACTGCAGCGGATCCGGTCCCTCAATGTTGGCGGGAATGGATATGAAATCTATCTTCTGCTCCGCAAAACACTGGTGCAGCTGCGCGAAATCTGGCGGAAAATGACCCAAGAAAGGTGGCCAGTCCACCACAGAGACTCTCTTCAAGGACAGCTTCGAAGGAGCGATATCAGCGAGACAGCGTAGCATCTCTGTCGGGCCCTCCCACCCCTTTGCGCCCCAGTGCTCTTGCCAGTCAACCTCAAAGCTCATTTCTTCAAGTGTTGCCGGAAGAAGGCGTACCATTTTTGCCACAAAATCGGAGGTGCACTGTATTGGGTCGTCGTCATGTGTTATCAGGCCCATGTCCAGCGAACGTAGGTTTGACATACTCGAAGCCAATCGCGCCACCTGCAGTACGTGCACCTGGTGAAGCATCTGATGGTCACCCCGGATGGAGAGATGCTCAAGTGTTGTGCGGTTGAGAATAAAAGCTGCTGAAAGCCCGCCAAACGTCGCCAAGAGACTTTGAGGATACATGCTGCGTTGGTCGTTGTTGATATCTTGTTCGTAAGCGAAGCTCTTCAACTCTCTGCAAGCTTCGGTGAAGTATTTTAGTGTCGGCACCTCCACAACGGATCGTTTCAACGTGATCTTTTCAATTTGAGACGAACCGGGGTCTAACACCGTTCTAAGCGGAATCTCTTTGTCCCAAACATGTTTGCCGCCGGTGCGCCTGGGAATAATCAGATCTGAAGCGATGAGGTCGCGAAGTGAGGGAAGGAGGAACAGGTATGCTATGGCTTCCACCGATAGTGGACCGTGTATGTTTATGCTTCTCAGATGCATGAACCGAGCTGGATTGTTTGCGATTGTTTTGAACCAGTATTCGCCATCCGGCCAGGAGGCTCTGTCTGCGACAACAAGTGTACGGAGATGCGGAGTGAACATTAGGAGTATTTCGATGAACTCATGGTCGCGCTGAAGCCCAGTAACATCACAGATCAACCCGTTCTGGCGAGACAACTCCAACGTCTTCATGCAGTTAGATAGGACTGCTTGGTTTTCCTCGGTATCGTCATGCTCGTTGAAGTTGTGCCTCCACGTAATGTCCCGGACTCGGTTTGCAAGCTCGGGGCTCGACCATAACGTACGCAGGAGTGGCCACGGCCGTCGTACTAGGAGACTTTGGTATAGATGATCGACCGAAAGCGTGTACATGCGACGGCTAGTCAGGCTTAGATTGCATATATCCTTAGCGTTGTCGTTCGGCATGCGCTCGATAATGCTGATAACAAGTTCATTGGGAAGAACATCGAAGCCAGATTTGCGTGGAACGTCAGTGGACATCTTGACTACTATGTCGTCTGAGTGAACGGCTGGTGGACGGAAACTCCGCCTTTGACGGCCTGCTATGCATTGAAGCACTTGCCCCATGTTGAAAAAGAAATTGATGCCAAATATGATAACGGAGCACAGGAGCTTCCCCGCGTCGGGAAGGACGCTAATGGTTTAGCGGCTATTAGACCAGTCAAGCACGTGTTAGCTGTGTCAGCAGCAAGCCTAGTCTTATCTGCTGGTACTACACGAACACGCATCCGAATCCTGTGTACGAAACTTTGTAAAAACCGTCCAAAAATGCTCCAGCGATCGTGTACAAGCACTCTTCTAGCCATAGTTAGACGGCAGGCGAAAGTACCGGCAATGTGTCGCGAAAGTTTCCGTCCTGTGAATCCAGAGCCAATCAGGCTCCACGTCTTCCATGGCGGTCAGTGGCTCTTCACTCTCAATCTCTTCGTAGACTACATCAAACTGCATTCCAGAACGTTCGTATAACCGACTTAAACTGATGGCCTCGTCTTGGAGAGGGAACCAGCCTGCAAGCGCTGGCCAGTCAACGATAGAGATATGCCTCAATCCAGAGTTTGAACGAGCAGCGGCTTCGGCCAAGTGCCGCAAGATATCGATGAAAAGATGTAACCGGGGTTCTCCGTCACGCTCATAAGCCCACTGAATCCGTAGGGACTCTAGCGTATTGGGAAAGGTGCCTACGATCCTTGAAGCTATAGTCGGTAGATCTCCAGATTGCGTGAGATCCAAGCCTTTAAAAGTCTCGAGACTACAAGGACCAATATTTAGGGTACGAAGTTTTGCGAGCATAGGACCGGCAACGTGGTGAGAGAGTGATGACATCTCCTCGTGCGTCACTACTGACTCTACGCGTAAACATAAGTTCTCGAGACAGCTATCTGGACCCCAACCCATGTTTCCGACCCACGGAAACACGGAAGGCATCCCGGGGTACTCTGAAAGTTCGTGAGAGACATGCTCGTAAGTGAAACTCTTGAGTTTCTGGAGCTTCTCCAGGATTTCTACTGCGAAGGGAAGATAGAGATCCGATTCCCGTATAATAAGGGTCTCAAGAGTTGAACCCCTGGCCAGGCGTCGATCAACATAGTGTTCGCCGTCAAGAGCCCATGAGAAAGCCCTGTCCGGTTCTCGACGCATATCGATGGCTTGTGTAAGCTCCAGGATTCGCAAGGAAGGTAAAGTCAGAAGCGGTACGATGTTTCTTAGGCGCAGAGGACCGAACACGGTAATGGATTGAAGATTTTCAAAGTGAAAGGGGTTGGCGGCCAAGCTTTTGAACCAGTAAAGATGATCGTCCCACTGCCATGTGTCGTGTACGGTAATCTTCTCAACCTTGGGTGTGAAGAATAGGAAAAACTCCAGATACCACCAATGGACCTCGAAATCAGAGGAGAAGCCTATGAAGCGTCCAGGTAGGTCAGTGGATAGTTCCGTAGTGTCCAAGATGGCTCCAGAAATCCTAAGTAGATTCGCAACGGCATGCCTATCACCTAGAGGTAGACACCGATGCCTAGACGGTCGGTCCCAATAATTCTGATACCATACCACCTCCCTGACATAATTCATGAGTTTAAGGCGTTCGTCTGGAGGTGACAGCGCTATGGTGCGCAGGAACTGCTCTGGGGCGCAACCTGGAAATCTTCGATAGAGCCGATCAATCGTCAGACGATGAAACCGCGAGCTTGTCGCATTCAAGTCGCGCAATGTCAAATAGTCATCTGTGTCCAGCTGATCTAGGACGAGGAGAATCAATTCGTCAGGAAGACTTGTAAGAGTGCTTCTTGTGGTCATTGTTGCAGGCACTATCTGAGTGTGCGTCGCGTCGAGCGTGTCTGGTAGCTGTTCTCGAGATCCGGTTTTCTGTGAGTGGATTAGCGGCTTGGCCATCAGAGAGAGTGCACGTGCGGAAAGATCCGCAATCAGAAACGAGTCCTTTCGTAGGATTGCCGAGAATAGCCTACTTGGGCTCTTATGCTAAGAACACTAACAACAAATATCGGTTGTAGCGAACGACCATATATACACACATCCCAGCCATCTTTAGGCTCGTCACTCTCGGGTGACATCATTTGAGCTTATTAATCGTACATACGACAGGTGACACTGATCATTCTCAACGGATATGAAACTCCTTCGTAACGAAGATTGCGTTCGCCTTTGCCTCCGGACCATGCAGCGGCATGATACTCTTGTCGCTATCGTTTCGTGATTCCGTACACCAAACTGCTCGCTCTACCGCTGTACCCGATGCCCTGTTTCCTGACCTATATTCGGATAGTGCTATCTCAGACTTTGATTGATCCTGCCTCTGGTAATCCAGCGTATCCGGTCTTCCGTGCCCGGTAATCCTACCAGTCCCTAGAGCGGTCCGCTCACGAGCTGCATTCAAAACCCGGAGAAACAGGGATTTCAAGGCAGGAAGAGATCCCGTAATTATGCCAATAGTCAGCTCGACATAGTTCCACATCATCTATTTGTCGTGAATGAATCGCCTAGGATCGTGGAGGATCGTGTTGAATACTGTTGCTCGAAAAATCCGGCCGCGCCTGCGAAGACCCCAAGAGCAAGTATCAAAATGAGCGATATGCGTGTACGGACGTTGAGCCTAAGTTGCCAGATTAGCGGAACAGGTAGGAGCGCCAGGAGGAAGTCCGTTGGGCAGTTGATGACTATTCATGCATTAATTCCTTCATCATGACTAGTTAATGGGTATATACGAACCCGCGTTGAAAAGAGCGATGCGTCCGAACGTATCCCTAGTAAAACATCTTGCGTTACCGTTTCCAAGTGGCGGAGGGCGAAGACTGTAGTTCCAGCTAGCCTCTATAGGGATGCAAGCCCATACCTGTATCCTCTTAGTAAAGTGATACTCAAAAAGAGAATCGCTGCAGTATTCTCTTACTAGAAGGGTATAAGTGAAAGTGTTTTAGTTCATTCCTGGTGGAGTTACCTAACGTTCCCGTACATGTCAGCATGAAGGCCATCAAAAACACGTTCAAGCCGTGCAAAAACCATCGATATGCTTTCTTCGTCGCAAACCTCAGCAAGAACAGAGCAACAGATATCTTTACGACTGTCACTGCAACGTTGCAAATAATCTGATGCACATATCGGACTTTGAGCAATTGCTGGTACTTCATGGGATCCATCTGGATGACGGACAAGTGTTGCTACGGCCATCAACTCTTAGTTCTCATCAAAGGCCTTCCCGCTATCTAGATCCCGGGCGTAGTGGTAATCGCGCCGCAACCCTCAACTATACGTTATGTCATGCCGCGCTTCTGTCTTTGGCAGATAGTGCGGCAAAGCTCAGGTCGTAAAGATCGCTTGTTAACGAATGTCTACCTATGTAGGGGTCGGGAGATATGAACAAAAGTCTACGACTGTAGAGACAATTTCCCTCAACGCTCTGGAGGAGATGGATACTTTTTCAATAGTATGAGAATGTCCGATTATAGCTCGACGTCCGGCAGCTGAAGCTTCTACCAAGCCGGGGGTATCCGCGGGACGACACTAGTTGTCAAGCCGCCCGACGCGGCTCGCGACAGCGGATAGATTTGTTGGTGGCAAAAGCGTACCCGAGCTCTCCGAATGGTGGGTTCAATACGACGCGTGAAGGCGTAGGAGTTGGGCTAATGACTGTGCCGTGTGACGGATAAGCCCATGCCTCGTTGCTAGATCTACGCGTTGGGACTGGCACCTGTCGAGGTGTTTGGTAGGGCCAGCAAAAAAGCGCTAGTTAGATAATTGGTCCATAACTGCACCGACGGACGTTGTGCACTGCTCTTCCTAGTATCTCCTTGGAAACCACATCGTTCATCTTCAAACCCACATTAGAGCCAAAATCCTGCGGGCAAATGTTGCGTTGACAAAGCGCTTCCGCGCCACAATACACCCTCTCGGCTCGCCTCGCACGCCAAGCAGGTAGTGCATACGCCCATGTCGGCTGGATATTACAACACTGCAGCATAGCGGCGCAGTAATACGGTCGTAGTTTACAGGAAACATAAAATTGTTCCTTACATCCGAGTTGCCACACGTCTGCCGTTCCATCGGGGACAGTTTTGAGCACAGCATGGATCAATTTGGGGTTTAAGACTATCCGCTAGGCGAGGCAAGACAAATGGTGCTATATGCTCCTGGCTTTTGTCAAGCGCTGCAGATCCTGATCATGCTATCCTAGTCGACTTCATCTGCATTAGTCGGTGGCCTGTCCCGCTTGCTCTGCAGTCTCCTTGCGTCGGTACTTTGGGTCCGCATGCCTAGACGAGTCTCTTCGTGGTATTGATGGCTGGAGAGACGGCAAATGATTAGCCATCATATGTACAGTGTGAACGCTATCCAAGCTCGAGCAATTCAGGGTCTGAATTGGACACGCTTGATCCAGGTGCTGCAAGGCTTGCATCCACGGCGCTACCACTCTTTATACATAAGAGGATCGCTATTTCCTCTGCAAAACTGTTGAAGCAGTATTCAATCTTGTTATATGTTATACAGGCACCATGCGATTCCTCTTCCTACTTGCCCTTGCTGGCAGCACCATCGCTGCAAAAGCTCCCGAAACTGATGCCCTAGCTAAACATGGTCTCGATCAGCTATGGCTTGACGTCGCTAAGCATCCCAAGAACTACTCGAAGAAATGCACCAAAAGAACAGTGGCCCGACGTCGCGAATGGTATGAGATTGATTGTAGCAATGTAAAATCCCTTCTCACACACTACAGGTCCAACCTCAAGCGTTCAGAGAAACTGAACTACATCGACGCTGTTCAGTGCACTGGGAGGAAGAATGCTAGGACTCCAGCTGCTATTGCTACAGGGGCTAAGAGTCGCTATGATGACTTTGTTGTTACTCACATCCTACTGACACAGTACACACACGGAAATGTTTGATTCCAACATGTCCACTTTATTTCCTCACATCGACTAACATCGACAAGGGCAATTTTCTATCATGGCACCGCTACTTCATGTGGGCGTGGGAACAGACTCTGCGCAATGAGTGCGGGTACAAGGGCTATCTCCCCTACTATAATTGGGCCTTGTGGGCCGATAACCCCGCTGCTTCTCCTCTCCTCGACGGCAGCGACACGAGTATCTCGGGAGATGGAGAGTACGTCCCCGGGCGCAATGCCAGTTGTGTGCCTAATCCAGGTCGATGCTTTGTAGAGGTTCCCCCTGGTAACGGAGGTGGATGCGTCGCCTCCGGACCCTTCAAGAAGTAAATACTCGCCCACAAGGGATCGTTGCATGACCCATGTACTGACAAGATCTCAGCTGGAAGATGCACGTCGGGCCCATTTCAACTCTTGACACCACTGTGCAGCCAAACCCGTCCCCTGACGGTCTAGGCTACAACCCTAGGTGCATCAAGCGAGATATCAACACCCGCTCATCATCCGAAACTACCGATGCCGACGTCGCCGAATTGATCACTACCAGCGCCAACATATCCGCTTTCCAAGGAACGCTCCAGAACCCCTCACCGGGAAGACTCCGCGTTCATCTTGGTGGCCACCAAACGATCGGCGGCGATGCCGGTTCCGATTTCTACAACTCTCCATCTGACCCCTACTTCTGGAACCACCACGCACAAATCGACCGAACTTGGTGGATTTGGCAGAATCAGAACTTGAAGGAGAGGCGCTTCACTATTGCTGGCACGCTTACTTTCCAGAATGTCCCACCGACAAGGAATGCGACACTTGACGATGTTATGACATTTGGTGAATATTTGGGCTTTCCGAATATGACGATAAGAGAGGCTTCGAGCACGCTTACTGGGCCATTTTGTTACATCTATGAGTAAACCCGCGGCATAGACAATCTTTTGTAGTCTCACAAGCGTCACGATTTAGCATCTACACGCTTCATGTAATATTGCCAGCAGCCTGTCCAATATCGTCCCTTGCCCCCATTACCTCCGCTTTCAAGATAGGAAGCTGATATGTTCGTTCTGATTACTTGCATATTGTAAAGTTGAGAGATTGCCAACGGGGTGATATTTAGAGTGCCCGTAACACCATAAGCTTTCGCCCTATGCAGCTAAGACTTTCGTGCAGCCCCGACTTCCCATATCGCTGAAAAACAGTTCAGGTTGCAAAAAAACAATTTGAGAAAAGTCATATTGAAGGAGCTTATGGAATGACATGTATCTCAGATTTGTAGAGGGGGTCGCGCAGTATAGGACAAGCGGGCGAAGATGATTATTGATATCGCGACAACGCCTTCTGATGTCGTGGCGAGCCGCAGCAAGCGCGCGCTGGATTACAGATATCGCAATAGGAGTGCCGAGCTTGGGAGGATAGATCTATTACGTACGCTCAATACCGTCGCTTTGCTTCACTCGAATGATGTTCGTAATAACGTGTAGTGTACTATGTCGCATTCCAGTCCATTGAAATACATGTAACTCTTCATCCATATTTCTACCACGTCTCCTGTCTATACCTTCCGCTCTTTTCCATACTCAATAAATACGCCTCTGCACCTTCTCTATCCATGCTACCATGTTCCTGGAAAGCTTCGATGAGTGCTTCGCGTACCGCCTGGGGCATTTTGCCCGACGAGCCACAAATGTACAAGATACCAGATTTATGGAAAATATGAGAGAAGACAAGGGACGATTTCTGGCGGATGAGATCTTGGACGTAGACTTTCTGACGCTGTCGTTTGGTTAGAACAGGGTGTCAATGGTTAGAGTTGGAAACTTACCTGATCTCGGGAGAATGCCGCAAAGACTTCTAGAGGTACGCCAGAGGATTGTAGCTGTGCCCACTCATCTTTGAAGAAGTAGTCTGATTCGGCGTTACGACAGCCAAAGAAGAGTAGGTCCTTTGGAATTTCGCCGTCTTCTTGTGCGTGACCGTTCTGAAGTTTTATGTGCTCTTCACGCCATTGTATGCGTTGATATATCAGCGAACGCATGGGAGCTACACCTGTTCCTGGCCCAACCATAACAACTGGTCTGTCAAGTTCATCTTTGCCCACACCAAGCCCTCCTCGTGAAAGCGTGACTGTAATCTTTTGCCCCGGTGTGAGTGAAGCTATGTATCGTGTAGCAACACCTTGTCTTATTCTCTTGATGACCGTCTTGTATTTCACAATCGCAATTAACAGCTCAATCTTAGTCTTCTTCTCTATTTCTGCAGTAGGGTTCATGGCGCTCGCGATACTGAATTGGCGGCCGCGTAGAGTGGGTATTATACTACACACGCGCTGCCAGGGTATCTTGACAGATTCAAACTCTTGCAAGACTTCTAAAATGCTACGACGCGGACGTGTCGTGTAGTCATATAGTTCGTCGAGATATTGAGGGTCCGTAAACTCAAGTAATCTTGCTTTATGAAACTCGTCGCTCGTGTAGTGTGCGAGCTGGGCGAAGAATGACCTTCGGGGTATGGCGATGATGTCGAGGTGGTTGGTCAAGAGCTGCCTTAAAGTTATTGTACCACCTGGTTCCATGTTCCGGATCGGCAGAGTGGCGTTGGAGAGTGTCGGTGATGATGAGGGGACGAAGTGAAGAGGTATGTCAGCAGTGGACGTCCAACCCATACATTCGAGAAACAACGATACATCGGATGGAAAGTTCTTAGGGTATATTGTGAGCACATCGCCTGGGAAGTACCGATGTGTCTCTGGAATTTCAAAGCTGATATGTCGGACGTCCTGCCAATGGGTCGTCGGAGTGACTCTCTCGTTACTTGCAATCTTTGCAGTAAGTCCGCCGGATATGGCGAGAAGATCTGATGGAGGATTATCAGGCGCGTCTCCGTTCAACACAGGCGCAGCTTCAGTTTTCGGTGAGGATGCTGCACCATCGTCCACAGTCTCAAGCAGCCATTTTGGGTCTAGTAGAACATCGTCCGGTATCGGCTCGACACCATCAGCGAGTGGGTAAGAGTCGAGGAGACGTTGGCGAAGTTTGGTTGACCATGGTAGAAAGGATCCATCGATGCTTTCGAACAGTCAGACATGCACTAGTAATGAGGATGAAATCTTGCTGTATACAAAAGCATGACAAGGTGAGGCAACACAACACACCAAAAGATCAACGCAAGGGGTAGAAAGAAACAAGGATGATGTTGACCTACCCCTCTGGATGCTGCTCGTCAGACTCCCCACGGTCGCATATTGGCTGTGCTCCGAGCTGCACGAGCCGATTGTAGAGCTTGCGATGCGCCCAGTTGTACTTTGGATAGGACGTATCACCAAGACCAAAGGACGCAAACTTCATCTGCTGCAAGCATCCTGGCCGCAGTCGAGCACTTCGGATAGCTTTCCAAAACTTCTGACTGTTGGGTGGTAGTTCGCCCTGGCCCGTGGTGGAAATGGCGATCAGGACCACATGATGCTGAAGCAGTTGTCTCTACCGACAGTCAACCATGATTCCTTCCGCACAGCGTGGGCACTAACATACAAGAGTGATGGCGTTCAGCTCAGCGACTTCCGTGTCGAATCTCAACCGCTCAGCGACCCTTCCCATCTCCTCAGCCACATCCTGCGCGTTGCCCGTCTCCGAGCCGTAGACGACCAGGGCGCGACGCGCTTGCAGTGCACTCGACATGGCGGTAAATCAGCAATCAGATTGCGGTGAGACAGACTAGCCCGGACAGGACTCGAGTGATGGGAAATTTGAATGGCAGGCCCCCCGGATCCAGTGCATGAAGAAGCGGTGCACTAGCGGACACGTCAACGGCAGGCGGGTCTTTTTCATGCTTCTAGCGGCAGTGGGCGGTGGGGCGCAAGTGAAGCTGGAGCGTCCTGCAGGCGAAGTTCGAGGTCTACTGTGGCGCTAGAGGGAGGTGTGGCGTCGGGCTTATCTAAGCACCTGATGTACATGGCGTGCTATCTCCACGCCTAGACGGTGAAATTGCAGCAGGTGAGATTGTTTCGCCGTTGCTAGTGATGGTGCAGTCGCCTGTGCCATGTCGAACTCGGTCAATGCACGTGGCGGCAGCCTAGGCGCCGTTTCCCCTATCCATGCACTCATGGTAGCTGCTCAGAGGCAAGTGGGCCCTTGATTGTGCGCAGGGGCCGCTTCCGTTACCGGATGCGGCCAAGCCCCATGGCTGCGCTCTTCAAAATAATCTGCCTGATCGAGGCCTGCTCCCTTTCTCCCCCATCAAGTCAACAACAGAGACAAACAACGCACCCCATCAACCCAATCCTCTCTCAACCTTCCCCGGGCTCGTAGCTACCCACTCCACACCCCCCTCGTCAACAGTTCCACCAACAGGCGGTTCGGCAATCCCATCAACCACTCAATAATCAACTACTGTTCAAGGTTACCTTTACCGGTCTACCAGGACTCCAAGTTTCCTCAACCTCTTACACGTTCGATCTTCCACTCGTGTTCGTCAACCACCCAAACTTCAGCAATCATGTCCGCACCTGTCGACAGTGTCACCGCCCAGATGGCCACCACCTCCCTCACCGACAACGCCGCTCCCGCCACTACCAACACCGCGGAGAGCACTGGCGCTCAACAACCCACCGCAGCCGAGGACGAGGCTGTGCGTGCGAGCGCCGCTGAGGGCAGGCGACTTTACATTGGAAACCTCGCGTACGCGACCACCGAGGGGGAGTTGAAGGAATTCTTCAAGGACTACCTGGTGTATGTGGACCCTGTTTTCTCCGCATGACGCAACACGTCCAAGCTAACACGTTGCACAGCGAGTCCACGACCATCCCCACCAACCCGCGCACCTCGCGCCCCGTCGGCTACGCCTTCGTTGCTCTCTCGACCCCATCCGAGGCCGAGCGTGCTATTGCTGAGCTCAACGGCAAGGCCATCCTTGACCGCAAGGTCTCCATCCAGCTTGCCCGCACTCCCGAGGCCCACGCTGAGGGCGCTGGCAGCGGAGCCGAGGGCAACACCGGCGAGGCCCGTCGCCGTACTTCCACCCGTGGACGCGGCCGCGGTCGTGGCCGTGGCGGCCGTGCTGGACGCGGTGGACGCGCTGTAAGTACCTTCCTACACTATAACCTGTGTACACAAGCTAATCAAATTCCGCAACAAGGCCGATGCTGAAGGTGCCGAGCAAGTCGAGCTCTCCAACGAGGCTCCTGCCGACTCCACCCCTACAAATGTACCCGGCCAAGTTGCTCCCCTAACCGAAACTACGAACGAAGCGCTTACCGCAAAGAAGGGTGCCGACAAGTCCGCTCCCCAGGGACCCCGTGAGCGCAAGCAGCGCGGTCCTCCCGAGGATGGCGTTCCCTCCAAGACCAAGGTCATGGTTGCGAACCTGCCGTACGACCTGAAGGAGGATAGGGTAAGTCTGGATATCCCTTTTCTTTCCGCACACGCTAACAAGTAAACCAGCTTCTTGAGATCTTCAAGGACTACTCCCCCACTCAGGCCAAGATCGCCCTCCGCCCCATCCCCCGCTTCATGGTCAAGAAGCTCCAGGCCCGCGGTGAGCCCCGCAAGGGCCGTGGTTTCGGTTTCGTTACCCTCGGCTCTGAGGAGCTCCAGCAGAAGGCTTGTTCCGAGATGAACGGCAAGGAGATCGAGGGCCGTGAGATCGCCGTTAAGGTCGCGATCGACTCCCCCGGCAAGGAGGATGACGCTCCCGACGCGCCCGCTGATGGTGAGGCTCCTCTCACCGAGACCGCCGCCACCAACGAGACCCCCGAGAAGGCTGTCGAGAACCCTCCCGCCACCTCCACCCCCGCCGCCTAGGTAGCGGCTGCTGCTTAGACGCGTGCCATCCCAGCGAGTCGCGTCAGACATTGCATTGCGCTGTGGATTTGTGTATCAAAGTTTCTGGCCTATCGACATCTACCATTTACCTTGATAGAAAGATATAGGCAAGCGCCTTTAGCATCTTAGGTCGTTTCAAGTTATCGGGTTATATCCGCAAAAGTGCGAATTCGGAGTCTAACAGGTGTCTCACGGTGGACTATTTCGGGTTCTTAACGGTTACGGAAAAACTTATGTTAGCTAGTACGAGAGATGAGATATCACATGAATGAACAAACAAATAAACCCGCTGTCTATATGACGGCTGATGAATGCCTTTTCTAATGCCGTGATTGTTCTGTTTCCACTTACAATTGTCGCTTGCATTCTTGCAATACTTCTATACGCTCCTACAATACTCCTTGACTGTTTCGATCACGCTGACTAGCACCCAGTTCAACACGCAACTGATGTCTGAAGAATCCTGGAAAATATTCATTATTCACATTGCAGTCTATTTCAATCACACTTACGCCCATCACGACAGACATACCCATTCCAGGTCTTCTTCTACCACGACGTGACCTTTTCGAAAGTGTCTTTGAACCAATTCCGTCTGATTACCACTCTATCCCCACCTCCAATCGCCGTTTTGGCCTCCGGTACAGCAGTTGGGGTAGCGAAATTAAACTCCGAAAGTGTTGCGTCGAAAGGACCAGAAGGTACTCTGATCAAAGTAAAAGAATGCGGAGATGATGGCGGAACCGATGCAGATGCAGTGGTGGATACCAGGACCATTGCTGTGGAGTTTGACACAGGCAGCACCTCAGATCGACGCTCGCGGCGATTACACTGCGACTTTCCCGATAACACTATGACGATTGTTAGAAGAGTCGAGATCCCAACTGAATCAAGTGACTTACCAGGTAACGGAGTAATAGCGCTTGCCAAAGGTGCAATAGGGCTTGCTGACGCCTTGATGCTCGAAAGCAAAGAAAATTTTACCGCCAAAGAAGTTGGCAGAAGCGGCCCCTTTGACGGCTCGGGAGCCTTTGAGTCACTAATCAAAGTAGCAATCGCAGGTATACCGCTATACGTCGGTGGAACACTGCACTCGCCATCCACTCCAGCGGGTCCGGCATCAACAGGTACAGGGCGACCATTCCGGTCGATATCAGCCACGGTAACGCACCAGTCTGTTCGCATGGATATCTCGGACGGCTTTGCTGTTGATCGTGCTGTTACGTATGGGTATCCTTGATAAGTTGGAGGTGGAACACATTCTCCGTCTGGCCCAGCAGGTCCGGCCACGACGGGAACAGGTTTGCCATTCTGGTCCATGTCGGCGACTGTGACGCACCACTCGACGTCTAGGGGTAAATATCTCAGAGCAGCAATTGCTGTAGTATTGGAGTAGACGACAGTCGTTGCTGTGGTCTTCACGGTGACGGTCATAGCCCCTGTCGCAGCCTGAATTTGTGCTGCGCAGTGTTAGTTTTTGGCAAACTTCATTCTAGGATGTTACACACCAAGCGAACTCGCAATATCAGTGGACGATGGTGATGGATTCACGCTCGTTCTGGTAGTGGTTAAGGGTTGTGCTGTCACCGTTATTGTCTTAGTTACTGTAACATGCGTTGTACTTGATCCGATCGGCGGAGTCTTAGAAGACGATACCACAGTTGTGGCGTTTGGGGTAGTCGGCGAACCAGAAATAGTCGTCTTTGGAAGAGCCGATGCAACAGGTTGAGATGATGCTTGTGAGCTACCTGAAGCACCAACAGGGAGCTTGGGCTGTGGGTTGCCACAGCTCATATTCTTGATCCGTGACTGTCGAGAAATCGAGTCAATGATACTCCAATCAGCCTTCTGCTCTGATGCAGTGTCTTTGAGTAACTCGAAATAGAACGTAGTGTATTTTCCAAACACAGCACAGCCGACATCAGTCCAAAACTTCTGGACTTCTTCTAAACCAGCAACTGCAGCGCCATGTTGTTCTGTGTCAGTAGAAGGCCAGCCCATTTCAGCGATCCAGACATGTCTGTCACCTGCACGCTGCTTGACTTGCTCGAGAGAGCCTTGGAAGCTTGTACTTGCTGTTTCAATGCTGTCTTTGTTCCAGTAGGGGTATGCAGTCATGCCGATGAAGTCTGCATTATCCACCACGGCATGCTTGGCTGTATCAACATGACCGACTGGCTTATCCTTCATATACCGAGCGAATGACGAGGCAGCGATATCTTTCTTGACTTGGGCGATAGTTTGCCCAACCACGGCTGCAGTAACACCTATCTCGCCAGCCTCCTCCGCACGGTACACGTCCTCGCTACCGATAGAGAGCCCAATAACAAGATCGGAAAGAGCTTGACCATGCTTCTTGAACCCTTTTGTGAGTGCGACCATTTCATTTTTGACATTCTCGTCGGGCGAGGCGCCTTTCTGACCTGGCGTTATCCAGAATCCTAGTAGCAGGTTGGTCTTGGAGTCGACTGCAGCATCGAAGGCCTCGGTGGGCTCATCGAGAGTACCGGCGGCTTTGCAAGTGAACAGGCGCGCGCTATCGAAGGGTATATCGGTGGTAAGATTCCTCGCCAAGTTGAACCCGTCAAGAAAGTCTGCCTTCTTTTTGGCGTTGGCTTCCACGCTCCAGAAAGCGCCATAGTTGAAGCCTGTGTAGACTTTGCTCGCGGCCTGCGCAAAGCATGTAGAGAAAAGGAAACAGTTAAGAAAGTATCTCATTTCGTGAGTCGGAGATTGGTAAAAACAGAGTAGGAGAATATGGCGAGCAAAATGGATGTAGGAGAAAGGTCATCGCAGAACTCCATAAGGCGATTATTACCGGTTCTTCAATAGCAATAGTTGCAGAGAGCATTGTGATGAATTGTTGACTGTGACAATAGAAGATCGCTGAATATTATGTACATGTCGCTATTCACGTGGAGGCCGGCGCGCTCCAACATATGCAAGCTTACAAAAATATTCCATATCTCCAACAAAGCGAATGACCATACATATGTGTATCTTCGTATGCTAAGAAAATGCATCTACCAGGTTCGGGCCTGTTTTCGTGGAAGCAGTACGCTGTAAGTATCGTCGACATTACCCAAAAAACCATGGATGCATTTCGACTGCTGGGTCATGTAGATAGAGACAGTGCCCATCAAAATGACGCCAGGACACATTGAATGGGGACGGCTTATAGAGGACCGTTGATGAAAGACATGATGTTTGATGGGAATAAGATCGATCGCCGCCGGCCCGTGGAGAAGATGGTGTTGCATCATCACGTCGCCCCCCATTGGTCCGTCATGCATTCGGAGAAGCGTCCGTCCCCGCGTCCTCCGAGCTCGCATCAATAAATTATCAGGACGAGCAATCCGCCACGGAAAGAGTAGTCAGTCCGCCACAATGTCTCTCGCACGCTTTGGAGGTGCTCTCGCGCGCGCAAGGTGCTCACCGCGGCCGCAATGGCACGCAGCGTAAGTTTTAGCATGACAAGAATCGGAGTGTAGAGTCTAATTGCGTCCAGACGTGCGCTTTCCAGCTCCGCAGCCCGCACCGCCAAAGCCGACAATGAGCTCAATTCGGTCAGCAAGCACATCACTCAGCCCAAGTCGCAGGGTGCCTCGCAGGCTATGCTGTATGCCACCGGTATGAGCGAAACGGACATGAACAAGGCCCAGGTCGGCATCTCGTCGGTCTGGTACTCGGGCAACCCGTGCAACATGCACCTGATGGACCTGAACCACAAAGTGAAGGAGGGTGTAGAGAGGGCAGGATTACTCGGAATGCAGTTCAACACCATTGGTGTCAGTGATGGTATTTCCATGGGCACAAAGGGCATGCGGTACTCGCTGCAGTCGCGTGAGATCATCGCGGACTCAATCGAGACAGTCATGGGCGGTCAGTGGTACGATGCGAACATCTCCATTCCCGGCTGTGACAAGAACATGCCTGGTGTCATCATGGCTATGGGACGTGTAAACAGGCCTTCCCTGATGGTTTACGGCGGCACCATCCAGCCCGGTTGCGCGAAGACCCTCGAGAATCAGCAGATCGATATCGTTTCCGCTTTCCAAGCTTACGGCCAATTCATCACGGGCGAAATCACCGAAGACCAGCGGTTCGACATTATCAGGCATGCTTGCAACGGACAGGGTGCTTGCGGAGGCATGTACACGGCAAACACAATGGCTACGGCGATTGAGACAATGGGCATGTCGCTACCCGGCTCTTCATCAAACCCGGCGAACTCCAAGGCGAAGATGCTGGAGTGCTTGGCAGCAGGTGGCGCTATCAAGAACCTGCTTAAGGAGGATATTCGACCAAGCGACATTCTTACACGGGAAGCATTTGAGAACGCCATGGTTGTCATCAGTATTACTGGTGGTTCGACCAATGCTGTTCTTCACTTGATTGCGATTGCAGACTCCGTTGGCCTCAAGCTCACCATTGACGACTTCCAGAGCGTGAGCAACCGCATCCCACTATTGGCAGATTTGAAGCCTTCCGGCAAGTACGTCATGGCCGACATTCACGACATTGGTGGCACACCTTCGCTTCTCAAGTTCCTGCTCAGGGAAGGCCTCCTTGACGGCAGTCAGATGACTGTGACTGGTAAGACACTCAAGGAGAACTTGGAGAACGTCAGGGATTTCCCTGCTGAGCAGAAGATCATCCGACCGCTCAGCGAGCCTCTGAAATCTACCGGTCACTTGCAAATTCTGAGAGGATCACTTGCACCTGGTGGCTGTGTAGGCAAGATCACGGGTAAGGAGGGCACCATATTCACAGGTAAAGCCAAGTGCTACGATGCCGAGGACGACTTCATCACCGCGCTCGAGCGTGGTGAAATCAAGAAGGGCGAGAAGACAGTCGTTGTCATTCGGTACGAAGGCCCCAAGGGCGGTCCCGGTATGCCTGAGATGTTGAAGCCCAGTTCTGCCATCATGGGCGCTGGTCTCGGCAAGGATGTAGCGCTCATCACAGATGGTCGCTTCAGTGGCGGTAGCCACGGCTTCTTGATCGGTCACATTGTGCCTGAGGCGCAAGAAGGTGGCCCCATTGGCTTGGTCCAGGATGGCGATGAGATCACCATCGACTCGGAGTCGAACGAGCTGAACGTCGCTGTCAGTGAGCAAGAACTAGCAGAGAGGAGGAAGAAGTGGACTGCGCCCGCATTGAAATACCAGAAGGGTACGCTTTTCAAGTACGCGCGGTTCGTCAAGGACGCCAGCCAGGGCTGCGTTACCGACTCCGAATAATATTCACGTTGTTACGCCGTTCACGTTTGCATCTATATGTATGTTTGATAACTACACTGGGGTTGGAAAAGTTTCATCCGGAGTTCGGGCAGACAATACTTGTACATTTGACACAATATAGCTATTCGACCTTCAGTGCCTTCATTACTCATTCTAATTCATCTAATGGACGCGACAAGTAGAGGCAAAGCTGAGGAATACAAGGAGCTGATGGCTACACTTGACAAGGCTGTTGACATGCTAGAGCGCTCGACCTTGATTGATATGAAAAGCAAACAAGAGGTTAGGGCAAAACTCCGAGATGAAAAAGCAATAGGAGATGCGGGATAATCTCCCGCTGACTTTCGGCACATTACATCTCTGATCTCCTTTTCTCCTTCCACTGTAGATTAAGTCCTTGTCTCTCATCTTGGTCGATTCTCAGAACTTTGGGATAGTTGCTGAGGGGTAGCACGTAGAAGCATTGACCGTCTTGCGTCAGGGACGGCGCGTCTGGGGTGTTTCATCCCACAGCCACAACTGCCTCAACTTCATTATGGCAAACTCCGCAACTTTAAACATGTGCAAAAGAGTCGCGAAGATCAAAGGGCGGTGATGCAGGGCGAGCAGTGTGATCTGGATGCGCAACTCCCGGAAATATGGTTTTCGTGCAAGATAGCTCATCACACCCCTGACCCGGTGTTTTGGAGTATTTGCTAGATGGTCAGGTGTTCATGTTGGACAATGAGGTACCTGCGCTGCTTGAGCCTGGGTAGCCAGATCGACGATAATACAGGCACAAGTCCGGGAGAAAAAGGCGAGATCTTGCCGGCAACAGGTAAGAGCGACAAAACCCCCATCAGCGCTTCGCTTGGTCAACGTGGGAGTGTGCTCGCATCGAAGACCGGAAAGCCGCAAAGTGGGATATCGGCGGATTGTATTGCACTCCACTAAGGAATCTGCCGTGGTAGCTCACGCTAAGTGCGCGTTAGTGAAGCAGATCTCCTCTATACCGTTAGCGGCGTAGATCATGGAGTCCAAGTTTGGTTGGTCCCTCGACACGCTAGAGAGAAACTGCCGATGACGCTGAGGCATATTTTCCGAAAACGCAAGATCGACGCCTTGGAGTGCATCTCCCGAGAGATGCAGATCGTCAGGGGAGCAGCCTTGCAGTGCACACGTGGGGCATACTGCGGACTGCAGTAAAGAAAGACATTTGAGCTGTAAGCCTCGCGACACCGTACATGCCCGACACGGTGAGTCTCTAACGACACAGAAACTCACGCACAGTCGTCACGAACTTTCACAGTGTCGCCCACGTCGACAACTCCTCGCCCCAATATCAACTCTCCCGCCAAAATTAAGAGATACGTTCACATCTGTGGCGTAAATTGACTTACTGGACCCTCCCAAGCTGCGATCCGGAAGCTTGACGGCCGGGATCCACCTAGAGATATGCACTAAGATGAGGCTATAACTCCCCTTCACCCTAGTACGTGTGGATTATACCCCAGAACATCAAATCTAACTCTCTATGAAGGCCAATAAGCTTTCACAGCGGCCGACGTGCCAGAGGCTCATTGGGAACGGCAACATCGGCCAGTAGATGTATGAAGATCGACGATGCGTGCAGCATGACTAGACAAGTTGTAGTCCCAGCTTTTTCACCATGGCGTAGCTTGGTGTAGAATGTCTGAACCCACGATGAAGGCCCCAACTTGCCTGAGGCTTTAGCGTACAGTAAATTGTCGATCAACTAGACAAACTAAATCAGTGTATCAAAGTGGTGAGCTTCTATAGACATATAAACTACCCTGCAATCCACCAAAGAATCATAATCCAACTCATCATCACACTCACTTTCGTTCTTTGCCAATCACTCAATTCACTTTAAACTTCTAATAATCGTCCTTCTTCGTCGACTATCAACAAGACCATCAAAATGCGTTCCACCATCGCTGTCTCGATCTTTGCGCTCTCCGCCTCGGTTCTCGCAGCCCCTACTCCCCAGAACGCTGCTCTCTCTGGCCTCGTTGGTGGTCTTACCAGCACTGTTGGCTCTGTCACCAACCCCAGCGCTGGCAGTGATAACTTGATCTCCGGCAACGGTAACAACAACGGCCAGAACAACGGCAACGGAAACTCTGCTGGCAACGCCAATGGTAACAACAACCAGGCCGGTACCGGCAACGCTGCTGGCAACGGCAACAGCTTCAATTTGAGGCCCCTCGGTGGCATCCTAGGCAACGCCAAGCGTGGTCTCCCTGACACCGTCAACGGTGTCCCGCTTGTTGGACCCATCGCCGGCGGCCTCACTGACGGCAAGGGTGGTCTCCTCAATGGTGTAACCGTCGGCCCTACCACCGACTCTCTCACTAAGGGTCTCCCCGTCGTCAATGGCCTCGTTGGACGTGGCCTCACCGACAGCCTCGATCTCAACAAGCTGAACCAGGCTCAGCTCCTCTCCCTCCTCGGTCAGGTCACTGGCGCCCTCCAGACTAACAGTGCCACTTCCGGTGTCACTGGTACTCTTACACCAGTCACTGGCGCTACTAAGCCCGTCACTGATGCCGTCAAGCCCGTCACTGGTGCTGTCAAGCCCGTCACTGGTGCCACTGGAGGCCTCACAAGCGGCCTCCTGAAGCGCCAGGGCAACCTCCTGGGCGGCGTCACCGGCACCGTCAACGGTGTTGTCGGCACCCTCTCTACCACCGCTGGCTCCGTCACTGGTGCCACCGCCGGCAGCGGTAACTCGCTCCTCAACAACGGCAACAGCAACGGCCAGGGCAATGGCGTAAGCGTCTCTATATCATCCCCCATCCTACGATTTTATACTAACATCTCTCTCACAGAACAATAACCAAGCCGGAAACGGCAACGGAAACGGAAACTCCGCTGGAACCGGCAACTCCGCCGGCAACAACGACTTCAACGTAAGTCCCGAAACCGAGCTCCCTGACATCGATGGCCCGCTCGTCACGCTGCCTGATGTTAACGTTGCTCCTGTGATCAAGTCAGTTTAGTCTAGATCATTGGGTAGTAGTTGTTTCTTTTGGCCACTTTTGCTGATAGCTTTTTACAGCTTTAGATGAAAAGTCTGCAATGACTGGTAATTGATATACCCGGGACGAACTTTTCCTTTCTACGACGCTTGATGACTGGTATTGGTCTGATGGATTTATACATATACTTTAGTAGTAGTACGAATGCACTTTTTTCACCTCTGTAACTTTTGTTCATACTCTTGATACGACACTCACTGTACAATGTGAATTTACATAAGTCTCTTGAGACGTTGTGCCTTTGAGTAGACATCCTCGCTATCTATTGTGATTCTTTATGCACACGAACGAACGTCAAGATCGGCCGTGGCGGCGATGAAAAGAACGCAGATCGAATCTTCGAGATTACTGAATTGTGCAAGACCTACAACGTCAGGTTCAAACTTAACACGGTAGTTAACATCTACAACTAGGAAGAAGACATGATCGCCAACATTGAGAAGCTAGCGCCATTCCGATAGAAGGTCTTCCAGTGTCTCATCGTCGCAGGCGAGAACGACGAAGAGACCCGGAAGCGAGACGCAAGGAAGTTTCTGGTTACCAACAAACAGTGGCGAACCTTCTGTGATCGGCATAAGCACCTTTCATGCTACGCACCCGAAGACAACAACGCTATGGCTAGCAGCTACTTGTTCCTTGACGAGTACATACGTTTTATGGACAAGGGTGAGGACATAATGACTACAAGCGAGTCGATATTAGACATTGGCGTTCTGAAAGCCATGGAACAGATCGTTTGGGACAAGAAGTTGTTTGTTGAGCGGGGGGCATCTATGATTGAGGCAGGGCAGTAATAAAGCCGGCCAAGGAGGTCAGTTGTGGTACTGCGCTATTCAACTAGCTCTTGCGTAGCAATGCCAGATGTCCTCCAGCTGTCACAGTGTCCCCCGGTTTCACCAACAACTTCTCGACCTTCAATTTGCCAGCCTTCGCCACAGCATCAGGTGTCTTGACCGCAATCTCCAGCTTCATCGCTTCAAGAATAACGATCTTCGTCCTATTAGCATCGGCAGATAAACAATAGCATCACTTGACTTACCACACTCTCATCTCCAATCTCATCACCCTCACTGACCTCCACTTTCCACACATTAGCATCGACTGGTGCCTCAACACCAACGATCGCCGGGTCATCGAGCAGCTTCTCCACTGTTCCCTCATCAACCTGACTCTCTGCTTTCTCCTTCCTCCAGCGTTCCAAACTCTCGTTCTCCGCTTTCGTCATCTCTTCTTGCGCAACAGCTTGCTTCTTCCTGATATCTCTCACTTCGTCGCTTGTCATCTTTAGGAGCTGGTTGTGCTGCGCCATATCAAACTCTACCTCATCGTACTTCCATTCATACTTGCCCGCGCGGAACTTGGCAAATATATCATCGAGTTCCTGTTCGCTAACCTGGTAAAAGGTGAGAAGATCGAAGTCACGGAAAATCCAAGGTTTTTGATCAAAACCAGGTTTGTAGGAGTAATAGTCCCAGCATGGCACTGTCCGACCAATCATTTGATATCCGCCTGGAGAGTCAACAGGATAAATAGACATGCAACTACCTGCCCAACCCAAGGTGCCTTCTGGTGTAAAAACGCGGCTTGGGTTCATCTTCGGGGCAGAGAGACGCTGACGTGGATCTACGGGGAGTGAGACGGTGTTACCGCAGAAGAAGCCAACAACGACTGCCATGAATTGGCCTGTGAGATATATGTCTTTGAGTTGCTGAGGCGTAAATGCATTGTTCTTCGCGACGAAAGCCAGATTATCAGGTAGGTAGGGTGCGTGAGGTCGTTGATTGGTCATGTAACGTTGCGTTGCTTCTTCCTGAAGTTTTGACTCAAATGATACGGGAAGTTTAAAAACGCGTGTAGGGACTTTGGTACTTCTCAAATCGCCGAGATTTGATTCGATGTACTGGAGATGTGCGACGAGATCTGAACGAGGGAGTTTAGAGCCGTTGTAGTGAAGAAGCAGCGTAGTACAACATCCTACGGTGTTGTAAAGATTGGACTTGATGATGTCGGGAGTCGATGCTGAATGCAATGCGTTCTCCAAAGCGGTAACACGACAGCGGTGGTTGAGATCGAAGTTCTCGTTGCCGTATTCGATCAAAATATGATCATCGCCTCCTTGGCGATATCTGACTTGTGGGGTACTTTCATTCTCCTCCTTCTCCCATACGATGGCCTTGCCAATGTCACCCTCGTGGAAGTTGCAGTGTGCGCCTTGCAACTTCTCAATGCTGTCGAATCCGCTGCCGCTCTGGATAGCTTGGGCGATGGATTCCAGGAAGCTATCGTTCTTCTTTCTCTTCTTCAGCGCATCACCAAGTCCAACTCGGACGTACTTCACGGTGTTGCCTGCTTTGAGCTGTCCCAACTTCCACCAGTCTGCCTTGACGACGGTTGTACTGCTAGTGAAACCACCGAAGTTTGGGCAGTCTACTGGAAATATGCATGGGTCGTCTCCAGTCCAGTTCAACGTGCCCAGTGGATATCCGTATTCTACTAAATTGCTGGGGTGTGCGCCACCTTCACCGCCATCCTTCCGCGCCCATTTTGGTACCGGCCCAACTAGACGAATACCACTCCGCGATGCGTTGTGTGATACTTTCCACTCAGTGTTATATATCTGCTCGATAAATTCCGGGTCGAAGTAGCCTTCATCGTGGGGTCCAACCATTGCCGTTATCTCCCAGCTTGACTTATAGATAGGTCGCAACTTTTCGGGAAGCGAGACACTGGTAAAGTTGTCTGGAAGCTTGTCCGTTATCTGTAATAGATCACTTGGGGCAAGTGCGCGGCCCTGGTAGCCTCCAATCGCTACAAGCGGTGACGTTGACTTTGAGCCGAAGTATTCTGCGACTGACGGAAAGCCTCCGTAGACGGCTAGGTAGGAGCGGCAACCTCCACCTGTTGTCTTTCCGATCTTGAGCTTTTGGCCAGCTTCAACCTTTACGCTCTCCCACATGGGAAACTCCTTACCGTCGAGTGTTGTCTCCATAGGAGCGCCGCATAAAGCAACGATAGCAGGACCGACAAACCTCAATTCTGGACCACTCAACGTAAGTTCTAGAGCTTCCTTTGATCTCGAATTTCCGACGAGCATGTTGGCAATTTGGAATGCTATTGGATCCATGGGTCCAGAATGAGGTACGCCTTTGCCGACCGTCGGTCTACCGGGGAGATCTTGGATCAAAGTATAGGCGCCAGCTGAGATGACATCGATAGCATGAGGCGTAAACTTGAAGTCCTTAAGAAAGCTGGTCATAGTATCACCGTCTTTGAAACGTGAATCGTCCAATATGCTGGCGAGGAACTCGAGATTAGTAGGTGGCCCGCTGATGGTCGACTGGGTAAGAAGCTCCGTCATCGACGCGATTGCCTTGTCTCTGGAGTGAGAGTGGACCATCGCCTTCGCTATTAGAGGATCTAGGAACTGTTAGCAGATAGTGGATTAATTGCATCCAGACTCTGATCTCAATACAAGAATAGTCAGTGCACACGCTGAAGGCAGGAGCGTCGTACCATAATTGGGAGTAATACGAACTCCTGTGAACACCCAAGTATCAATACGCGTTCCAGGAACGTCCTTCCATGAAACTTTCTGCAGAAGTCCTGGAGATGGTGCGTAGTCCCTCAACGGATTCTCGGCGTAAACGCGAGCTTCGATAGCGGATCCTGTTGGACTTGACGGCTGCATGTCTTTCAAGGTCTTGCCGTCGAGGCCATGTTTCCCTGCCAGCTGTGCATCTGCTTGCTTCAGCATGAGTTCTACCAGATCGACGTTGTAGCAAAGTTCCGTGATGCCGTGCTCAACTTGAAGTCGCGTGTTCATTTCCAGGAAGAAGAAATCGCTGGACTTGTCGTCTACAAGATATTCGATGGTGCCTGCAGAACCATATTTGATCGACTCAGCCAAACGCACTGCAGCGTCTCCTAATTTCTTTCGCAGCTCGGGGTGCCGTTCGACAAATGGACTCGGACACTCCTCAATGACCTTCTGGTGTCGTCTTTGGATGGAGCATTCGCGTTCGCCGAAGTGAATTGCTTGACCTTGACCATTACCAAACACCTGTACCTCAATATGGTGGCTGGCAGGGTAAAAAGCTTCGATGAAAACCCCAGGATTCTTGAATAGTGTTTTTCCTCTTGATTGGACCATTCGGAACCCCTCACGCACTTCTTCAACCTTGTTGCAAGTGATGAGGCCCATGCCACCGCCACCGCCAGTCGCTTTCAACATGACTGGGAAACCGATGCGCTCGGCTTCTTTCACGGCCATGTCTTCATTTTCGACCAGGCCTTTCGTTCCAGGCACGATGGGGACATTGGCTTTTTCGGCCAGATCTCGGGCGGTGTGTTTGACGCCAAAGGCTTCAATGGCCTCCGGAGATGGCCCTGCCCAAACTATTCCCGCGTCGCCCACTCGTCGCGCAAAGGGCGCGTTCTCCGAAAGGAAACCGTACCCGGGAATGATAGCATCTACCCCCTTTTCCTTAGCTATCCGCAGAACAACTTCCTCATCCGTATACGCGGTCGCATTGCTCCCAGGCAGCAAAACGGCCTCGTCGGCATCGCGTACGTGTTGCGACGCAGCATCAGCTTCCGAATAGATGGCGATGCTCTTGATGCCGAGTTTCTTTGCGGTCCTGATTATGCGCACCTGTCCGTGCAGATGATGTCAGTTATCGATAACGGAACAACTCCGCGGCGTCAACTACGTACCGCAATCTCTCCACGGTTCGCGATCAATAGAACTCGGAGTTTTTGAATTTCAAACATTGAAGCAAAAGGTTCCCAAGATAGTCATCTCACTCGAAACATCCACGAGAATGCGACCTCTATGAAGCTCATTGTTGGAGGCAGTGCAGTAGCGTATCATGACCCCACACTTTCTGTACTTTCCGCCATTCCCCTTTTGTGCCCATATCTCACCTTCACCCGTTGGAGCGAAGGCGTTGTAATTGGTGATTTGGTAGACGCGCTTTCTGCCGGGATATCGCCGGTCCTGAAGACGTCACCACCGAGCTTCAAGAGGCGGGGTCGACATCGACAACAAGCATTGAGGCATGACACTAGGCGTGCAGCGCGTTTAATAACTGTGGGGGTAGTTAGCAGACCATTCAAAAGACTGTGGAAAACCGCCGAGTAGCTTGAAAGCGTGACTTCCGGACCGAGCAAGTTACTCCAACTACTCCAACTGTATCCGCTGCCATCGAATGCACGTCTGATCGCACCTGGGCATACCCGAGGAGCAACGAGAGACCTCTGATACTCCAACTGCAGTGCTTCGATTTCATCAGTCAACTCGTCTTAACCTTCCTCAATCAAGCATTCTTACCAAACGAGTTCCTACAATGCCAACTATCAAGCATCCCGTCAAGATCAACGTAGACCTAGGTGAAGGCTACGGAAACTTCAAGTGTGGTCCAGATGATGAGTTGATCCCGCTGATTGACCATGCGAACATAGCATGTGGTTTCCACGCTGGGTAGGACGAAATCTCATGGTCACATCATCACCACAATCTAACAATGCATCAGGGACCCGTTAATTATGCATCAAACGGTACTCGCCTGCAAAAAGCACAACATAGCCATCGGCGCCCATCCCGGCCTTCCCGACATCCAAGGCTTTGGTCGACGGGAAATCAAGATGTCACCCGAGGAATTAACAGCCGCAGTTCGCTACCAAGTCGGCGCCTTGAAAGCATTCTTAGATGCGGAAAATGTGCCGTTGCACCATGTAAAACCACACGGCGTGTTGTACGGGATGATGTATCGGGATAGAGAGGTGTGTCGAGCGGTTTATGCTGGTGTACCTAAGGGAACAACTGTGTTTGGTCTTGCAGGGACGTTGCATGAGGAGGTTGCGAAAGAGCTTGGATTGCCGTTCGTTGCGGAGTTGTACGGGGATGTCAAGTATAGCAAAGATGGGACGCTCGTTATTGACAGGAAGAAGAAGTATGTCACCTCCATTCATACTTTTGTGTCACAATCCTTACCATATACAGGCCGTGGCATCCAGATGAGACGAGGAAGCACGTTCAGAGTCAGGTGGAGAATGCGACTGTTACCGCGGTTACGGGCGAGGAAGTTCAACTTCCTATCGGCGGCCACGAGGTCTCGTTGTGTTGTCATTCCGATTCGCCTGGGGCTGTGGAAATCGTGAAGGCTGCAAGAGAAATTGTCGACCAGTTTAACAGCAAACATTTCGGGAAGTCTTAAAGAGTGTATTGTTTGGTCTTGGCTGTCAGTTTGAGGAGTTACAGAAAGTAGCATGCAGCTGGTGTCTGTCAATGATAAGTAGTATTGGGTACCGCTTAGTCAGGTTGAGTAGAATGATGTGCATTTCATCTACATGGGATGTATGAAAGGAGATACTAATGGTGGAAATCGGGTATGAGCATCACAGTCCACAGAAGACTGCTGTTGCCATTGTTGTCATCAGGCTAGTCTAGAACCCACATTCAACGGAAGTTCTCAGCATTCAATACCAGCAGGATTCTTTGTGTGCGTTGGCCACGTTTGAAATATTGATAGTCTATTCACACTGAACTCCACTAGCTATTCACTGACCCAAGTCATTCAAAAGCCCACGCTCCTGTATCATGCATACATTTTCAAAAATTTCAAATCAAGATCCAAGCTCCTCCCGTTACATGCCAAATATGGGCTATGAATGCAATAAGACGCCCTATATGCAAGTCGGTCATCGGTCTTCCCCTCGTTTTGCTTCCACATTACACAACATATCTGGCCTCTCGTGTGCGTGGCCGTTTCGTGGGGGTATAATCAAACAACAAAATTGGTCGGTCGGTTGCTGTATTGTGACCGCCAATGGGCATATCATAAGCCCGGAGTTACCGTTCCGCTTTGGCTGTGAATGCTCGAATGGGCAATTTGCAACTCGAAGAGTGCCGCCCAGGCGGTTCCCTCAGCATTGTGCAGTATCATCGCACTCGACCACCGTGTCGGCCACGACTGTGACATCTAGGGGCCAGAACGGCACCTGGAAGCCTTCACTGCACCGATAGTGCACCACCACTTAAGTCGTGTTTTTATGAATCGCTTGCGTCTGCCATGGTTACATCAGCAGCACCAGTATCTTGGACCAGTGGTGATGTTGCAGGAAGGATGGCTGATCGCGGTCGGTTGTATTCGACGTCAAGATGATCGGGCATGCTCGCTGGGGTAGAGGATCGCGAGTCGAAGTCCTCTTCGGCAGGTGGTGAAAAGTCCCACACCTAATCACATTAGTACGTCATTCTGGTGATGATTGCGCGCGACAAGCTTACCTCCATAATGGTGCGACCGCCCCGGCTGGCCATGATGACAGCCTTCTCTTCCTCGAATACGACTCTCCAAACAGCCTCGGCAGGGCTGCTCAACTCTCGTACGGGGACACCAGTTTTGAGATCCCAAACCTTGACACGACCATCACTGCCACCGCTGACTATCCTGGTGTTATCAAACTGTAGACTCGTAACGCTGTTGTCGTGAGCAGCCAATCGGTGAATCGCTTGGTATGTCGCGAGGCTCCACACGCGGACCGAGCCGTCTGATCCACCAGTCACAAGGATATCGTCACGCATTTGAAGCTGTCCGACGAGGGAGGTGTGGCCTTGTAGCACAGCCAGACATTTGCTACACGAAAGAGTTAGTTTTCGATGAAGTCGTAGCACACGATTTGACTTACCCATCGTTGGGGTCCCATATCCGGACGCTGGTATCCAGACTGCCTGTCGCAATCTTCTTTCCGTCGAAGGCGATCGCATAGATTTGACTAAAGTGGCCAGTAAGTGTGCGCAGACACTTGCCCTCGGATATGCTCCAGATCTTCGCTGTGGTGTCGTAGCTGCCTGAAACAACGATGTCGCCGTGTATTTCGAGGCATCGAACGCTAGCTTGGTGACCTATGAGTACATGCTTGCATAAGCCCTTCTTGAGGTCCCAGATGCGTAGTGTGGTATCTCGTGAGCCGGATATAGCCGTATTCGCGTCGGACATCTTCAAACATCGCACTGTCGAAGTGTGGCCGCGGAGGGTGAACTGGGGAAAGCTGAAAATCTGTTAGTTATCGTTTTCGAGTGGGTGATGGAGAAAGCGTACCCAGTCGCAAGATTCCATACACGCACGTCGCGATCGCATCCACCACTGACTAGAAGATCACCCCAAGGCACCATGGCCCACACGCCCATGACGTGTCCCTGCAGCGTCTTCTGATGGTCGCCGACCGTGTCGAAGACATGGATCTTCGCATTGTCGAGTGCAACCACGATGTACTTGTTGGTAAGGTGTAGGCTGGTGACTACACCCTGATCCGGGGTGATTTGTCGCGCATCGCATACTCCTCCATTCCGCCACGCCGTCTCAACCATGTATCTCTGCTTGAAATGCGATCGGTATGTGGTAGCCTGCTGTTTCCGTTGTGATGGCTTCCTCTTCGCGGCTCGATCGAGACTCTGTGTCCGGAGACCCTCAGCGCCGGCATTTGACGGGCCAACTTCAAGGTGTTCTCTTTCAGTAACATCCTCTATCCTGGGTGCGCGCTCGTCGTCCCGCCACCACGACTTGGAGTCGGTGTCCTCCATCTCATCGTTTGCGTCATCCTCTTCGATCCTTTCTTCTCTCGACAGCGCCCTGAAAGAGTACTTCTGACACAGCAACCGCCAGGCACTGTCATCGTTGACGAGTTCGCGCCACTTCTTGGATACTTGCGACGCCCGAGCGAGGGTAGTGGGGTCGTCCACGCATTCGAGAATCTGTGTGATGTGTCAGCCATCTCGGCATTACAAGTGTTCGGTACGGAACCCACCCTCAAGCATAGTTCGGTCGGGAGGACCATGAAGGGGTCCTTTTTTAACCTGGGACTGACAAACTCAGCCACAAAGCTCAACTCCTGACTGTCGCATAGATTCAGCAGCTCTCCCAGCAATCGCATTCGCTCCGCCCTATTCATATCGCCAAACTGCGCTCGTATGCTCTTGATGTCGCCATCTTCGTGTTCGGCTGCAGTGCTCCAGTCGGGGACTCGCTGGGTCGGCGTAGGACTCGGCGCCGGTGTAGGCGGTGAAGCAGGCGCTGAAGGCAGGAGATTGTGCGGTATGGTCGAGCTCAGGGGACTATTAGGTGTGATTAAGGGACGTGGTGCTCCCGATCGAGACATGCGGCCGGGCTTGCGCGGGTGTGGTGATGTGTATATGGTGGATCGCGAAGAGGAGGCGGTAGCAGTGGCAGAGGCGGCCATATCGGTGTCGGAGTCCTCAATCTGCGGTCCTGAAGCATCTCGGTCTTCCCGGACGGGTGGGAAATAGTCTGACGAGTCCATGACGGCGGCCCTGCAGACTTCGGATGCGGTATGGCGTTCCCTATACGGCACGGCGCTCTATGTAGCAGCAGATAAAAGAGTGACGGGGGAGTCGGGCGGGTGTATATGTCGTCCAACAAGGCGCAAGTATTGTGGGAATCACACTTGGAGAAAGGGAAGGAGGTCTGCGGAGGTTTCGAGTGGGTAGGCGCGACTGGGTGACGCCGGCGGCCAAGACATCACTCAGCCCTGGAAACCTCAGACGTCCATTTCCAGGCTTCACCTCACCATCCCTGCATATGCACTTGAGACGACTGAGGCTAGTTTGCCTGTAAAATCTCCTGTGCAGCATCTTAAGTGCATGCCATAATTAGACGCCCGTCGTCAAACGTCCCAGGGGGTCAGGTGCAGGCCATGTTTCATGCATTGTATTGTCTTCGCGAACGCCAAACCGCCATGGTCCCCTCGACTTCAACAAGCGCAAAACAAATGGTTGAGACCCAACTCCTCGAGTACTCCGTAGTACCGAGCCGTCGGACTATCTGGTAATGTACCTTCAGCCGCCATCACCTGTTATCCAGAGAGTTGCATTGTTGTACGCCTCAGGCATAGTACAACACCACCTGAGCACCCATTTGCACGGCGCTTAAAGTCACGAAGGTCACGAGCTGTATTCAATAATCACAAGAGACCCTTGTTCCCACTCGAGAACTCACATGTCATGGCGGTCACGCCTTGCACCTCCTTTTTGCTCAATGCTTAGCTAGCATAGTCTGAACACATTAGAAGGGGTGCACGGTTCCCGTAGTGAAGGCTCGATCGATCGCCCTAGGTTCGCCATCATGTTCCCAACCACCAAGCTCTTTACTTTAGTACTCTTCCAAGGTTCAGATGAGCCAAAGCACGATGCTTACTACCAGAGCTATGTCATATCCGATCATGTATGCGTCTCTGGATCGTAATACATCATGAGCCTACATGTTCTCCCGGATCTCGGATGACAGGCTAGCACATTTCTTGTGTTCTGCAAGTTCTGTGCGGCAAAAGTACTGCGGATATTGATGAACACCCCAAATATAGGGACTTCGTTGGCGAGGCCGTGATAAAGTGCGAGTGATGTAGATGCTCTAGCACTCTCTGAGCGGAGATCATCTGGTTGGTGTGAGGCTGAGTCTTGTGGCTGAGATGCGCAGAAAGTTACGTGGAATCAAAACTGCACTATGAAATTGATACATGTTTCCTCATTCGGTCATATTAAGCATGGTGTTGTTATGCCATCAGGTACCAGCCCTGGAGGTACCTGGGTAGAAGCGGCGTGCTTACCCAAAGAAGGCTGGCAGGACGGGAAACGTGCGAAGGAAGCACGCAATTTCCCCGCGACGTCATTGGGTCCGACATCGTCGCATTCCCATCATTTTTCGCACGACGGGTCCGTCAACGGTCCAGCCCGTTTGTCATCGTGAATGTAGCGTCATCATGGAGTTCCTACATGTCGTCTCCACTTTCACATACCTCTGCCCTCGATCCGCGCGTGCTTTGGGCAATCGCTGCAGCAATGAGCGTCCCCCGTAGCCTGTTCGTCGGCGCGCGAGCATCACGATCCGCAACCATCACACAATGTTTCGCCAAGAGATCATCTCAGACTCCGCTGTTGTTTGCGAGACAGCAATCGAATCAAGCTACTCGAAAGCTACATCAGCAGACGCCACGTAAAGCTCAACATGCCGCTGCCTCCACAGAAGTCGAATCGTCCAACCCCGCCCTCTCCTTCCCATGCCTCGACGCTCACGAATCCCGCTCTGCATCTCTTTCACGGACACGATCATCTTCAGGGCCCGAACCCTCATATACCTCAGGGCACACCCTCAACTTCCATTCAAAACAGCCTATACTGCTTGATTGGGGCGGTATATTGCCAGAGTTCAACATTGCATATGAGACATGGGGGCAACTCAACTCGAGCAAGAACAATGCTATCTTGCTCCATACCGGGTTATCCGCGTCTAGTCATGCCCACAGCACAGAAATGAACACGAAGCCGGGATGGTGGGAGAAGTTTATCGGTCCAGGAAAGCCTTTGGATACAGACAAGTATTTCGTCATCTGCACGAACGTAATCGGAGGCTGCTACGGCTCGACTGGACCATCTTCAATCGACCCTGCCAACAGTGAGCGATACGCGACCCGATTTCCGATTCTTACAATGGAGGACATGGTACGCGCGCAGTTCCGACTGTTGGACAACCTTGGTATCCAGAAGCTGTATGCGAGTGTAGGATCGAGTATGGGTGGCATGCAGAGTCTGGCTGCTGGAACACTGTTTCCTGAGCGCGTGGGCCGTCTTGTCAGCATCAGCGGATGTGCGCGCAGCCACCCGTACAGCATCGCCATGAGGCACACCCAACGGCAAGGTCAGTGCAAACAGTGAGAACGCATCATGCACATTTATTAACTTGTTCCTAGTGCTCATGATGGACCCGAACTGGGCCCGTGGTTTCTACTATGACGGCATCCCTCCACACGGCGGCATGAAGCTCGCCCGAGAGATTGCCACAGTCACATATCGCAGTGGTCCAGAATGGGAGCAGCGATTTGGTCGACGGCGAGCAGACCCTTCTCGGCCACCGGCCCTTTGCCCGGACTTCCTCATCGAAACTTACCTCGATCACGCGGGAGAGAAGTGGTGTCTGGAGTATGATCCGAACAGCTTGCTCTATGTCTCCAAGGCTATGGATCTCTTCGATCTGGGACAAGAGCACCGTAATCGCATCAACGAGGTGCGAAAGGCGAACAGCGGGAAGATGCAGGCTTATCTGGATGGTCACGACATCACGTCTGACACCAGCAGCGATGTGTGCAGCTTGACTTTGCCTGACCAGCCCTACGAAGAAAAGGAGCAGCCCGCCGACGTCGATTCGGTGGCGCAGACCGACGGTAGCGAACCACCGGCCGATCTCGTGGCTGGTCTGAGGCCTCTTGCGAACACTCCGACTCTTGTTTTGGGTGTTGCTAGTGACATTCTGTTCCCTGCTTGGCAACAGAAGGAAATAGCAACAACGCTCAAGCGCACTGGTAACAAGAATGTTACGCACATTGAGCTTGGCGAGGAGAAGAGCTTGTTTGGTCACGACACTTTCCTGCTTGATCTTCAGAATGTTGGTGGTGCTGTGCAGAACTTTCTGGGATGAGGACATTACTCTACAACAATATTCCTATTTGAACTGAAAAGTCTTTGGACTCGAAATGTATGCATTGCAGGCGTTTTTTTAAGCTATGCGATGGACGATATATTTACATCAAAAGAATATGTCTCAGTGTTTATCTTGTGATATCTTTACTTTGCCCCAGGAATCTCACTCTTGACGTTCAAACCCTTCCATTCTGCGCCCATGGCCTCGTCAATCCACTTGCATTCCGTCAGCCCGATATGTTCGCGAACATATTCTTCCAGCGTCTTAGCTCCTGGGGCGCCTTCGTAGATGGCCAGAGCACCAACACGGGGAATGTGTAGGCTGGATGCGAGTCGGAACTCCGCTGATGTTTGGAATGGGATGAGTCGTGTGGCTGTTTGGGGTGTGCTTGGAGTAGCGGATAGTGGGGAGAGGGTGGCTAGGTGGACCAGCGTTGGGAGGTGGGCATGTGCGGGTGATAGAGAGGGTTTGGGGTGGGTTAGTACGACCATGCTTAGGGGTCTGAGGGCTTCTTCAGGATGGCCTTTTGGCGCGTCTTTTTCTTCTGGGTCATCTTGGGTAAATTTTTGATCCGCAACAGGTGCTGTAGATGGAGCGTTTTTGGCAGCCAAGGCTTCTAGATGTCGCGTCACGCTGTTGAGGCCAACAAGCAGATGCTTTCCAATGTCTGGTACGGGAGGTGCAGTCTCAGACGTGGTGGATTCATTGTCGTCTGCTTTGGTGCTGCGTTTCCGCTTCCTGCCTTTGGACGGGTGGACATGGGTTCTACGGTGGTCACCCAGTGGTGTGATGAGACTGTATGACTGTCAGTGATCGAAGACAGATTCTCACAGTTGAAACAACATGGGTCGCGAGAGGTAGAATGATGAAGCTCCGCTCTGCGTACCTACTTGCACAGCAGTTCTAATATGACCTCCTCATCTTCGCGTGATACTTCAGGCCTGCGCAAATTAGCGGGATTCATCAAGTCATCATGGACATGCGCACCATTTTGTCTCCGTGAACGGCGAGGATGTTTTGAAGACGGGCTTCGCGTTCTGTTTCGTAGGTGCCATTGCCAAGATCGTGTCTCCAACCAGACCTTTTTACTCCTAATATCAGCTGTCGCTATGGATACCTGCCGACGTCGAAGAGCAGAAGTACTTTTCAAGCTGGCCGAAGTGAGCCCGACACTCTGTCAGTACTGGGTCTAGATAAGTGAGACTTGTAAGGTGGAGTAGACCGGCGTGCCTTGCATTAGATGGAGGATTTCTCGATCTTGGTCAGATAAGGCTTAGACGACGCTCGCTAGCGGCACACTAACTCCACTGCGGGAACGAACCAGGATGACGATGGTGGGGTTTCTTAGCTACGCGTCCGAATATCTGAAGCTCTGCCTACCAACGAAACTCCGATTTTTGCTCATTGTATACTCTCAATTCGGCTCCTTTCCATCGCTGACACAGATGAGATCCAATCTCCCCGCGTTTTCCCTGCCGCCGTGCGAGGCTGTTGGCCACTAAGGCTGGGAGGAGCTGCTGTTGCCTGTACTTGGGAGCTGCTTGCCCTCTGCCTGGCCTCACCTGCCTGCACGCGTGCTAATAGTCGCTGGCCACGCCTAGTCCTTTCGCAAACAGCAACACACGCCTTTTACCGTCATGACCGCGCCGGACAAAGGTATAGTGCAGTTTGTCACTGCAGACGAGCCAGCAATCACCGCCTCTGCCTCGCCGCCGCGCCGCGATCCCATTGAAGACGCCGACGCAAGCTACACCCGTAAACGCCCCCGCCTACATAGCGGGAGCAATAGCCTGTGCGCCATGCCTAGCGACCCTCAAACCCCCACGAATACCACTGCATCGCCCTCTGAGAAGCAGGTAGAGATGACCATACGCTCACACCCGCCCTCCTCTCCGGTACGCGTTGGAGATGACGACCATGGCAATGCTAGTGACTTCCCCGAGGGACCTTCACCCACCCCGGGCCAGTCGCCTATACTCATCACCAGTAGTGAAGACGAGCGCGGAAGTCCGCCCATTATGGTAATTGACGATGATTACGAGGCAATCGGCTTTTCTGTACAGATGGACGCAGAGGACTATTTTCGCCGGTTTCCCTACTCCCAGCACGGTACCTACTCTACCGTTATTCGCGACTTGACACAACACATACAAGGAAGTAAGTCATGTTTCACCACCACTATATGCCTGCAATTCTAACATCATTAGTCGACAACGACATCGATCTCGACTTCTTTCCTGGCCTTTCACGATGGCTGACCGATATACCCGAACCCTCAGCCGACTTGTACGGCTTTTATACGAGCAAGGCCATGTTCTGGGACGATCTTGCCTTACTGGTCAATAAAGTGTTATCACGCAGGGCTGCATTTGGACACCAATTAGACGATCGTCGTACAGGCGACATGTTCTACGGTTTCCTGAGTGCATACATCAGAATATGCTCTTTCCTTCTACTTGCCGATGTCCTCTTGCTCTCCCGACCGCGTCCTAATGAGATCTATAATTTGCCTCTCCTTAGCCAGAAGCACATGCGGAATTGGCATACCATTCTTCGCCCCGAAAAGGCTCCTGTATTTTCTATGGTTAGCAAAGAATACTCCACCGATATCCGCAAAATGGTTTCGCTACTGCAGAAGGACTTTCTGGCCGCCAACGGTGCTCAAAATCTGCTACAGCTGGCCAACGAGGCCTTCCACCACGTACCTTCGAGCACGCAAACCCAAATCGCAGCGGTCGCCGCTCCTGTCTTGAGTTCGTTGGGCGTATCAATGTTCCAGGATTCTAAGCTTGCCGGCGACGACGATCGCTCTGAGTTCTGTCGCGGAACCCTACTATTCTTGGAAAAGTACATGGACGATCTCTTCGATTTGAGCAGAACCACCGATGCTACCGTCGCCCGAGACTTGATTCAACACTTTTACACGCTATTGTTCGAGCTATGCCTCTGGGACAAGAAGATAGAGTCCTGTCTAGTCGACAGGTTCTTAGACTTCAGGAGCATAGATTCACCGACCACCTTGTCCTCCATCGAAAACAGTCCTGCCGGAAATCAGGACGCGTATCGCAATGACCCTCAGTACTTTCCGGCACTAGTCGCCAACGCCTGGAAGTTCAAGATTCTGCGCCGATACCTTACCAAAGGCAAAATGGACTTGCGCGTAATGAGTATAGCTGTCATGGATATAAGCTTGGTCGAAATCTGGAAACAGTACAACGAGGTCGACGCAACAGGAAAGCATCCTGTCATGCGGTACCTAGCGGACTTTCTCCTCGACGGGAAAGTGGTTGACTACCTCGTCAGTGTGGACTCTCATCCGCAATTGATCGCGCGCAGTGGGAACATTGTTGGATTTCTTATCGTGACCCAGCGTTGGACGGATTCACAAGCGGACGCCATCTGGAACACGGTCGCCACAAATCCTGACCCTCGAGTCGTTACCGCAACTATGTCCATGCTTAGGCCAATCACCCATCTGATGAAGCCCGCTGATCATTTGTACTTTTGCACTAAGCTTTACGAGATGCCCATCAGCAGCTATACGATGGAAATCTTCCGGTTTCTCCAAGAGTTGGGCCTAAAGATTGTGGAGAAGGCCTCACCGGAAGACTATGCCGCACGGGGAGACACCGCTAGGCCGTGGAATGTTTGCATCCGCCTCATCCGCGACACAATGTCTCAGAAAGCGGCAGACAAAGACATGCTGGACCTGTACTGCGAGGCTGCTGAGCACCTCAAAACTTTCGCACATAGCGTCTCTGTTGAAGAGCGGCACTCAATCTACAGGGATTGTGCGGATTACATTGGCAGCAACTCAGCCAAGGCGACTGGTAGTGCAAGAGTCATCTTCTCGCTCGCCTCACCAATTCCTTCCGGAGACGGACTCTTCTTCCAAAAGAACCAGGATGTGACACGCAGAATTCTGAACGAGACCACATCGTTCATCGACACAGAGAAAGACCTTGAGTCATCCACGCACCAACAGCTAGCTCTCCGTTGTAGGTTGGAGCTTCTAGCACTCTTGATCTGTCGTGCTGGACCAGCCATACCTGTTGAGATGTATGAGCAACTATGGGAACACACCATCGGCCTACGTGCACTCTCGAACACCGCCAGGGACTGGGCATGGGTGCAACTACTTCAAACGCTCAAGGTCGCCCCAGATAACGACTACTGTAGGCAACTTGTCTCATCCCACATGATAGACATGGATCCTAGAATGTACACGAATGGCATGTTCGAATTTGTCGCGAACTACAACTTTCCTATGACGCGGCAGCTCGTGGTGACTGACCAGGGGGAAAAGACTGTGTTGCAGATTCCTGGTGCCGACGTGCTATGGTCTATGGTTCTATCGTCACCCGAAGACACTATTGAAGACCGCGCTGCTCGTCTTCTTGCGAGTCGCTATATAGAGATCAACGAAGCCGAGGGCGTTATGCTAGCAGGTGTGGAAGCTGCTCATATTGTCCTGGTCGAGAAATGCATGCAGGAGATGCGTTCGGCTTGCCACGTCATACGCAGTCAATCCTCAGATGGTGGAGAGCCAACAAACATGGACGTCACCATGTTCAATACGACAGTACATGAGAATGAGGGGCGTTGTCGCAGAATCATCTTGTTCCAAAAGCTGCTGCTTGAGAAGATACGCCAAAAACCAGAGTTCAATCGCAGTCGAAGAGCGGATTCCAAAGTCGATGAGACGGATATACCCTACGGCGATTCGATCGCGATCCGATTCCAGTGCGGCAACAACGACAGACAGGTCGTGATGATGAGCGCTGATCACACTGTAGAAGATCTCTACCGGAGATTATGTCATGCATCAGGATACACCAAGGTCAACCTTTTCGCGAAAGGCCAGCGGCTCAACGTCACCGAGAGGTCGAACGAGAAACTCAGCAGTATAGACTTTGGAGGACAACTCCTCGTACAAAGGGCCCCGGACGCGGAAGTTACTCGCCCTCTGTCAGGACAGAGTACGGGATGTTCGGTTTTTGAATCCACAGTGGTCAAATATTTTGATGAGCTGTTCTCATTAATGGACTCCAATGATAACATCAGCCAAATGGTATACATCTGCATGAAATCGCATTGCAATTTGCTAATTTATGCTAGGTATTCGATTACTTGAGTTTCTTCCCAGCTCGACATGCTTTTGCGGACAGTGTTATGGCGGGCACGGCACGATCAGAGGATCTTTTTCCCCCAGGAAAATTATACCAGGCAAGATACGCGGCTATGGCTCTGCAGGCTAGACTGCGAGAGCAGATACGCAATGTATGGTTACTGAACAGTCCTTATTGATATCATTATATTAACAAGCTAGAAGTCGAACCTAGACGAGAAGTTCCTAGGCAATGCCATCCGCCAGTTGAACGAAGCGCTTCTAAATCCTCGACTCGTTAGCGATACGATATCGAGCTTCCAAGAGTTACAACTAGCGGCTGTCCTCGTAGCAGCCCTGCTAGAGTTCCTTAGAGGTAAGTACCACTTCCTCACCTCTCAAATCGTGGCCTATGTCTTATGCAAAGTAGAGCGCCCTTCCCCCGACGCCTCGGCCACCTATTTTTCCGATGGCGCACGACTCGGAAACCGCCTTATGATGATCCTATCCATGGCACTCGAAACGAACGAAGATGTTACCGTGGTTCGAGATTGCTATAGTACCATCTTAGAAGCATCGCTTCACTCTCGAGTCATATGGGAAGCTTTCGTTGAACATCCCCAAATTGCGCGGTTACACCAAACGCTACTTCTGAACGACGCCAGGCAGTCTTTACGGGAACATATTGCTCAGAAAATCGCTTCCGTCTGCGGTGGCGATCTTCCATCCACATGTCCGCTCACCAAAGGCGAGATTGCTACTCAGTTCTGGGCGGTCATTTCTGCGATCCTCCCAGATTCTGTGCACCGTTCTACACAGTCTCACCAACTCTTCGACATCGCCGAGCATGTTTTCCGCGCTAAGGACGAGTACGAACGCGATGAAGCTTCACTCAGGCTGTGCTTGATGAGGTGGAGTGATCTACTATTGAACCACAAACATCAAGAGTTTGTAGGACGAGACGAAATCGACTATGTAGTTCTCGGTCTCACCAAGCTCATCTTATGTTGCATATTGTCACTTAAGTCGTTTAAGAGGCCTCTCAATGCAGGCGACGTAATGGAGAAGATCTTCAAGAAGTATATTTTCACAAAGAGGTACGTCACGCAAACCATTCCATCACCTCACCCACAAGCCGAGAGACTCCGCCCCGTCTTGTTACCTATTTAATGCGACGAGAAACTGACTTGAAATAGCTCCTCTACTGCAGAGGCGAGCCTGGCAACTGTTCCAATTCTAGAGTCACACACGAGGCATGAGATGTACGACCTCATGCTTGCCCTGGTTGATGACAGCAGCACGTACAATACCCTCATCAAGCTCGCAGGAGACGTGGAAAACGAGGAAAACGAGCCCGCATTGGCAACCATCTCCGTCGACCGCTCCATGGAGATACGCTCTGGCACGGGCTATGTGGGTTTGTACAACCCGCGCGCTATATGCTATGCAAACTCCCTTCTTACTCAGCTTTTCATGAACCTGAACTTCCGCAAGTTCATTCTGGGCTTGGAGCTCCAAGAAGGCAGTGGCTCTCAACGGCTCCTTCTTGAAACACAGAGGCTGTTTACGAATATGCAGCACTCTTTTCGCAGGTCTGCAGACCCACGCAGCTTCGCAGCTTGTGTCAAGAATTCAGAGCTTATGCCCATAGACATCAGCGTTCAAATGGACGCAGATGAATTCTACAATTCTCTCTTCGACCAGTGGGAACGCCAGCTCATTAAAGATGAGCACAAGCAGCAATTCCGCTCATTTTACGGAGGACAAACCTTAAACCAGATCAAATCAAAAGAGTGCGAACATATCTCGGAACGCATGGAGCCCTTCTTCGCAGTACAATGCGATGTCCAAGGTAAGTCCACACTTCAAGAGAGTCTCCAAGCTTTCATTAGAGGCGATGTCATGGAAGGCGACAACAAGTACAAGTGCGAGAGCTGCGGCGGTAAATACGTTGATGCGGTCAAGCGGTAAGCTGCATTTGAATTTGATATCGAGCGAAGCTGACACAACCAGTACCTGCTTCAAGGAGGTGCCTGACAACCTCATCTTCCATCTGAAGCGCTTCGAGTTCGATCTGGCCGACTTCAGCCGGAGAAAGGTCTACGATCACTTCGAGTTTCCGCCGTCTATCGACATCAGCGCGTACCATGTCGATCATCTTAGTGACCCCAGCAAACCAAGAGAAGTAGATACGTTCGACCTTGTTGGTGTACTTGTACACACAGGTACCTGCGAGCATGGCCATTACTACTCTTATATTCGTGAGCGGCCTTGTCCGACAGGAAACGCGGCACCAACCTGGGTTGAGTTTGATGACAGCAATGTTGGACCTTTCGATCCAGCAGACATTGCGTACCGAGCCTTTGGAGGTTTGACGGACGATACCTACAACCGCATACCAAAACAATACTCCGCATACATGCTCTTCTATCAGCGCCGGACCGCTGTAGACAACGACCAGCGCAATTGGGTCCCCTCTCCAGATGGAAAAACACTCAAAGTTCCCATGCCGCCAGCTCTCGAGAATGAAGTTGATCTTAACAACGAGTTGTTCATTCGAGAATACTGCCGTTTCGATCCAAACCATACAAAGTTCGTGCGACAGCTTCATGCCATGTCACGCACTATCAATCATGGGTCCTGCTCTGAAGGCCATGTACAGGTACGGACTATCGCGTTTGATTCATTCAGTTTTGGAGTCCTAACGTCTTGCAGGAATCTCACTCCTTGAAGATAGTGCTTGCACACCTCGGCAACGTTGTCTGGCGTCATATGACTTCCGATATCTTTTCCGAAACCTTGCTTCAGCTACGACGCTCAGTTCTGCCCTGCTCAACGTGCTGCAACATTATTCTCAAGGCTCTTGCTGCCGACGAATGGACTCTGCTTAATCTGCTGCTCCGTTGCACACACGCCAAAGTACGGTCTCAGATACGTAGCTTCTTCATTGACTGTCTCAAGGTCTCGCGAGAAAAGGATCCTGTCTTATATGGTCTGGAGTGCACTGAGAACGATATGGACCTTCATCCTTCTGTACTCACTGGTGGGATCCTCTCGAGCGTTACGACTAGGTTACGTGTCATCACAACCGAGACTCACATGGCCATACGGGGCTGGGACGATTTCTATCTCACACTAACCCAGATGCTCGAGCTAGGTCATGTGGAGATCGCTGTACTACTGGATGGTGGCTTCCTGGAATTCTCCTTGAAACTGCTTTGTATGCACTCGTACAAGCGGTTCCAGGACGACGACCCCGACCTATGGAGAATCATGAGCAAGAAGTCAGGAATCTATAATAGGCTCATCGGATTCTTGTCGAATCTGCTCTTATATACGGATACTCGCCTGCCGACCCTCAGCCTAGATGGTGATCGCCTAGCCACGCTCGATCGGGAGACTATGATGTTCCCATTGACATATCGGGAACGCAGTATGCTGTATTGGTGGGACCCTGATCTAAAAGCCATCGCGGTCCTAGACAAGGCCCTGGAAATATTTGACGACTCGAAAGTGGACTACTTCCATCCTGGTGACATGGTCAAATCAATGCTCGGTTGGCAGGACCCACTGGCTCAGTTCAACCTCTTCAAAACCCTTATCGAAGGCATCGTCTCGCTCGACCCACCCTTTTGCGACGCTTACATGAGAGCGGCACTGTCATATTGCGAAGGCTGTCCGGTGGTAGACAACGTTAACAAGATCATTACAACGATTGCGAAAGCGGTTGCATCAACAAACCGGATGGAAGAGGGCCGCGCACCTGGCGGTTTGGTTGCTCTCGATTTCTTTGGCGGTCTCTTGCAGACAAAGAACGAGGCTGTCTTCCAACAAAAGCACCGATACATATTCTTCTTGTGGGTCATCGGGAAAAGTCGCATTTGGGCACCTCCTTTACTCTTACACACGCTGGAAGATGTACGGCAAGGTGCACAGATGCTCGTCTGCGAACTCTACAAGACCTGCGAAGAATGGCCTGTGGATCTAGTGCAGTTCAGATGGAGAACCCTACGTGAGATGATCAGCGACATGATGAAGCGCATCGTGTGCGAGAAAGATTCTGGCATGCTGAAACCCCATCTGTCCCCACTTATCGACACTTGCCGATTCCTCGTCCAGCAACTCTACGACCTGAACCAGAATGAGGATCCCGAGTTGGATCCGTATAGAGATGAGGTCAACGACACCACTTGCATTCAACAATGGGCTGCCGAGATTGAGCCCAGGCTGGAAACATGGCCACAGGATGATAGCCTATCGGCGGCTGATCTTTATGATAATTCTGGCAGTGAGTCAGATGGGGAAGAGACGTATGATAATGACGTATGATTGTTGACCCGCGATGCGTCGGTAGATGGTAGATTCAGCTCCGATTCATCACTGTCTCCCCTTCGCAGTCTGGACGGCGTCAACGGCGGTTCTTCAGCCTGCTCGTCGAAGGCTACGCACGCCGGTAATGAAGAAATCACGATCTCAACGAACTTCTAGGGTGAGGACAAACTCATGGTCCTGCTAAGGGCAGAGTTGGTGGATTTGATCTTTTTGCGCGTTGATTTTACATGGAGTTATCGTTAGGAACTGAATGCCCTATGTGGGACGCATCGGATGCACCACGGCATTCGTGTTCGGACTTTGGGGGAGAGGCTTTTTTTTTTGAAACAGTCTTTACTCAATTGTTCATGTTCGGGCGGCATAGCGTGGGTGCTTGGGCGTACTTAGACGGAATGACCTATGCATACTGGGAACAGGGTATGATTATCACGCTTCACGACTTTAGCATCCTCACGATGGAGAATACATCTACGAATATGTCATTATGCGTCTAGTATCTTGCCTGTAATGTGTGAACACTGCCTCGCATCGGAGATGTCGCAGCGGCGTTGAGACGATCCCTTTCTTGTACCAGAATCTTTTTACTATGATAATAACCATTGTAAGAACAGAGCGGAATCGCTCGCTATTGTCGAGAACGAAATCCGGTCGCTTGCGGAGGGTCGGAGGACACGATATCGATAAGCATCAGGCGAAGCTTCGTCAGCGTTGTGTTCGCGTCCCACCCGCAGAAACGACGTCATAGCTAGGCAAGTGCGCGGAAGCTGCGGACAAGCTTTCCGCTACCAAGCTGTGCCGTCATAATAACAAGGCTACCCGGTCGGCTTCGTAGTTGTTGTTGTTGAATCCTTGTTCCCTTCTCTCTTCTCTAATCTATAATCCGCATACCCCTCCTCCGAATCTTCTGGCTTTGGTTCGTTTGCTGTAGCATTTTCGGAAAGTAGCACGCGACAAACCTCATACCGGATCCAGCGCCCAAAAAACACCAGACGAGGAACGAGACCAACACAACGGAATCTAAAACTACATCCACAATGGCGAGCAAACTGGACGCGATGAAGCCGCAGAGGAAGATTGAGCTCTTCTCAGGCTCGTACTTTGCGGCATGTACGGTCGGTGGTATCATCGCATGTGGACCTACGCATACCATGGTTACCCCGCTAGACCTGGTGAGTTATATGCTTTAATACCAATTGCAGTCTGAAGTCGCCGAATTACTTGAACATGCCTCTGGGAATAGTTTCGCTTACTCTTATCTCCCAGGTAAAATGCCGCCGTCAAGTCGACTCCAACCTTTACAAGTCCAACTCGCAAGCCTGGAAAATGATTTACTCCAAAGAGGGTCTGCGTGGTGTGTTCTTTGGCTGGACACCTACCTTTATCGGCTACTCGATGCAAGGAGCTGGCAAATACGGTTTCTACGAAATCTTCAAGTACATATATGGCGAGAAGCTCGCTCCCGGCGCCCCGCAAACGATTGTATACCTCGCTGCGTCCGCTTCCGCCGAATTTCTTGCCGACATCGCGCTATGTCCTATGGAGGCCATCAAGGTCCGCATGCAGACCACCATGCCACCGTTCGCAAACACACTACGAGAGGGCTGGTCAAAGGTGATCAAGGAGGAGGGTGTTGGTGGTTTGTACAAGGGCTTGTATCCCCTGTGGGCGCGTCAAATCCCATACACCATGGTCAAGTTCGCGACATTCGAAGAGACGGTCAAGCAGATTTACAGCTTCTTGGGCAAGCCAAAGGAGTCGTACGGAAGCTTGCAGCAAACCGGTGTGAGCTTCCTTGGTGGATACATTGCTGGTATTGGATGTGCGGTTGTCTCGCATCCTGCAGGTACGTCGGACATGTCTCGCGAAAGTCGGAGAGTAATACAGGGTAACTAACATGTGCTAGATGTCATGGTCTCGAAGCTCAACAGCGACCGAAAAGCAGGCGAGGGAGCCGGTCAGGCTATCGGCAGGATATATAGCAAGATCGGTTTCGGTGGCCTATGGAATGGATTGCCGGTCCGTATCTTCATGATTGGTACTCTGACCGCGTTCCAATGGCTCATCTATGACTCTTTCAAGGTCTACCTCGGCGTAAGTTGTTCAAACTCATACTTGTACAGATCTTAAACTAACTTTCATATAGCTACCTACTACTGGTGGTCACTAAAGCTCCCATAACATGGGATGAGTACGATGGGAATAGTACGTACGGTGTTCTTGGAGTAAAACAAGGGGATACTACTACCTAATGACATTGAATTGATGTGATTTCCTTCTTGTTGTGCATAGTTGTCAACACCAACCCTACTTACTCCTGCCCATCCAGTAGCTTCCTCATCTTGTTCGATCGTTCCTAGAGGGCATCTAGAGTAGCCTCAGCATCGGCGAGTGCCGTACATCGTTTCGTCCCTCTGTTAGATCGCTTCGTTGTGAATTCCCAAATGACATGCAATCAGCAGTCTTGACGGGGGTGGGATGCGCATATCATCGGTGGAGATGCGTGCGAAGGAAGACCTTTGGGCGCTGCCCGTCTTCATGGTGGTCCGCCAAATCAAGCGCCTGACCTGTTCAATCAGTAGGCGCAGGTCGGTGTATCGTCCAACCCCGTCAATCTCAAAGCCTATGTCGTGATTGAAGCGACGTCTGCCGATCGAATGTAAACCAAAGGTTGGCGGTTTTATTTTCTGCTTACCGATCGTGTGTGCTTAGCAGTACTGGCGGTCTCTGCGACAATAGGCAGATATAGATAGGAGCCCGAGTGCGAAGGACTAGAAAAGGCAGTGATTGCCAGTTACATTTTGTGAGTCGTAAAGTTGATTATGATTCCTGGCTTTGTAGTCGGCATCACGAGCCAGAACACAAACACTCCTGTGTATGATTGCAGTACAATACAAAGTCTCCCCTCCCACAAAGGAAGATGGCCATCGGTTCAGAAGCTGCTTGAACACAAATTATGGTGTCCGTCTATCTAGTCGTCATCACAAAAGCCTCACTCTTCTCTCGCGCCCTCTACAAGATCGTCTCCACAACTTCCGAATCCCAGCCTTCCACTTACCGTGAAAAGAAGAAATGCTTCTACCTTGATATACGCGTGCGGCATCCCATCACCAAGCGCACCATGATTCTCAAAATGGAAGTGCTGCGACAAGATCATATTCTCAATATCGAAGTACCCATCAGACAGGCCACGCTGCCTCTCGCTGAAGCAGCACTCTACAAGCGGGTGGATGCGGAGTACGCGGATATGAGGCTGAAGAAAGAATCCTTTGAGATGACGTGGACATTTGAAGAGGCTGACGAGGTAGAAGAGAGGTATCAGGATGTGAACAGAAAGGTAAGTGCGGATATGATGGCTAGGGATAGGAGGACGACTTGGTGGGATGTTTATGAGTTTGAGCTTGATTGATAGCGAATACGGGTTTTTATGATGAGGTTTTTATGAGAGGGTGAAAGAGGGAATGGATAGGAGTGTTTAGGGTTGACTGGTTCTGTGTGGTGGAGAATGGAAGTGGAGGGTAGACAGGAGCGGGCAACACAGAATAGAGCGAACGTGGAAGCACTCTCATCCAGCGTTTCATTGGTTCCGCAGTACTGGTGCGTCCTGGAATAATTCTTGACCTAAGAACGATAGTTTTGTATGTAGCTCATGAAGTATATTGAGAGTGTTTACAAGTATGCCATAGCAAGGCCTGGAGGTCTTCACAGAACTGCGGGGGCGGGGAGATGATAACTCAAATATAATGTCTTCACTAAGCCCACGCTTGGAAAGCGCTACCGTCGCTGTTCGCCGCTCGGTGCAATGCGCCTTGCTCCGGACCCGTGAGTATGGTACGCTGTGGAGAACACGTGCATGACGGCTTTTCGAAAGGGTAATATCACAGCACATAAACTTTAGACGACAGAAGCTCGCTTCGATATTCTTCATTCAGCATTGACATCGGAAAATTTACCAGGGGGTATGTCAATCGACCGGTGACTATTAGTCACTCGCGTACAAAGTAACATCTCGGCTCCTTCTCGGTGTAACATTACACTTCCGCCCCACCCTCTATAGTCGCGCCGCTCAATTTACCGCTTTTGAACTCGTCAACGATTCGCTCCATAGTAAGCCACTCTACTCCTTCGTACCCATTGATCCACTCAATGAGCCTCTCGTGCAGTAGGATAACTTGTGGCTTGCCGCTGACCTGCGGGTGAATACTAATAGGGAAAATGAAGCTTCCGTCATCTGGACATTCACGATACAGAAACTCGAATTGTTCCTTCCACAGGCGTTCGATGACCGCGGTATCGACGAAGCCATGCGTACTTGGCTGCGTGAGTGACAACTGAAAGGGTGGCCAATCATCCAAGTGCCAATTCGCAGGTATCTCGACCACTGCAGATGGCTTCAACGTTGACATGGGTGTCATCCAGTGGGAAGCTGGCTTTGATACATCGGTCTCTGTATATGTGCTGAGATGTGGTGAAGGAACATAGTAGGGCTGGGAGTCGTGGTGCATGAAAGAATGATCGTATTCCTGCATCATATGTCAGTCTTTTGTTCGCACCGGATGTTAGGTACAGGTTATCATACGATCCCGAATTCTTCGAGGAGCTTAATGGTGTCTCTGCTCGTACTCCAAGCAGGCGCAGTCCAGCCGCGCGGTTTCTTGCCTACAATGTCCGTCAAGACTTGAATCGATTTTTCCAAGACATCTCGCTGCTGGCGCTCGCTCAAAAGAGATACAAATTCGTGCGTATACCTGAGGTGGTGGTATACAAAGTCAGTGGATGTCCCGCATACAGCTCGTACATCAAAGCTCTTACCCATGCAGCCCAATCTCATGCCCTTTCTCAATGATCTTGCGTATCTGCTGTGGAAATGACTCAGCAGAATGCGCTGGTACAAACCATGTCGCTTTGATGTTGTATTTGTCCCAGAGTTTCAGTAGGCGATCAATACCTACGGTCGCGCCGAATACGCCACGCGACAAATCGGTCGGATTGGCAGGAGCACCAGTCTTCGTGTTCAGCCTTAACATACTGTTAATTTATGAACTTGCGATTGATTGTACGGGGCCAACATACCATCCGCTCACCTGTTTTTGTCTGCACTTAGTGTAAGTCTCGAGGAAGGCGCCATACTTGTTACTCACCGCGTCAACATCGATACCATAGGTACAAAGTACGCGTTTTGGCATGATTCCAGAAGATAATCTCAGGGGAGAGGGAAGTGCTTACAAGTGGTGTGATGTTAAGAGAGACAACACAGCAAGGCTACAACCTCATCTTATTACAAACTTCCCGCCTCATTAAGCGCCATAGCCCGCAGCATATCTACATTTGCAACATAGCGTCATATCGGCCCAAGGTCGTCTCAATACCGTGGGAGTGGTTCACAGTCCACTGATATACTCCGAAACACTAAACAAGCAGGTAGCAGCAGGGCTTCAATGCCGGATGAACTACCTTGCTGCGGCCGACGAACTGCATCCATGCTCGTGCAGTGCATTCCATGAAGGAGTGCTCATTTTATGACGAATTGGAGATGAAGGAGCGAGGCGCGATATCTCGGGACGGAAATGAGCGCTCGAAGGCGGGGCATGCGTGGGATTGCCGAGAGCGCTGCCGTGGAAGGAACGACAGAGCTAGACTTTGACAACTCAGTCTAGTTGAACAAAAGTGCAGACCACTGCTTGCATTTGCTTTCGTTTGATATCCATCGGGGTTGCCAGTACAAGATGTTGTTCGTGGAGTGCAACGGAACCCCTTACGAGGTAAGTGCGACGCGTGACGTCATCGCTACCCATCACCACGAAGGAATGCACGGGCACTGCTGATCATGTTACATAGATTGGCTACCAACACGGTCAAGCCGCCAAACTACAGATAGCCCGCTGCATCGAGTTCTATGCATGTCTTTTCCTCAAGAATTGCAAGCAGAGATGGCCGCAGGTCCTCCAACATGCGTCAAAGTTTGAACAACGTGCGAAAGCGCAATGGCCAAACTTCCACCAAGAGATGCAAGGTATCGCTGACGGCTCGGGACACGAACTGCTAGATATCGTAGCAATCAATGTTAGGACTGAGATCAACTTTGGTTTGTTCAGCGATGGCTGCACTGCGCTCGCGTGGCATACCCGGAATCGGGCATATCTGGCTCAGAATTGGGACGTAGGTACCACTCGATGAAATACGTAGAAGAATATGATCGTGTGCTAACCGTACCCAGTGGATGACCGAGCAGCAACAAAACCTCATTATTACCAAGATTACGCAAGTGAAGAAGCCTACAATAGTTCAGGTAACAGAGGCAGGGATAATCGGAAAGATCGGCTTCAACAGCAGCGGCGTGGGTACGTTGTTCAACGCCATAAAAGTCCATGGCGTCGACTCTGCCCGGATGCCTGCCCACTTCGGTCTACGCATGGCGTTGGAGTCTGAATCCGTTGATGAAGCAGTCCGCAAGCTGGAAAGTTTCGGTATGGCCTCTTCAGCCCATATCCTGATAGGCGACGCGAACAAATCTCTGGGTCTGGAGTTCACGAAGAGCACTTTTGCCCACGTACTACCAGATTCCAATTCGAGAGTCATTCACACGAACCATCTGCTTGGGGAGCACCCTGGCGAGACCGATACTGTATGGCTTAAGGATTCCTTGGACCGGGTTCGGACGATGGCTGAGAATGCCGGAGCATTGGATGAGGAGCCGAGCTGGGACAGCGTGAGTGGGTTGTTCGAGGATGAACAGAATGCTCCAGGTGCCATATGTAGGTCTGAGACCGAAGAGAGTGGGAGTGGCACGTTGTTCAACATTGTGATGGACTTGAAGAGCAAGAAAGCTGTGGTGAAGCTTGGCAGGCCCACAGAAGTACAGGAGACCGTCAATCTGGAGCTATGAAGTAACTGCACTACTTCCTCGTCTAGTTGTGAGAAAGCTGTTCAAGCTCTCACATTGTAAAAGACGCTTCGGGTAGTCAGGTGCACGGATGACTATAGTCAGAAAAGGCATTTGTATGACTAGTTTCATGCTCTGAGCAAGACGTGTCGCGATTTTGTAGTGAATGTCTAATCGAGGCGATCCTGGTCACTGACTAACCTATGCGGCGGGTACGTCGTCCGCCTTTCCCCACTGTAACGTGGGGGGCTGGATACGTGTGTTGGCAGTGCAGCGCCCTTGGCGACTTCGCCTTAAACCCGACACATTGGTAAGAGTGGATTGGCAGTTCCCGTGTCGGAAGACTCGCGTACTGGATCCGCGAGAATCAGCCACTAAGTTTTGGCGAATGTAACCTCATAGTCAGTCAGTCAGTCAGTCGTGTATTGGAAACATTCAGTACACTTGGTCATACGCAAATTTGCAGGTTTTGAGAACCATTCAGGGCTGTCAAAGTTTGGTAGTTGCTTCCTAAGAGCTTGAATAGGAGACTCAAGCAAGGAAGTACTGAAGAAGGAGACGTCAGTTCGCGTCAACGCCAAGGGTATTGTATTGCCTCCAGCCGAAAATGCGCACGATCACCAGATGCCAAGGTGTTACGACTATTACAACAGGATGCTGTCATGTAGCTGAAAGAATCAAACGCCGGTCAAAGAAAAGGCCCTGTCGAGAAACGCCATAGAGTATTATAGTTCCGGTATCATGTCCATATTATCGTTCAAAGAAAACTCCGCATTCCAGTCGGAAGGCGGCAGGTTATATGAAAAGGCACCAAGCGGATCCACGGTATCAGTCGTTGAAGTAGTTGAAGTGGTAGGGTTGAAAACCATCCAGAATTGATAAGCTTCATCGACTTCTGTGAGTATAGAAGGCGGAATTTGGTAATCGTACATAGTGCTCGTATCAGATACAGTCTGTTGGAGTGTTGGTGGACGATAGCTTGCTTTCTGTTCCAGAAATTCGAGGTATTCTTTCTTAACTGGGAGAAGAAGCCGTTCGTATTCTTCAAAACACCTTTTCGCGGCTGCCCATCGCTCAGAGATGGACAAAAAGCATTTCGAAAAGACATGCATCCACTCTTCTACTTGTTGCCATGAGTAATTTTGTGCAACTTCTTTCTTGCAGCGCTGTAGCCCCTGCAGGAATATGAGCGCACAATTGAAGACATGATGGCACGGATGAAAGACATATTTGATCTTTCCAGCCTCTGCTTCTGATTGCTGGAAATAGCCATCCGCAACCTTGACAGCATTGACCAGAGCGACCATCATCTGCTCCCTGCTTGGATGGGGTACTCGTTTAGAAGACCGATGTAGCAAGGATAAGACGTAAGGGCATGCGATGTCGGAGTACAAGCGCATCTCAGTCCATCGTGCATTCAAGCTACGATCCTTGTTGGCCTCTGAAGCGGCATATATATCTCGTTGCCAATCTGCCATAGCATCGATACAGTTTTGCCTCCATTGCTCCAACGAAGAGTACTCCTGGGATATAGGGTCGCCATGCCACAGAACAGATATGATGTCGGCTTCAATAAGACGAAAGCGACAGATTATACGCTGCGTGAATTTGGAAACACGCCCAGTAGGCGACATGCTAGATTGCGTAATGGCGGTATCGTCAATTTCCAATGGGAAAGCGACATCTATACGTCCGATGGGGAGGCTTGTAGGGCGTAAAAATATGCAACAGACTCCAACCTCCATCTCCCACGCGCACCAGAATATACGCCGCCGCATATCGCGTTGATAGGCAGAAACCTTGGCGTCGTTCGGCAATTCTTGATGAAGACCAAGGTCGATTATTGCTTGGCTGATGAGGCCTGTCATGAGCCACAGATCTGCCATCCTGGGATTTAGGAAGATGTACTGCGTCAGAAGCAAAATAGCCTGCAGTCCAGCGATGTCGTTGGTCGCAACTTCTGGAATCCATTGCATGGCATGTCGAACCAGCTGATAAGCAAGATCATTCGCCTTCTGCACATTGTTCCGGGCGCTTGTGGTTAGCGAGATAGCCATGATGATACAGACTATGTAGCGATTTCGAAACGAGTCCTCGTTGGGAGTTGCCGCCTTTTTATGGTAGATGGAGTTGAAGGCAGCTGTCACGTCGTTGCGATGATATATGGGATATTGTGTGATGACGCGATCTAGGTAGTTTTGAAGTAGTTTGTTGGCGCCAACCTCATCGGGCATGAGGTCATAAAAGAGTCCCCTAGTTTGTTGAGGATTCAAGATGGATCTAGGATGGTTTTCGTTCAAATCATTGGAGAGAACAGGTCCCTTCTTCGAGGGTAGCCTGGTGCCTTTGATGACGCACTGCAAAAATGGCCGGGCCTTGCAGACACCCAGGAATGAAGGTGTGATGTCTTCCATGACCTGGTTGACAAGGCTGTCTGCGAAGGCACATTTCTCTGCACGCCACTGACCCGGTCTGGAGTCAGGTGTGTGGGAATCTGCTGGAGATGATAGAGTAGCACTCGATTGTCCCAACGATCGCAGTGTTGATGGAGTGCTGGTTTGGCCCTCGAGCCGAACAATGTGCGCTTCCAAGAAATCTGCAATGGATCGCGGAGCTTCTTGTTGAGTTGAAGAGTCGAAGCCAACACACTGGATGCCTGCGTCCACACAACGAGTGCAGGCAGGAACCTTGCCATCGCACTTGGTGAAGTCAGTACATGTATGACGTGGGTAGAGGAAGCGTGTACCGAGAGTTTACGCTTCCGGCAGCGAGCACAGGCCAGCACACGGCGACGGACTTTGGTACGGTTCTGCATGGCAAACCTCGAGCGTCTGGCGTCTGTACCACGATGGCGCAGTTTTCATGGCGCAGATGAAGGAAGGGCTGGAGGGGGTGGTTGGCGATGGTCAATGTTCTCGAACGAAGAACGGGATGCTGGCATGTGAGGGTAGTGGGCATGCGGGATGCAGGCAGCCGGGGTGATCGCTTCTCCATCGGGTCGCCCTAGCAGATAAGATCGTTCCTCACTCGCCATCCTCTCTGCCCAGGCGACCCATCGCGTCTCAGACCATTGTCTCTGACAAGACGACGGCGCGCGATGAACTGTAGTATAGACTCGAGAAATCGCTAGACCTTGACCCGTAGCTGTCGCGTCCTTGCAAATTCCCACTCCGATGGCCGCCGCCGCCGCCAGCTCAAACCCCCCCACGCTTGATCTAGATACGCTGATTCAGGTAACGCCGGCCGTCTCCGCAATTTGGCATCGTGCACTTATACTTCCCCAGAGTCTCCCCGCATGTAAAAGATGCCGAGAGTGTCGCCGCGGATGCGATACGTTATTACCGAAGTGCAGGTACATCGTTTCTCTATCCCATCCAGGGCGTCTTGCTAACGGTGTCAGGCAATGCACAAAAGCCGGTGTGGAATGCATGTTCTACGACCATGGACGCAATGAATTACTGCCGCGAAGGTGAGCTGACGTACCTTGTTCTCAAACCCCAACTAAACACATCACCAGCTACATCGGCGAGCTGGTAGATCGTGTGCGTAATCTGTCGAGCGGAAATCCTTCGCCAGCAGCTTCGAGTAGCCTTATGGATCATGGTACGTTCGGCACGCAGGTCAAGACTGAGTCCATCGCTTCTGAAATTCCTCGATACGAGCATCACTTTGCCGAAGCCGGGAATAGCTACCGATATCTGGGCGCGGAATCTTGCCTCCTCAAATCACCTAGACTGCACACGGCGCACGAGGTCCGCGGTGAGCAGGATGACGAAGAACTCGATGATTGGCACTACACCAACAAATATTCGCCCGAGAAGCAGTACGAGCTGATGCAGCTGTTTCTTGAGACAGTCCAGCCCATATACCCCATTTTGGATCCAACTCTACGTTATCTTGGACCCGACCTACCCAGCGACCTAACGTCGACTGAGATGTTCTCGCTTTATATGATCTATTCTATAGCATGCTATATCATTCCCAACACTCGCAAAAAGCAACCGCCGGATCAAGACTGGAACCCCACAGGTAGGCTTGCATATCACCAAGCCAATTCTATCAGATACCGCTCCCTCGCTACTCAGTATTTTGCAGATGCTATGGAGCACCTTGAATTAGCAACAATGGAGCCGAATATCGACACCATTCGTTCTGTTCTTCTACTCGCCATCAACAGCTCGTTCGACCCAATAGCTGGCAACATTGGCCAGCAGATCGCTCTTGCAGGCCGTCTTGCATTCGATCTTGAGTCAAAAAGAGCACTACAAGAGCTTGACCCGGACGATGTCGAACTGCTCCGAGCAATGCACATGACCATATTCTGCCTCGAAAACCAGATTGCATCTACACTAGATAGGCCTGCACTATTTCCAGAGCCGGTAAGTCTGCTCACTGAGTATAAAGCACAAGACAAGACTCATGATTTCCAGGAAGAAGATTTATGTTTCGACAAGGAAAAACCCGCGGAGTATCTTTGCTCGTTGTATCGTATGCAGAATCGTTTTCGCAAAGGTGACCACGTTGCGAAAGAGAAGGTTAAGAGGCTACTCCCGCTCTTCGACGAGAAAGACGAGTTGCTTCCTGTCATACGCATCACCTTACACATCACACATCTGTTGCTGAATCCTTGCTGGGGGAGTGCATGGCATGTGCTGTATGTGAAGTTTCACACGTGCTAAACGATCTGACGCTGACTATCAAAAACAGAGAGGCCGTAGTAAGCTTCGGTGGCATCCACGTATTCGTCACACCACACTGGGTTTACCGAGCAGGCACGGTGCTCATTCAGAATATGCCCGCGATCTTTGGCGGTAACCTCATCCAGTTGTATTCCAACGCACTTCTCGTTCTCGAACTCTCTTCCTGGAGGTGGCCAAGCTCCGCTGCTCTCTCCGCGTCGCTAGTCGACCTCATGCAACACATGAAAACGAAGTATAGGCCAGACTGGTCCGACAAGCTTCAACAAGGCGACGTAAGAATATAAGTTCCGGCTAGTTACGACTGCATGCAAACCTCGTTTTTCCTTTCTGATGGACCTAATGAACTCACTAGATGTCCTATACGTCCGCCGCGGAAAACATACGACAAGCCCAATCTAGGGGTCTAGGAGAGGTCGACATCGTTCATCGCGGGTCCCGAGAGTTGCTTTCAACTCCAAATTCCTGACAATAAGGATCCTTATCACCCTCTCCCTACCGATTTGCTGTATCTTGTTGCGAGGACTGCGCAGGCTGTCCTATACGCATCCAGAACGAGACCCATAGGGTGGTTGCCCATAGGTGTCACTGCAGATATGGGCACGTGCCTGCAACACACATTTCGGTCATCGCACAAAGAAGCCTCAGGCGACAAAAAAACCATTGATTCAGGACTTCTACCTCTTGAGATAATGCAAAGCGTGTACCGCTGAATCCCATGCTCATACGAGTCCTGTAACCGTGCGACCACGACGCGAAGATGCATTGATTTAGCCTCAGGGTTATGGAGAACTCCAAAAGTATGGGAATGGGAACGACTAGACGACTATATGTGCATATGCGGTATTGATTTGGAGTCGCCATAGTTCAGTTCGGGTCCGGCCCACGCAATCAGTGTGCTTCGTACCGTGCAAAAAGATAATAACACAACATTACGAGGCTTGAACTCGCTCTCTAAACAATCTTTTGACAACGGTATCAATAAGGTCAACCCCCAATGCACATCCAGTGATTAATAAGACTGTCTAGAGTCGTGCTGTGATGGAAGATTGGGGAATTAATATACATCTGCTCAGGAGAATACGCTCAAGCTTCTAACTATCCTTGTGTCCCTCTGATTTCAGATATCTCCACGCAAGTCTTCAGGCTCACCTTCAGCCTTTCGAGGCATGTTGGGTATTTTGCCTTCGCGCTTGAGGTTTTCGTACAAGCTCAGCGCCGCAAGAGCCTTGCCATCCCGAGCAGCTTCTTTCCAGAGCCTGTCCAGCGGCACTAGCTTCAGCCTGATCTTCTCGCCCTCTTTTTCGAGGCCTGTTGTTTTGCCCTCAAGATCTTGCAAATGTCGGCGCGTGAGACGCTTCTGGCAAAGAAATAGCGTGATCGACTCATCACAAGCACCAGGGCTAGGGTACATCGCTTCTTGAAGGGATATAGTTGCAGAAGGGAAGTCGGGCTGTACGTCCTCTAGCACCAGCTTCGTCATATCCAACAGTTCACTTTCTTTGACTTCGAGGCCAGTTTCTTCCTTGATCTCGTCTGCTGCTTTGCCTATGAAGGAACCTGAGCCATCGACCATGCCTGCAGGTATCTCTGTAAAGGCTAGTGAAGAGGCGGCTACACGGGGCTGAACGGTCAGGATGACTTGCTTCTCATCCTCGCCGCCTGCGCCTTCCGGCTGAACGATGATCTGAGGGTCAATCAACAGACGGTCACCTGTCAAGATGGAAACAAACTCACGAGAATGGCGACGCTACCGCCTCGTAGAAATACAGCCCCTGGTATCCATTCATCATCCTTCCCGCCGTTGACTACTCTGCTTTGGAGTTTCATAAAGCCTAGCTTTTTTGCATGGAAGAAATCTGCTGCCTGGATATCTAACTCTTTCAGTTGGTAAGGCTTTTTGTGGAATGGATGCGCTGGATCTTGTTGGGCGTCGAGAGTAACGAAGAGCTTGCCCAGCCAGTTTCTCAGAGCTGGAAAGTCGAATGCATGCTTTCCATCGTCACTATTGGAAATAAGTTCTTCGAAAACATCTGTCGTGAGATTGTATGGCAGATAGACTGAGACTGAAGGGTTCAAATTCCTGCCATTGAACTTCTCAAGAGTGAAAGCGAGCTTTCTCTCGCTAGCAGGGTTGTCGTAGTGTCTTGTTCCGTCCATTTTGCCCGAGTCTAGTTCTCTTTGAGGATAGTTGAATCTGCGTCACAAGTTTGAAGAAAGAGTTGATCTGGCAGGATATTTGTGTCTCCGAAGCTGCGACTCATTCACAGCTTTGAGCCATGAGCTGTTAGCGCTAGCATGCAATCGGTCATGTACAACCTATTGTGTGACCAACACAGGTCGTATTACCGAGCATCACGGGGATGAACCAACAGTTGAGTTTTGCATGCAGAGAAGCTGTCAGTTGGAGTCCATCATAGTCTCGAGGCATGTCTCGCCGCGGGAATGACTTCGCGCTACGACCCACTTGCCCGGATCGCCCCACCATAGCATCATGCAGGTGCAAGGGCGACCGACCGCGGAACGCGGAGTAGATGCGCGCCACCACCAAACTTCGTGCAGTTGTTTGCTCTTCTACCACGTCCCAAGCATCGGGCCTCCCTTGAATTTTGCTCTTATACATATCAAACTTTTGTATCTCACTTCGGGTTCCAATTCTCTAAACACCCGGCTTGCGCATAATGGGGACTTTAACCGCAGACTGCCCACGTCTTGATACACACTGTCCGCACAAGCTTGCCACAAGCTGCCGATTAACCTCAACACCGAATTGCTGCGCTTGTGCCGACGAGAGAGTGCATTCGCGGACATATCGCGTGTACATTGACGGAGTAGGCTTTGTGAACCAAGGGACAAGGTGGCAAGGCTACTGCTGGTTCTGCAAAGGTACCATTCTACCCAACAACACTGTCACTTACGAGGTCGTGGATTGATGTTGAAGCAGAATTTTGGACTAATCGCCTTGCCGCTACCGACCCTCCTCTCGAGATCTCTCAGACACGCATACCCGAGATACCTGACCAGACCGAGTTTCTAGAACGATGGTGGGAGTTTCACCAAGGATATCGCATCGCAAAACTTCCGGATGGTACTGAGCAACACATGCCTGTAATGGGGGAACCGTTCAGGGAGGTCAGCCCTGGCTTTCTTCCGCGTACATTGGATCAGTTAAGGGCGGGTGTAGAGAACGATGCCAGCAGACAAGAGAACAGGCTCCAGAGAAGACGATTGTCCTCCGAGGAAGAGCGACCGGAGCAGCCACATCAAAGTCTAGAAGATGCGCTAGACAGTCTTCTACAAGAGGTGGAGGAAGTCTCCAACACTGAGCCTGCGGCACCGACGGAACCACGAGCTTCGGTAACACCTCAGATACAAGAAGACCCATCAGAGCCCCCACGACCGATGACGCGACGACAAGCACAACAGCAACGCCGACGAGAACACTTCGCACGCGTTTTCGGCTCCCGCGAGGATGTAGAACAGGACGACTACGAGTCGCCGCTTACACAAATGTACACACGAGCGTTCGACCGCCAACGTCAGGCCGACCAGCGGCGAGCAGATGGTACGGACACCGCGCCTCCGCTCGATGGTCTGTCACCACAAGATCGTCGAGAGATTGAAGAACAGTTGTTATGGGGTGTGATGCGAGAGTCGCAGTCACTATCAGAGAGTCTAGAGCCAGCGAGCCAAGTCTGGAGTTATGCACCCCGGTGGCAAAACGTTCAGGACGCGGACTACGCTGTATTGGAAGGATACGAAGCTTATCGAGTGCAAAACGATGGTCTTGCACAGCCCATGTCAGCCAATCCTGAGACTGGCTCTAACATTACAACAGCCATCCCTGGATTACTCTCCCAGTTGCACTCTTTTGGGGTGGAAGACATGTCTGATGCACCAAACCCTGAACTAGTAATGAACGAAATGCGCACTATGCGCCTTGAAAGTCGTTTTGCAGAGGCGCGTGCATTCCTGCGCGCTGCCCGTCCGCCGTCACCTCCGCCCTTGTCGCTTGACAATCAGCCCGACCGGCCAGCCCCAAAGACAGAAGAGGAGATGACAAAAGTACTAGCATGCCAAGTGTGCTATCAGCAGGTCGCTGATATAGCTGTGCTACCTTGCGGCCATATGGTCATGTGTCAATGGTGCGCTGATGTGGTTGTTCCTATCAAACATGGACACATACCGACGCGGCCGACCAAGTGTCCTATGTGCAGGAAGCAGGTAAAGCAGAGGTTCAAGATACATACCGGATAAAGTGGCTGCATGAAATTTACGATATGATGAAAGAAGTGACCCCGGGGCACACTTAGTCATTAATGACATAGGTATAGGGCAGCAAGCAAGCTAGCTCCCATTTGCCATAATCTCTACCAAATGGAATTTATAATAATCTAATGTGGTTGATTCTCCATTGCTTCCCTTCTCGTCCAGCTAACGCTCGTATGACTTTCATAGCAGACGTGGTGCAACGCACAGTATGTTCGCTTTTGCTGGACGTCGAACTGCATTTATGCGAGAGAATGCGCGTTATCCATCGCATCATGCGACCAAGACTTGTAGCCATCAAGTCAATGTCTTCTCGAGTATTAACGTCGCGTCTCTGGATGTGCTACAGCGGAAGAATCTCCAATCTGCTATCGCTGAAAGTCATGTTTCATCAAACGATTACAAAGATTCTCTTTGTTCGCCCGATTTTCCGAACTGCCTATCCAACGCGCCGCTTCAGCGACTCGTGGTGACTGTGGCACCAAAAGTCTCATCCGGTATGTATGGTGAGCCTGTAGAGAACAAGGTAATCAGGGCTTTCATGCTTTGCACGAGAAGTAGCAGAACCTGGTGGTTTACGGTATTGCGCTAATACTTGCGCTGAGATTCGATTGTCGTCCAAGGTATAAGATCAGAGACCGCCATAGATGGCGAAAGAAGATAATATGAGCACCAAGGTGTTGATGACGGCCCAGACAAAAGGTATCCAGGTAGACATTTCGAAGTAGCCTGCCTGATATACGCCTCCTAGTCTGATTGCAGTCAGCATGCGACTCATGTCACCATTCTCGAGAGTGTCACTCACAGTCCGCCAACAATGGCACCCGCAACAAGTGCTTCAACACCCCCCACAAAACTGAAGACAGGCAGGGCGATCCATATCAATTTCCAATTCCGCCATTGGACTATGCATGCCCATAGTGCAGTGATGAAATGTATGCCGCCAACAAGGAGCAGTGTCCAGTACACGGTGAAGCGCAGGATGTCGTCAGGGCGGTAGAGGTAGAAGGATTGGGTTGTGCCAGCGGGAAGAGGCCAGTAGAGGGAGGGGAAGGGCGGCGTGGTGTAGCCGAGCGGGACCGCCGAGTCAACGCGTTGAATAAAGCTGGGGAATATATTGTTAACTACCATGGCAGGATTGTGGGGAAGTATCGTGTCCAGTCAACTGTGAAGTTTAGGACCGTCGCTAGGGGTAGGACAAGATGGTGACTGCAGGGTCCAACAAGGGCTTACCTCATCTATGCGGCATGGTGATATTGCGCTCTGTACAGTATTGCGCGTAAGACTGGGGTCACAGCAGGATCATACGATGCTAGAGGCCATTGTTTTGGAGTTGATGCTTGTGACGTCGATCTCTCAGTGAATGTTAACGGCTAAAGCCTGAGCTTAGCTCAACCTCGGCTTGACGCGAGCGGATCAACACCAGCCATCGCATCTCCAGCATCTCCAACATTCCCATGCGCATCTTGTCGTAGCCTGTCGCGGGCTTCTCGGGTTCAACATGGTCGTCGATCGCCTCTTGTCCACGCTATTGCGCTCGCTGCAGACATACACGGATCAGCAAGACACGCCGCGGTACGCATATCGGGTCCCTATTCGCAATGCGCATGCTAACGACCACAGGCTATTGGGAACCGCGTCTTCGCTCCTCACTACGCTCGGCAATCCTCACAACCTCAGTCTCCTTACTTCGCATCTCCTTACAGCGCCAGCACTGTGGGACCGCCCCGATGGCGTCCGAACGCCGCTCCGCATGCTCTCCGTCTTTCACTCTGCCGTCACCACCATCATCAATCACCACAACGACGTCCGACATAACAAAGCAGCCAAACTTGCGCCGGGACAGACGCCTATTGGGGGAGGTCTGTCACTGGATGAATGGGTACGCGCCGTAGTCGCAGGAGCCGACGACCGGAGCCGGCGATGGAAGCACCTGGTTGTCCTCACGGGCCTGCTGATCGGTATAGGGAGCCTTGAAGAGCAGGGAATGGATCTATACTGGGCATCCGCTATGCGAAAGAGAGTCGAGGCCGCATTGGTTCGCGCGACGAATCTCGCCTTGGTGGAAGTCCGGGAACGTTCCGAGGCAGATGGACTCGGAGGCCAGACAATAACACTGACGCTCAACCATGCCTTTGGATGCATCGGGCATGTGGAAAGAACGCAGATCGATTACGATCTTCTACTACCGGTCCTTATCGGGACGGCATATTACTCGAATGAAGGCTTCCAGTCGGCCTACTTCCTTGGGGGTTTGGATCTCGATGTGCGAACAACTCAGTCTGGGAAGCTGGACTGGAGTGTAAGTAGCCGTAAAGCATGGCATACATGGATACTGACTATATATAGCCACACTCGAGCTCCTACAGACAAGTCGAAGTCATCATGAACAGACCCCTAGTATCGTCCATGGGTCCACTATCACGGCTAATCGCGCATTCTGTCGAGAACGTCAAGAACCCTTGGATCATCCAGACAATGATGGACGACCTCGCTAGTTTCTCTCGCGCTCTTACCACACAATGGCGGCAGACCAAGTTTTCGGACATCGAGCCCTCCGAAGAGTCAGCCAATCTGGAAGAAGAGGCGCTTCACAAGACCACTCCGCAACTGTGGAATTTACTCAAGGCGGCCCTGTTTGCTACTACTATCATACTGCGTGGTGTCTTCACACGAACGTTGGCTGATAAAGCACTGGCTGCGGATGCCATCGCCCCTATGCTAGCATCACAGGCTCTGCAAATTCTGCGGCACCTTTATTTCATCACCTCCCGGCTTGGCCCAGCGTCCTTTTCCCAGCACACCTTCGTCTACCTTACAGCCATAGACATTCTCTCTGCATACCCCAATCACGCCGACAAGCTTCTCAAAACCATCGCGCCCCAACACCTGGGGCAGATACCAAGCCATCCTCTTGACCGTATACTGGACCTCTACTTCCTCAATACAGCAGAACACTTCACTCTGGTCCTATCGCCCGCCACAAACGAGGATTTGCTTGTTGCATCAGCTGTGCCATACCTTGCAGCTGGCGAGAATCGTCATATGCTGCCAGTATTCGAGGCCGCTCACAGCGTCATGCTGGCAGTTTTGTCCGCTCCACAATCTGCTGAGATCACAGCAAAACATCTTCCTTTCTACATCGACGCGCTCTTCAGCGTTTTCCCCCATAATTTGTCACCACGCCAGTTCCGCCTAGCTTTCAAGACCCTAATGCGGGTCACGGCTCCTCCTTCCACTTTATCAGCAACCCATCCAGATCTCCCAGCTACGCTACTAGAGCTCGTCTTCCACCGTGCGCTCAACGCTCCTACACAGCCACTGCCACCTGATTCGGTTGCACTCGCTCTGCAAGGCTCAGACGCACCACCTCCCGCTCTTTCGGAACAGGCAGTGCTCGCATTGACCCTTATTGATGCCTTGCCGTTTCTCCCTATATACCTACTCGAAGAGTGGCTGCCTCTGTGCGCTGAACTTCTCAACCAAATCAACGACGATGAGATGCGGGAGAATGTCAAAGCGCGGTACTGGGAAGTACTCGTCAGCGGTGAGATGGATGCAGAACGTAGCGGTGTTGCTGTGAACTGGTGGACAACGAGAGGTGGTAGGGAAAGAGTGCTTTACGGAAGAGAAGACGAGTTTGGCATGATGAGTGGAGCGCTGCCTGTCGAAGAACGAAATGTGCGGGAGAGCAAGCTGTAGGACTATGATACCCCAGACCCAAATGATGAAAGTTAATCCTTCAAACGCCTCTGGAAGCTTCCAAACGTGCCGATGACCATAGTGATGTAGTAGCTCCGACGAGACGACAGGTTAGGTCGTATGCAAACGCCCGTCAGGGTCAGTGCTCTTCTGCATGGCAACAAACAAACGGAAGACGCCCTCAACCTCCCCTAAACTCGTCTTCCTCGTCTCTTGATCCGAACATAAACATTGGTAATATCTCCAGTCAAACGCAATGCACGGTGGCATGAAAGATTGCTACCTAGCTAACCATGATCGCGTACATCAACGCGGGCTTGATGCACTACATCAATCTTCAGCTCTCAGTAGCATACCCATTCGAGGAGCCGCATCTTCCTCTAACCCCCACAACGACAATCGACAATCGAACCGACGTCACTCCCACGACACACCCACCGAGACCGACACCTCCCTGCCAAAAAACTTCCCAAGGCCACTAACCTGCCACTTCTGGCACCAAAACGGACGATGCAGCAAGCGAGACATTGACTGCGCATACGCACATTATAACACTGGCTTTATATCTGGCGCTCCTGTTACTTCTCTCGGAGGTACGGATAAGCTCACCCAAGCCTCCTGAGAAGAACACTTCACTAAAAAAAAAGTCACAGCATCCGAGTCCATTGCTGGCAAGAACGTAGACAGATACTCCAAGAACCGAGACACGCCACTGTTGGTAGATATTCAGAAGCGGGAGGACATCGTGGCTCGACGCGAGGCAGAGCTAGAGGAGCGACAGAGCGCCCTCAGGCGACGGGAAGAGGAGGTAGAAGATTGGGAGAATACGGTTCTACGGCGGGAAATTGAGGTGGAGGAGAAGGAGAGGATTGCTAACAGGGTGGGTGTGAGTTTGGGTAAGAAGAGGAAGGAGCTTAAAATTTTGGAGAAGAGTGTTTTGAGAAGGGAGGAGGCGTTGAGGGAAAAGGGTGTTTGAGGAGTGGTGGTGTGGGTGCTGTCAATGAAAATCGCAGCGAAACCTCATCCGACGACTGGTCTTGGTGGGAAATAGATTGTCCAATGGACTTTGTTATTCTATTATAAACTATACTCTCTTTCCTTAATCCACAATAGTATAACTCAAAACTCCCTTCTATATTCATACATGGTCGTGACGTTATTTTCTATTCCAAGACCGGTCGCTACTTATTCAGCCCAGCGACCCATCGTAGGGTCACGCACCTCTCCCTCTTTCTCATTCCATGGTATCGTATCTCAGTGATGTTCTTTCCGGCCTGGCTCTCATCCTTGATCGAAAAGAAGAATTAGTGAAGCGATATACGTCGGCCCTCCGATAGATCAGTTTCGCCACAGTCGACAAAGTCTGTCCGAAGCTACTGCACGACTCCAGATCGCCAGAGCAGACCGTATTCTCCTCCTCTCAGACTCCATGCCATATCGCCATCCTCTCTTAGCAGTGTACTCATAGACATCATCCATGATACCTTCGTTATGCATCGAATTGGTTATCTTTCCAACAACTTCTCATGCTCCAACTCACGTGTAGATGAAAGTCTCGATACTCTCCGTCCTTCCATCGAACCTGTTACTCTCAGTTCGCCCATCATGCCTAATGTTCTCAGTCCACCCGTTATATCTCTTAGATTCTGTCCTTGCATCAAACCTCTTCCCCTCCTGCAACACAATCCCCCCCTCTTCGTCCACCATATGGTCCATCCCCGGCTCTCTAAGGTACCCTTCCCTTTCCGGCTTCGAAACCGCCGTCCCCGTACTCGCTGACGCCGTACCCGTCGATTTCCACCAAGAACCGTCTTTCTTGACACTGGACGCCGTACCACGGCTGGATCCATACATACTCGCCGCCACCTTGAAGTAATGCGTGAAGAAGACCTTGAGAGCCGGTGCACTAGCGCAAATAGCCCCAAGCTGAATTTCTAGCATGCAGAGCAGCCATGCTGGCCAGGATTCCCACGTTGAATCGTACAGTGGGTTGTTGAAGATGCGGTAGACGTAATAGGAGCGTATGCCTGCTACGATGCAGACTAGGTAGCCGAGAGCAAAGATGGCGCCTAGAGCTATTTTCTGGCGGCGAGGGATTTGCAAGTTCCAGTACAAGATTGTGGGAAGGAAAGCGGCGATGGCATCTTGTACTGCACTGATTATACTCGCTGATAAGAGGTCTGCATATTCGTTGACCCGGCAGTGGTATGAGTACCCCGAGAGTTGTTTGCCGATGTCGAATTGGTACCAGAAGGCTTCAAAAGGGGAACAGCCTATGAAGAGGACAACGACGAATGCGGTGCAGAACATGGCAATGGCGATGATGTTCAGCCAAGTTGCGATGCGGAAACTCCGTGTTATGGAGCGCGAGTCGAGGCGGCGATAGAAGAGGAGGATGGAGATTTTGATCATTCCGCCGGATACGATGTATAAGAGGTAGAGGGCGAGGGTTATCTTGCGCTCAGGGACGTACATGTTTGGGTGGACGTCCCATATGTGGCGGTTGAAGTTGTACTTTTCGGTTGCTGGGTTTGGTTGTTAGAAGGCTCACTGGATGGGGTTGTGCGCGAGGGTCAACGTACCAAGACATACTGTTACTGTAAGTCCAACTGTCGGGATCTTTACTCGACGTGTTAGTTTACATATACATGGTCTTCTTCCTTGCGAGAAATCCGTACCATACCAGCCAGGATGATCCAGTCATCCAGCCCTGCGTTTCTCTGTATGATAACTCTTGCCCACATCCTGGCTCCCACTGTGGCAAGCATGACCGATCCCAAGGCACACGATGTGATGAGAACTGCTCTGGAACGCGTAATGGGATCATCGTAATTCGGAACCGGCCATTTGGCCAACACTGAGATGGGAGGCAGGAGCCCGCTCGATCCACTTCCATTAGGATTGTACGACATGCTGAACGTGTTATGCTGAAGGTTTTTCAACAGGAGTGACAAGTCCGGGAGGAGACCAGGTGGCGAGGTATATGTGAACGTTCGCGGCACCTCCAGATGTTTCGTTGTTCAGCGTGACGACGCCATATGCCGGAGGACGAGAAGAATCCGAAAACTAGACACTCACGAGAAAGAAGGAAAAGGCAGGTGAGTATAATTGAAGAACAATCGCCTCAGCCACCATTGCACACCAGGAAAATAGCCTATACTAGCTCACATAAGACCAAGCCCTTCTTATTTTCCACGTGAGCCAGATCATGCCGATTCTCTGTACAAAGTTTAGCTATCCCATCCCAAGGCCGCCAACAAAGAGTCAGGCACCAAACAGTAGGTCGCTGCACCTCCGTGGACCACGCGGCGGTTCGTTAACGGTTGCGGATCTGGAGCATTGTCTAGTTCGAAAGCTACCATCGGAGCCATCACTTGTTCGGGAAACCGATGGCCGCCACGATTGTCAAGTATCTTGCCGCAGATTAACCAAAGTTTGGGGTCATCCAAGAAGAGGACGGACGTGTCGCTCGGCCAAATCTCTGTAGCGCAGATCCGCGACATGAACGGCAAGAGGGGGGATATTGGAAGGATGGGTGAGATATTGCGGGAGATGAGAGGGTTGGACTACGGCTAGGTCGCTCGCGGGTAGCTAGGTCGTGGATGATGTGAACGATGGATACGGCATTTGGAGGCGGGATGATCAACTGCAAAATGGACGGTTGAGCTCGGCATACATTCAAAGCATCGTCCTAAGCTCACGTGGCGACCCGGTTGCTTCGAAAACCGTGCATGTTCCCAGCTTTCTTTCCCTTCATCAAGCTGTCAGAGATACAGTATAAGCAGTCAATGGTATAAGCTAGACATCGATCCCGCTTTCAGGCAAGGATATCAGTAATCAGAAGCTGGTTGTTGGCACAAATCCACGCAGGATCTGGACGATGAGTGATCAGATGGATCGTGCAAGTAGATCCCCGAGGCCACGCTAACGCACGCGCCGACGATCACCGCTGCAGGTCACCAAACCTTAAAACCGTGCGAAGCACACCGGCGAGATTTAGTATACCAGATATTCATCCAAACGTCATCTTTCTAGTTCTAGTATGGGTGGCGTACGCAGAGAGCAGCAGGTCACAAACGTCTAATAGCAGATAAGTTTTCGATTACGAACCAAAAGAATTTCGACCGACATGTTGCCAGTGGGATGCACTGAAAATGTAGTCTGCAAGGGAATAAAGAGTTTTCTGTGCAGAGACGAATAAAGTGTATAGCCACTCCTTTCCCTGATAAAACAGCCCGAAACACAAACGAAACAATGTAGCTGGTACGCCATGGTATGACAGGTGTTCGCCATACAAGCCCAGCCGAGCCCCAATGCACCAAACACCCAGCTAATCACAAAGGGAAAGAATAGACGCCATCGCCATGCAAGTCTTGCTTATGTTTACAGTTTGGGCTTCGCGAGTCACGAATGCCCTCGGAGTCGCGGAGTGTTGTTACTCCGCAGGACCTTCCTAGGGCCGCTTTTATGTACCCGGCATTTCCGTGTTATGTTTGTTCCTCTTTTAGGCTTTTAGTACGCGACTTGGAGCGCTCGCGAGTCACTGCATCTTTCAATGCCTTCAGTCGTTCTTCAGTCACGCGGATCGCTTCATCCATCTCCCGCGCCTGCATGTTTTGGGGCGCTAGGGGCTTTTGCGTCCCGTCTTCCGGCTGGATCCGCGCTCCAGTGACGGAGCTTTGCACCCTATCGAGAGCGACCCTCTCTTCGAGCCAGCTCCATAGATCCGACTCCTCATGGCGCCAGATCTCCTCATATGCAACCTGACGCTGAGCAGCTGACCATTGGTTTGGACCAGTTACTGCGGATCCGCCACGGAAGAACCAGGTGTACACGAGGAGGGCTCCCATAATGAGGATGATGACTTGCGGTGTGAAGATAGATTCCAGGATATCGGCGAATGGGCCAAGGAGACTGCGTAATGGTTCCAACAAACCCCAATTGCTTTGCTTTGCTTGACTAGTGGGAGCGGGAGCGGCGGCAGGCACGGGTGCCTCTTCTAGAAGATTGCCCTTCGAGCGCCTCTTTCCTTTTCCACCCTTTCCAGGTAATCGAGATGGACCGGCTTTCGTGACGCTCACGGCAGTGCGAAGAGCGGCTGTAAGGGAGGTGGCGTACGACATTTGACCGTCATTTGCACCCTTCTCAATGGGACCTAAAAACATCAATAGAGCTCTTGGGTTGAAATAAGCACTACTACTTACCCTTCAGCCAACTCTTTCCGCTCCATTCCACCGTAAAGGTCATGATAAGCCTTGTACTGTTTCCTGGTCCCCACATTAAGCAGTACCTCGTCTTGGTAAGGAATATGCTGCCGTTAGGTACGTCTGGTGTTGCTGTGCTGCATAGCACGCTCACGGCCTTTTCCAGGTCGTACTGCTCCAGGTTCATGGCAATGTTGCACTTCGTCTGGCGTGGTCCGACAGGCGCGTTTAGCGGCTTGATGTAGGAATAGTTGAATGTCTTCACGTCTTCACCCAAGCCCTTCTTGTCGTCTTCCATCTGTAAGTCCAAGGACTTCTGGTCGTCGACTAGCCATTTGCGCATGAACACGCCAGAAGCAGGGCCGAACATCAAGCTGTAAACCTTGCCCAGAGGTGCCGGAATTGTCGTATCAATGAGCAGTTTATCGTAATGCTGGTCGCTGTCACCACACTCAGTAGGTGCGTGTGTTGCTGAACCAGGGAAGTCTTGTCCTGCAGTTGCAGTGCCATTTGTGACTGCTTTGGCGGCCTCGGCCGTCTCACCGCCACCACCAAAGGCCTGCGACACTGCGCCGCTCACCTTGCGGGTGGTTTCGCCAGCTGAAGAACCAACTTCGCTACCAGCTATACTGCCTTCGCCAGGGTCAGTGAAGCTGCCAGTGCCTTCGTCTTCGTCCGCATCTTCGTCGTACACCTCATCGTCGGAATCTTGCAGAGAACCGTCGTCACTGCCAATAGATTCTGCTTTCTCCGTCTTGTCGCCAGTACCACCGGAACCGTCTAGAGTTACTCCGTTGAGGGATGACTTGAGATTGGGATGCGATATTTTCCATATGCCAATGATTAAATCGTAGGTGGAGTCTCGCGACAAGAACGACGCAAAAACGTTGCGAGCGTGAAGTGTCTGGATGACAATGGCATTGGGAAACAGGACGGCCGTGGACTTCTTCTCGACAGAGACGACCTCATCGAAGCTAATGACCAAATTTGTGACCCATCCAAGAATGTTACTGGAAAAGCAAAGATGTCCTTCAGAAACATACAAACGTCCATGAAGCAGGATCTCTTTCTGAAGGGCTGCACTATAGTCCTCGATCAGATAATCGTCCTCAGGAACGCTTTTGAACAGGGCGTGGAAATCCTTATTTCGCCTAGGAGGTGCAACCGCGAATCCAGTTCCGTTCAGACGGTGGCTGTTTAGTGCGGCGTTTGGTGCCAATGTACTTGTGCTTGCGGTGACGACCCCGCTCAAAGTATTGCCGGTAGCAGCGGAGCTGCCCCTATGCCGTCTCCTTCTGCCACCGCTTATACGACTGCGTATGCTGCCTTGCCGTCCAATTGATGCCGGTGAGTCGGTTATTTCAGGTTGCCGTGGAGGAGAGGTTGCACCTGCTCCTGATTGACCAGAAACAGCAGTCAATGATCGTGGACGTTCACTGGCAACTGACGGAGGCTTTTCTCCTGCGTACGCGGCAGAGACGGCCTGTGCAGCAGCCCTGTCCTCGACCTTGGCCGAAGCTTCATCCGCCTTCATCGTGACGTTAGTCGCGGAAGACATTGGACTGACCTCGTTGCTTTCAGTAATGCCAAGTTGGGCTAAGCTCAAGTTTCCGGATCCGAGTGTCTCAATGGCGGGTCTGCGCTTCTCGGTGCCTTCGCTCGTGGTGGTGTCAATGTTCTCAGGTCCAATAACTTCTTCTCCGCCGTCAGCGGTAATGTCGTCCTCTTTCTGCTGTTGCTGATTGGGCTTGTTCTTTGGATTTGCGCTGTTCGCAATGGTGTCGCCCAAGTTGTTAGCAGCGTTCTGAGCTGCAGAAAAGATGGAAGCGAAGAATCCACCAGGCCCGCCAGGAGATGATGGAAGTACAGCAGTCCCTCCAGGGGTCTTTGCTTCCTCTAGATGAGGAGTAAGGGGCGGTATCGACGAATGTGATAGCTTGCTCGGAGGATTGGTGGCTGATCGTACACGTCTGTGCGATATCATATTCCCCGAGGGGGAGACGACTACGTTGGGGTTTGTCTCAGTGTTGTTGCGCTTGACAGTGTTCTTGGAGCTAGTCGACTCTGTTGGGGAAGAAGCCTTCCCGTCGGTCGGAGTGGGCGGAGTTATGAAGGTCGTGGGTGCATCAGATAGATTGGGAGGAGTCGCGGGGAGCGAGGTGATGATGCGCTTCGGGGCAACGGATCTCAGCGATGGCGTAGATTTTGTCTCGTCTTCTGTGTGTATCTGTATCTGTGGTGGTGAGGCTTGGATGGGATCATCCAACACCCTCGTCTCGCGCTTCTTCCCTCCAAACAGCGCTCCTAGTCCACCTCCGCTTGTACTGGGTCTTGCAGGCTCAGGGCTAGCACCGTTTATAGGGGCCGGAGACGTGGACCTTCGATTAGGCGCGAAAGCTTCCTTGAGCTTGCCAACGGGAGACACGCCCCGCTTGCTTGTGTTCCGGGCGGTAGGCTCCTCGGTGGAGGCTTCAGAGTTTACGAGAGTGACATCGGTAGAATCTGCAGAGTCGATTGTCTCGGAAGCGATCAGGGGCGACGACAGCGTCAAGAGGCCGGCATGCGACTGATGTGGTGATATGCCGGGACGTTTGAGTGGTGGTGGGCTGCAGCCGGTTAGTCGGAACGCAAGATCCGAGTGGGTACGTATGCGACAAAGGAATACGGAAGAGGGGTGAAAGTAATAGTAAAAACAAATAGAAGAGCAAAAGCCAAGAGTGCGTATTGGAATACGGATGCGATGATGTGCGAGGTGTGGTATGCTAGTGGGGAAGCTGAGGCCAGAACGTATGCTGGTTCGCGGTGGAGTCCATGCTGAGGGGCGCCAAAGCCGCGAGGCAAACCTTCCACTCCAATGGACGCGTCGCAAATGCAAATGGAACTGTATCTGAGACACAGAGCGAGATGGCGGAGGGAAAAAAGGAACACTATGCAACTTACGATTCCATGTCTGAGTCGTCAGTGAGCAGACTGCTTGCGACGCTCTTCGCGAGTCCTAGGGAGTCGTCGCTCTGGTATGGGTGACCCATGCTCGGACGCCTAATGGTAGGAACGGGAGGAACAACCTCATCGGGGTCGAGTTGCGAGACGTCGTCCTGGCTGAGAGAGCCTTTGCTCTTCTTGCGAGCCTTGAAGAGCTTCGACATGCGCCGGCGATGCGACGATGAGACGTCGCTGCGGGCGTCTTCGGAGTTCTGGCGACTCCTCAAGCGGTCCGTGGTGCCGTCGCTCGACTTGCGCAAGTCATCGTTGCCGTCGCTGCTCGCAATTGAGACAGTGGACGAGTCTGGGCCCTTTGACTGTGCCCGCGATGCAGCCAGCGTGCTGTCCTTGTCTTTCTGGCCGAACATGGAGCCTATGCTCCTCCGCCGCTCAGAGGCCATTGTCAACTATATAGGGTATGGTTCGAAGCGCAGAGTACTATGAGGAGGTCGAGAGTCTTGTTGTTGTCTCACACCCGCATGTCGATGTTGCGGCGCTGCGAAGTACGGTGTTTGCTAGGTAGGTCGGGGGGTGTTGTCGATTACGTAGGTAGCAATTAACGATGCGCTTAGAACTACCGCAGGGTCGCAGCTGCAATTGGATACATGACAGACGAGGGGTTACAAGAGACTGGGAAGAGCTTGCAGGTTTTCACAGAAGAGAGAATAAGCAAGTCGGCGCGGGCTGCAGAGGTGAAACCAGGTGGGCGCGTTGCTCGTGTTCTGGTTCCAACGCCTCCAGTAGCTGCGGGTCTTTAGCCTGGTGATCTACTCCGCAGTTACATGGGGGGGTGCCTTCCCATCCCTGTCAACGTGACCGCGGCCCTTCACGCGCACATGCTACAGCCCTTGTATACAGGCACTCGATGAACATGTCCAGTCCTCGCCTCCACTACCACCATGGAGTCGGCATATCTCATCCAGGCCCATGACCACGCTCGCACCGCCGCGACAGCGACCAGCACCAACAGCGTCGCAACCGCGGGGCAGGAGCACGACCTCGCCGCGACCGCCTTTCACAATGCCCAACAAGATACCCATGATGCTGAGGTATGTCTTCTGGTGTGCATTATCCTACCCGTCTAAGTACTTCCAGGCCCGCCGCATCCTCACCCTTCTCGAACATCACCATCGCCAGCTCGCCGGTCTGATCAAAGAAGCGCCGCGCAAGGAGAAGAAGAAGACGGACACCACCAAGCAGCCTTCCGACGCCCTAACCGTCTCCCCTTCCGCAAATACATCGTCGTCGCGAACATCCGCATCCAACACATCTTCCCCGACTCCTCCGACATCTCGCCGCAGACTCCCCCAGTCCTCGATAGCCACCAACCTCGCTGAGAAGCGCGGTATACCCAGCGCGAAGAGAACCACCAGTGGTGCTTCAGCAAACGTACCAGGCGCCGCAGCTGGCTGGAGTGAACAACCATCCACACCGGTACGGGACCTCTTGGCGCAACAGTCGCGCAAAGCGGAGTCAAGTGCCCCTAGAGATACGGCCAAGCAGCTGAAAGATGTCTCCTCACGGCCTGCGTCTCCGCCTGCCGAAGATAACTTCAGCCGCTTCTATTCAGCTTTTGGCGGTGTCATATCAGCCATCAGTGCCCCACTAGCTTTCACCTCCTTACCGCTCAATCCTTCGGCGCCGACGCCTGTATCCGAGACACCCAGGGAAGAAAAGTCATCCAAGACCAAGTCCCGGACTCAGTCTCCAGAAGCGTCAAGGACCGTCAAATCCTCAGTACCTGACCTTGCTGCGTTGATAAGCAAGCCTGCACTTCGCGCCCTGAGAGAGGATGGCGCACCTGGTCCAAACGAGAGCTTCTACCTGGTGCCAACATCAGGCGGAGCAGTCACATATGCCAGTATCCTTCGCGATCCGAATGCGCCAAATGCGCCACCCAACACACAACTTAATGCAATCGACGAGGGCTCAGGCTCGTTGAGAGGGAGTTCACATGAAGAATTCGTCGATGCGCGAGAGAATGTAGGCCCGCCGTCACCCACCAAAGCACGTCGTCCCCCTTCTCGCGGCAACTCAAGCACATCTGTAACGCCCCAACGCTCCATACCAGCCGGTAGAGGCTCAGGCCTCAAGACTATGGAAGAGCTAGCCCTAGAAAACGACACCTTGAAAACCGTCATCGACAAACAAGCCAAACGCATCCAGATGTGGGAACTCAATTCCCAAAACTCCTTCAACGCCCTCGCACAGTCGTTCCGCGCTCGAGGCCCCGGACGTGGCTCCAGCGACCCCAATGCGCTTGCCCAGGCCCTCGCTGCTCAGGGTATCAACCATCTCCCTGCTCTCCCCTCCCCTCCTATATCAGGTCAAACACAAAAACAGCAACCTACATCTCCCGGTCAAGCCCCGACTTCAACACCCGACGCCGATGCCGCAAAACGTATCGCCGACCTCGAAGCCATGCTTGCTTCGCAAAACGCCAAAGTCAATGACTTGATGAGTAACAATGAGAAGCTGGCTAAGCAAAATGAGAGGAATACGCAGGTTCTGAGTAGATATAGAGAGCAGTGGGAGAAACTAAAGGCTGGTGCGAGGAAGAAGGAGCAGGAAAGACGGGAGAGAAAGGGTGAGGATGGTAAGGTTGGGGAGTCTACGAAAGATAGCGAGATTACTGAGGCGCAAGGGGAAGGTGAGGAGGATCTGGAAGAGGAACCTGGGTTTGGGAAGGCTTGAAGGATGGAACATGAAGTGGAGAGGGACAAGTGGAGATAGAAAGATACCCCATACTATTATAGCAAACAGAGACGAGATAGACACAACAATCAGTTACCACTCTTAGTTCACCGTCCAATGGTATTCCAATACCTATAGTCTAGCCGGATTTGAGAAATACAGTTGATCAACGTTGCAAAACACTTGCATCAAAAAACATCAACACCAATTAAAAAAAATCTTTTTTAATACAATTTGTATTACTACTGAAATGTCCGAAGCCTAGTAGTCAAAGTCCGCCTTCCGACCCAAAGTATTTCTGTGATCAGTTTATCTTCCATGTCCCATAACGCCGACAAAGCCATTCCGCTAACGTTCCCTAAGATACACAACTGACGCATAGCCACAAAGCCCACAAACTCGCCCAGTCTAAGCAGCAGAAGCAATAGGCTTCTGGGTGATGGGCTGGTAAGAAGGCGCAATGGGTCCGCCAACTGTAATCTCCTGGTTGTCCATACCCGCTGCGTGACCCTCAAAGTCCGGCGCATCAGGGTGGCAGCCGACACGCTCCTTGCTCAGCAAGTCAACGAGAAGAGGGCTGGGCTTGTTGCTCTTCTCAGAGAAGCTCGACTGGTGGTTCTTGTACTGCTGGACGTTCTCCATGTACTTGTCAAAGAGGTAAGCAGAGTCAAGAGGACCACCCTTGGCTTCGGGATGGAATTGGGCACTGAAGATGGGACGGGAGTTGTGGATTAACCCCTCGTTGGACTGGTCGTTGAGGTTGGTGAAGTACTCCCTCCACTCGCTGGAGAGGGTTGTGGGGTCGACCGCGTATCCGTGGTTCTGCGAGGTGATGTGGCACTTGCCGGTGGTGAGGTCGAGAGCTGGGATGTTGTGGGCACGGTTACCGTACTTGAGCTTGATGGTCTTCGCACCAGCAGCAAGAGCGATAAGCTGGTGACCCATGCAGATGCCCATGACGGGGATCTGGGAAGTCTCGAACAGCTTGCGGAGGTTGTGGACGGTGGTTGTGCAGTGAGTTGGGTCACCAGGGCCGTTGGAGATGAAGACACCGTCGAAGTGGTGGGCGACCTTGTGGATGGGGTAGTCGAAGGGGAAGCAGGTGACGCTGGCACCGCGGGAGACGAGACTGCGGAGGATGTTCTCCTTAACACCACAGTCAATCAAAGCTACGTGCATGTCGCCCAGAGAAGAGCTGACGTGGAAGGGAGCCTTGGTGGATACACGACGCACGAGGTTGATAGCCTCAGGGTCGATGTATGCCTCGTCCTCATCGGCATCGTACTCCTCGCCAATTGAGATACGAGCAAGAGAAGAACCCTGCTCACGGAGGTATGTTACAACCTCACGAGTGTCAACGCCGGAGATGGCGGGAACACCCTCACGGGCACACCATGTTGCAAGTGACTCTACAGCAGTCCAGTGGCTGTGCTTCAGAGCATAGTCTTGAACGACAATGCCAGAGGCTTGGATGTGTGGGGACTCAAAGTATCGGAGCAGGCCATGCTCGTCGCGGGCGTTGGAGGGAACACCGTAGTTGCCGATCAGCGGTTGTGTGAAGACGAGGATCTGGCCACGGTAGGATGGGTCGGTCATAGACTCGGGATAACCGACAAGAGAAGTGGTGAAGACGGCTTCTCCCGAGATGTTGGTCTTGGCTCCGAAAGACTTGCCTTCGAAGATGGGGCCGTTCTAAATAGCTGTCAGTGTCATGCCAAGATCTGCATTATGACTCTACCCACCTTGATGGTGAAAGTGGCGGGCTCGTTGGAGACAGCTGTAGCCCTGCGCATGCTAGGAGTAGGAATTACACGTTGTGTGTTTCCCTCAACAGTAGCGAGGCAGCGTGCTTGTACACGGTTCTTTGTCATTCGTCCCAGGAACCCTGCGGACCGCATGGTGGAAGGCTTGATCATTTGCGACAACATGATGAGCGGAGATAGGGAGTGATGTAGTGATTCGTTTGATGGCAGGTTGTTGGGTAGGCGTTCAGTTTACTGATGCCTTCCACAGGTGGTCTGCGGATAGAGTCAGTTTGACGCTCATGACGCGTCTGTCTGTGGGTGACAGCATACCTGAGATGTAATCCTGTAGCTCTCAATTAGCCTTGGTCATAATAGAAGAGAGGAACAGAAAACTCTAGACGAGAATGCATCGATCGTCAAGCCACTAAGAGGCAGAAAGGCCGGCGGTGAATTGACGGTGTGCGATGCATGTCCCGATAAGGGTTCATTGAGCATTGCAATCGTGACATACCTGGGAAGTAAAGAGTGTCGGGGCAGCACTCATAAGCGCGGTAGTAGGGCCAGTTGAGGTCAGAATAGGGTGCCTATCTGAGGCGAAGCTTGCATGTGCTAGTTTGAGAGTGTTGAGTTTGCGTGAGGTGAGGATACAAAGTAATCGGGGAGGGGGTTTTCTGCAGCACCGGATGACGCTAAGGCGCAATGACACGCACGCGCCAATGATGGCCTTTACAATAAAATATCGGTCACGATAACGATTGGATTTGCAAAGTTTCTTCAATTCAGACCCATGTACTATGACAAACGTCCGGGGAAGCTGGATGATAATTGTGCGGCCCCGCTATCAAGTCCCTTTGAACCATACTGTGTAGCATACCCTGCAGCTGCTCAACGACTTCAGTCTTGCGTCTTGACGTTGGACTACGGTGCGGCGCATGTTGCAAAAACGTTATTCATCAAACTCCACGCCTTATCTATGTCGATCGCAAACTGGCCCTCCGAGGAGGTTTACCGGGTATCCGCACGCGAATGACGAGTGACAGTCATAGTTTTTGTCTTATCCCGACATCGGCATCATGACGATCCGAAAACCTGAGCTAATTAGCCGAACATGTCCCCCGGACATCAACACAATCGGCGCATAAGCATCCCAAATACAGTACACAATCTACGTTCACTGGATATAGCAATCATTGTAGCAAGATTGACGGATAACTATGCTACGAGCAGCGTTGATGCACTTAGTAATCTATGTACTCTCCATTTTTGTTTTTGCTTTACTACACACACTTCTCCCAGATGGGCTCTGCCTCAGCACCCAGCGAAGAGGTCTCAATTTAGACCACTAAACAGTGATCTTACCCGTTAATCTCACATCCCTAGAACTCGATCCCACGAAAATTTGATACTCTCCAGTCGCAACACTCCACTTTCTACTACTCTCATCCCAAAAGCTCATATCTCTTCTCCTCAGCTTGAATGTCGCAGTCCCGCTAGCACCAGCTTCCAGCTTGAGCTTCGCGAACCCCCTTAATTGCTTAGGAGGTGAGTTTGTCGATGCAGGGTAGCCGAGATACAGCTGTGCCACCTCCGCACCAGCAACACCACCAGAGTTGCTGATCTTGGCGGTGACAGTAGCGACGGTTTCGAAGAGATCAACGGGGCCACCAGGACCCTTGGCACCGGTTGCAGGACCAGCGGTGGGTTTGCCTGAGACGCTGAAGTTGGAGTAGGTGAAGTTGGTGTATGAGAGACCATAGCCGAACTCGAACCTGGGCTCGATCTTCTGCTGGTCGAAACGGCGGTAGTCGATGAAGAGGTCCCAGTCCTTGTCGTCACCTCTGGCGATTGCGGTGCCGTAGTCCGACTCCTTCTTTGCGATGGTGTAGGGGAGCTTGCCACTAGGTGAGGCTACGCCGTAGAGGATGTCAACGAGGCCGTTTCCGGATTCTTGACCTGGAAGACCTGCCCAAACAACCGCAACGACATTTGGGTTTTCAATCCACTGCTCCATAATGACAGGACCGACGCTGTGTACTACGACAACCGTCTTCTTGTTGACAGCAGCAACTGCCTTGACCAAGTCGTTTCCGTTGTGCCACGGGTCCAGATTCTTCCTGTCACCAGCATTTCCTTCAACAGTTATGTAACCTTCGCCAGCATCGCTGTTTATGCAGACCACTGCAATATCAGCATTTTGTGCTGCACTAGCACCCTGCTGCGCGTTGTCGTTCGGTGAAGAAGTGATGGAGGTTCCATCCTTCTGGGCTTGTGTCTTGATAGCATCAAGTGGAGCAATAAGATAGGGGAACTCGACTGATCCAGAACCCCAACCCATGGCCAATGTCCCATCGTTACATCCGCGATCAACGCACGCATTCGCTCCTTTCGGCGCAACGATGCTGTCGCTTCCGATGACAGCAATGCTCTTGGGCTTCTTAAATGGCAGCGCAGCATTCGTGTTCTTCAGTAAGACAATACCATCGCGGGCCGTAGCACGGACGTTTGTCTTGTGGTTTCCACCGACTTCGTGTTTGCCGATCGTCCAGGAGCTGAAACTCGTAGTAGGATAGCCCTTGTCCTGGCCGACGAGGTACCAAGCGGCTAGCACGCGCTTGACCATATCATCGAGGCGAGATTGTTGCACTTGTTTGTTGTTGATCGCGGTCTGAAGTTGTGGGCCCCAGAAGACATTGCCCTTGCTGAAGTCGGTGCCGGGCATGGTCATGTCCAGGCCACCGTTCGCGCTACTAGTGGTTGTGTGTTGCGCTGGAGAATGTAAGCTGTTGTGCTGGGTATAAAGAACACAGGTGAAGTACCATTCCAGTCGCTCATGATGTATCCACGATGGCCGAGCTCGTCTTTCAGGAGCTTGTTCATCACACCGTCGCTTTCGCAGGCCCATGTTCCGTTGATCTTGTTATAGCTAAAGTAAGTTAGTAAGTTCCAAAGTCATACACAGTACAGCTTGACGCATGCGTACCTGCACATGAAGGCCGCAACATTGCTGTGAACAGCATCCATAAAAGGCCAAACATAGAGCTCACGAAGCACTCTATCCGGGACATCTGAACTCATAGTCTCTCGGTTCAGCTCCTGTTCGTTAACAAGCCAATGCTTAGCTGTCGCCTGGACACCCGACTCTTGCATGCCCTCGATGGTCTCTGCCATCATGATGCCTTGAAGATAGGGATCCGAGCCAAACCCTTCCCAGTTTCGGCCACCGTTCGCATGCTTGCCAAGTGGGCCGGCTGAAGGCCCAAGTTGGACGTGGACACCTAATTGCTTTGCTTCAGCGCCGAGGAACGCACCTCGTTCGCGGATGAGGCTGAGGTCCCAGGTGCTGGCGGCGTGGATAGCTGCACTGAAGGCAGTTGCGCCTTGGACGTAGCGGACACCGAGAGGTCCATCTTGATGTTGTTAATAAGAAGTTCTACCATGTACGTGTGGACTGAACGGCATTTGGGTAGTGTCTCCGGTGTTTTCAGGCCTAAAGCTTCCAACATTGAAGTCGCTGAACACAACATGCTCGTAAAGGTTACAGCATGTCTTGATTGCGTCGAACAATACCGTCCATCCCGCCGTTCGTAAAGCACGGGTCGGCTTGAGAGGTAGTGGAACAAGACTGCTTACCTTGCAGACAAAGCGACGGATATCCAATCGAGCCAGCCGCTTTGGTGTTGCCAACGCAAGGCCCATTCTGCCAACCAACACCCGTGACGATTCCGATCTTCTCACTCTGCGATAGTTTGGCGAGCGCAGCTGTTGCTTTTGTATAGGCATCGTCCCAATTCCCAACTGCACGTTTTGAAGGCTGGTCGGGCGGAATGGCTGCTTGTATTAGTAAAGAATCTGTAGTTGCATCTAATTGTTGTGGTACCTGAAGCCTGCGACAATGCAGCCATAGTGAGCACAGGAATAATAAAGGAACGCATCGTATGAAAACCAATCAACATGCTAATATATGTACTGGAGAGCGAATGCAAGCCACCACCCGGGTGTGTCTCCTATTAAGTACCCGTGAATTGTCCATGCTGCGCAACGCACAAGCCCGAGGCAGTTCTTTTGTTAGTATTGGCCCTTGGCAAAATCAGAGCATGCACCATTGTAAACCCCAAACCCAAGAAAATCACAAGCCGTATGACGTGTGATGTAAAGTGGTGATCGCTGCATTTGATGAGGCGGTGGGAGGGAATATATGGAGGCGGGCCGTTGACCCAGGGTTAACAGCCGGTGACTGGGGCTCACGGCGAATTAAATCCCGGGATGCTGCATCACGAGTGGAGTCGGAATGAACATGGCTTGGGAATACAATTACTGAACCGTTAAATGTGGGCAGGGAGCGATGTGAGTGCATGCGGCTCAGTCGTGTGATGGTCGTGAATTCGGCTAGTCTGGTCAAATGACATCCTCTGCTATTCTCTGACGGACTCTAGTAGTATAGAACGCTGCGCGCCCAGTATCTTAGCATACACTTACTTCAACAGGATGAACCTTTCCTGCCTGTAGACACTGTTGCCCACGACAGTGATTTACGTGAGCGTCTTTCCAAAAAGATTTGCGCATCCTTGTGTGGGCTCTCCCCTCCTCTTTTTCTGCCTTTGCCGCCACGGCGAAGTGGTAGCGCATACTTCATCGCACAACATGATGTGTGATCTATCCCTTTTGTCAAAGGAGCGATACGCTAATGCATGTCTCAGACACCTACCTGAGTACACTGTTGGCATTATGTTCAGATATCCGTCTACGGTAACACCCTGCTTGTTGTCAGGAGCCACTGCGCATTCGATGCCAAGCTTGATCTCGCTCCAAGCTGGACTCGGTTTTCGCGTGATTTGGAACATTTCGACAGACTCGAGGAGCCTCAAGAATAGTTGGCGTATTCGCAGTCATCATCCAGTCGTAAGCAGTATGCGCACGACGGTTTCTCTTCTGTGCACTCCCGTCTTCGTTGTTTGCAATTGGGACGCACACTCATCGAATGCTTCCTGCTGTTCAAAACTTCACACTGACATGTCCAGAGCCCTCTCCGACACTGGTTGCAAGCAGGTCTTGCCTCGTTACATTTAATCTTCTTTTCGCCGCAACAGACACAAGCTTTACCACGGACAGGTACCGATGGCAGTGATGCCTCAACGAGAGGCGCTTTCTTCTTCGATTTGTTGGGCGATGTGGGCAACTTTGCCTTAGGTTTCTTGATAGATGCTTTTCGCGCTGTCGTGGGAGAGGCCACAGCACCGACTTTCTTGCTCTTCTTGTTTGGTGATGAATTTGGAGCTTCTGGGGACGTTGACATGTCAAGATCGGGGTCTCTAACATCGTTCTCTGCTTCAGTCTCATTCTTTTTGCTACGTTTCCTTTTGTGTGGCTTCTTTTCTTCCGTAGCGTCGGTTGTGGCGGCAACGCCGCTATCTGTAGTCAGAGCAGGTAGACTATCGGATATAAGTCATGATGTTTTGGAGGGAGTGCCATATGAAATATCCAGTCGCAGCTATGATTGTGAATACGACATACCTGTTGTTATTCTCGCGGGTAGTGTGTATAGAATTATGCTTGTACACGGCATTTAAAGCGTCTCTTTTGAGAGAGAACTTGATATGAATTGCGCCCCCACAGTCGTATGTCGGTTTAACGGTAGGCTCCTGTTTCTTGACTCCAGCCTCGCCATCGTCGCTATCATGCGACTTCTCTTTCTTCACGTTGCTTTTATGGTCTTTGTTCTGAAGACTGTCTCGACAAATATACTCGAACCTGGCACCGCCACCGCCTTCTCTGTTCTGTGCAGAGCGCTCAGAGTACATAAACTCATCGGTGTCTTGGATAGCCTCGACAATGGATCTGTGTTGCATAAGTAAATGTTATGCAGACGATGTAGGTTCCGATACTGTGCAATCGCTCGCTGCACCTTCAGCCTGTCCTTACCATCAATGTCTCGACATAGCACATATTCGACAGCGATGCTCTGAAGGTGATCGGCTGGCTGTATGGGTGCGTCAAGATTCGATTGCTGCGTCGCGGGGATAGTGATGGTTAAGGCGGTCGCAAAGATGAACTCTGTAACAACGTCTATGGGGATAAAGCTGGCTACGTTCTTGTCCAGTTCGTTGCACAGAGCTCCCTCAAGTGACTGTTACATAACAACTTAGCCATGTTCATACAGGCTGCGAAGACCATAATACTGCAGATGTGGGACAGCAATAGTTGACTTCGGGATTTAGGCCCTTGTGAAAGCAAATATCCAGTTCATCCTCGAGGCTATCTATGGCAATACTGTCATAAGTTGAGGCACGACTACTGAGTGATGCGCGGTGCCGCTCTCGTGCGTGATCCAGCTGTGAGATGAGACGAATGGAGACACATGGAGAGTGTGTGTCCAAGCTTCCGGGAAGAAGATTGTTCCGCGCCGCAGTCAGATGATGATTGGACGAATGTGGCCTGCTAACAGTGCTAAGGTTGCCCTGCAGCATTCTAAAATTCGATTCAATCGGCAATGGGCCAAGCTGCACATATCTCGCATGCCCCGTAAATGAGCCTTTCCTGGGCGAGTACATATGGCTATGCGCGCTTATGGCTCAATGTACAAGCTTTGGCTGAGGGCAGCTGAAAGACCACTGCAGATCCTAGCAGCATTGACTGCTCCTGTAAATGATTCAAGCCGGCTTCTTGCGCAAACACTACCGGTCATACTGTTAGAGGACGATCAGCCACGTTGTTAATGTGCACGGTTCATTCCTAAATCTGGGGGCTCACTGGGCTTATCAGGGATCGTTCTGGGCCGTGTACGAAACGTTGGAATCAGAGAAACTGTATATTCACTGTCGTGCCTTGCTTGTTGCGTCTAGCAGGCCAATGTCAGCGTGCAGCTGGTGGGGTGCCCGCGGCACTGCAGCAATGGGCCTGCCACGCGTTGAATTAATATACGGCCTCGTCGCGGTCTGGCCAGCAAACGCGGTAAAATAGGGCTTCAAATTGTGCAGACCCTCCTACATAATAAACCGTTTCCGAGCTACGGGCGGGAGCCGATGCAAGGTTATGATAACAGCCCTAGGCCGCTTTCACTGATTGGCGTCTTCCCAGCTCAAGGGCCTCCGCTACCGTAGCTAGATCGCAACCTCACTCGAGCCCTCACAAACCTCTCCACGCCCTCCTGTGATAATTGCATCTACGCCGGCTGCTGCTGCGCCTGTGCTGTCTTTGTCTGGTTGCGTGCCTCGTCGCTAGCACTGCCTCATTCGCTCGCCGCATTGTTCGCCCACCGGCTGCTCAGAACCTGGACCAAGTCTAACGGGTGGTGTTTCACGCTCCAAACCACGTAGCACACGCCGCCGCCTTCTGCACGAGGACTCATAGGTATGCCTGCCCGAGTCTGTCATTTTTGCCAAAGCCAACAATTGTGAGACTGATCTGTCTGCCAGACTCTCCCCGCTCATTGGAACCCCTCGTTTGAGCCCATAGCTCCCATCTCCGCACTACCAACGACCCTGAGTCTGCGTAGCTCCATCTCCGCTCCATCTCCGCATCATTTCCACGATTTTTGGCCTCCGATCTGTCTCTCCAAACAAACACCGATATCCTCGAAACAAGTCCTAGTCCACCTTCGCCATGGTCGTTGCGACAATCAAGTATGCGAAGCCTGATATGCCTGTCTTGCGACAGCAATACTCTAGACACTGATGCTTACTGCCTTACAGGTGCGTCGTCGTCGGCGACGGTGCGGTCGGAAAGACATGTCTTCTTATCAGTTATACCACCAACAAGTTCCCCTCGGAATACGTTCCTACTGTATTCGACAACTACGCCGTGACCGTCATGTGAGCTTCCCTTTGCTCTTGGTAGATTTGGAATAGTGGCATACCCCCGGTGGATACAAGGTCGGAATGGTGATTGGTGGAGCAGCTGCTGACTGCTTCGAAGGATCGGTGACGAGCCATACACCCTCGGTCTCTTCGATACTGCCGGACAGGAAGATTATGATCGTCTCCGACCGCTATCATACCCGCAAACCGACGTCTTCCTCGTCTGCTTCTCCGTAACTTCGCCCGCTTCCTTTGAAAACGTCCGCGAGAAATGGTTTCCCGAAGTACATCACCACTGCCCAGGCGTGCCCTGCCTTATTGTCGGCACACAAGTAGATCTTAGGGAGGACGCTGCAGTAAAAGACAAGCTCTCAAAACAGAGGATGGCACCTGTAAAGAAGGAGGATGGTGAGAAGATGGCGCGGGAGCTGGGTGCGGTCAAGTACGTCGAGTGTTCGGCATTGACTCAGTACAAGCTCAAGGATGTATTTGATGAGGTAGGCAGATATACTCGAAATCGACTTGAGTGAATGCTAACATTCTCACAGGCTATCGTAGCAGCACTTGAGCCACCAGCCGCAAAGAAAGAAGGCGGCGAGAGGAAGAAGGGCAAGAAATGTATTGTCCTTTAAGATGCTTAAGCAGCAATTGCGTATGATCGCATGCTGGGAGCATTGCTTTGCAGATATTCTTTGATTAGGCGTGAATCTTTTGGATACCTCTCGAACTCGGGCGCCATTGTGGGTAGCGTTCTCTTTCATCAACTATCAATCAGTTTACTTCCATTCCCCATTTTCCTCCATGCTCGGTCAGTTGCAAACTTACGTTCACAATACAGCAGGCAGTTGTGTGTTGGCCATTGAGAAGAGGCAGTGTAAAGTGCAAAAGCTGGACCCAAGCGTTGCACATCTGATGTCGACATTACATCGCAGCTGGTACAATATCTTACTCTATTCTCTCTATATGCTACTTGCAAGTATTCTTCCCCATGTGGCCTACCCCTCTTTTAGGAGGAGGTGAACATGAAGCGCGTTTGTTGTCGTTATTGTTATTGTTGCCTATAGCTGTTACGACCCATCTTGTTGGACAATGAGACGTCTGTATGCAGACGACCCTCTACTTCGACACCTCCGCAACGCCAAAGCCTCATCTGTCTTCGCCATCCGGACCTGGATTCTCGCGACCTTTGCAAGTTGCAAGTTGCAAATTTTGAGTGCTGACACTTCTGTGTTGGGATGGGCAATTCGAGTATTCACGCTATCTGAGCTACCACCAACCCGGTTGGTCGCCTCTAAGTCCTTTCACCCGCTCAGCTTCTGATAATTGGAGCAGATCACCCCATTTGGACGACACCTTGCAACCATGTCGTACCGATATGTCGATGAGAAGAAGCGTCCGCCGCCGATTGCCATTCCGAACCCGTTGCCACCTCCTCGGCCTCCTCCTGTCGCCGCGCCTACCGACCAGCAGAGCCAGCAAGACACCAGGAACGCGTCCAACTCGACTCGAAAAGGCCAGCGCTCTACCGACACTACCCCGCTAGTGTCACCTGTAGAGTCGCATCCTCCAACTTCGGGTTCAGGCAGGAGCCGCAACGCCATGGCCACGTTTACCAATTTGATCGACCAGGCACGTGTCTCATCTCCTCGTAAGTCAGGATCTTGGGCAGGTAGCAATGTTGGTTCAACGGCACGCTCGAGGCAGTCAGGACGCAGTCAACATGATGCAGCAGCAGCGCAAGCCCGGCTTGAAGCTCTCGACGAAGAGACGGCTAGGGGAAAGATGGAATCTCGAGCAGAGAAGAACCTGTTCAAATTGACAGGTCAAATTCCCCCTACACCGACATTCGCAGACGAGGATGACGTCTACATCAGGACTCAAGACTTGCGACAACAGTGCCGAATTGCTAGTGAAGAACAGCTGCCAGACCGTGACGAGCCACCCAAGAGTCCCAAGAGGAAACTTTTCCAGAACCTCCGTAACACTTTCTCGAAATCTTCCAGTGCCGCACCGATACCAGTAATGCCAAACAAAGCAGCACAGATCTTTGGGACAGTAGCACGACAGGGTCGCACCATTCCAGTTCGGCCTATCAAGCCAGCGCGCCCAAAAGAGACAACGCCTACGAGGGTTTCGCGATCCGGCACAGCAAATTCGCCTCCCGCAAAGATCGTTAATCCTGATAGCTACGCTCATCGCCATCGCAGTGGATCATCGCGTCGTAATTGCTCTAGTGGCCGTGGCTCATCTGGCAAAGGTGGCCCGAGGAAGCAGTCTTCTGATATAGAGGATACGCCTCCAACATTCAGAGTCAACGCATCGTTCGACTCCCTCAGCCCGCCTCCACCACCGGCAAAGGATACTCCTCCAGCAGCTCAGAGGCCCGCCAGCCCGCTTCGTAGGGCTGCGCCAGCGGGCGATCTTCGTGGGAGCTACTCTACATTCACCGATGACATTGGAACTGTGCGGTTCCCTGAATTTGATCTGTCGCCTTTTCCTTCGACCGGTGTTTTGCCTGAAGATGGTAGCTCGTGTCCCACAAAGTTCCGTCCGTATACTGCAGAGGATTACTCCAAGCTTATAGAAGGCGAAGCCATGCAATGGCCCTATCCTGACCGTAACGACTCGCTAAGCAATGCCAAATGCAAACACTCCGCTCTTTTGGCAGGTGCGAACCTCAGCGTGTTGCAGCTTCCTCATCCTGACCGCAGAAGTGAGGAGCATCCGACTGCAGCGCTAGACGACGACAATAACACCGCATACACGTACAGCCCTCTCCGGCCGCGCTTCTACTCTCCATCCCATCTTTCTGCTCGCGGTTTCGCTGAAGGTGAAACTCCATCTAAGAATGTAAGTCTACTGTCGCTCTTTCCCTCTTACCTTCACCAACAGTGGGGCACTCACCTCGCTCTTCGTTGTCTTTCACTCGAGCGTTTGCCCGTTTTTACCCCCACTGCCCCGCTTTTGCTACTATAGTCCTAAATCCAGGCGGCGACATGGTATTCTGTATCTTCGTTTGACGCTGAAACTACCCCAGTTGCTAACAACTTGATCAGTCTGATACCACCCGTCTTCTCTACTCACTACCCGGAAGATCGCTATCGCTCCTCCATATTCACGAAGAATCAAGCGACGGCTCAGTCAAGATGATCTTTCAGGGAGATCGCCAAGACATTGATGCAAACTCCCCGACGGCGCATGAGCTGACCGAAAACGAGCAGCGCAACCTGGCAGGTGATCGGCGCTCCGACGTTGGCATCACGTCTCGTGTCATGCAAGAGCTACATATTGGAGAGGAGAATGGAAACTCAGCTCAGAAGAACGGCAACTTCGCCCCAATCCAACCTGATCAGTCCTCCTCAAGGCTTACGGACATGCTCAATACTGTCAGCCCAGGTCGAAGCGAATCTCATGGCGAGTTCAATCCTTACTGCCCTAGCGCCGTTCCTAGCCCGCTACACAAGGTTTCTAATCCTCAGGTCTTAGCGCGTTCGATCATGCCTTCCAACAGATCATATGGTGCTTTTCCTCCATTGTTTCCGCCCAAAACCATCGATGACCACTTCTTCATGACCAATGAGCACCTCGACGTCGTGGGCAAAACCACTTGGGATCTTCTCGAGACGTTTAATAAGCAGCAGAAGAATACTTCGAAGGCGAGGCAGGAAGAGATGTTAGCATTGATCAACACCCGCTTTGAGCAACTCTCATCTCATCTGGACACTTTCAAAGAGACCGCCAAACGCGTGGAGGACTGCCTAGGCCGCACAGATGGTATGACAGACAATCAGCACAACATCTATGCTAGCATCAGCAGCGTGTCCGAGTGCATCAAGGAGACCATCCCGAAGGCTCTTGCCGAGCAAGATCAGAAGATGGCAAGCATAGAGGCAGAGATGAGGGATATGAAGCAGATCATCCAAGCTCTGCAGAAGTCGGCAGAGCAGAAGGCGACCGAGGCCAAGGCCGTTCAGCAGAGTACTACTGGCCAGGTTAACGCTGGAAATATCCCTCAGCCCCCGTTCTCCTTACACAACCCGCGCTCTCAGCATTCGCTTCCGAGCTACTATGGTGGTAATACTGAGGTTATCCGCGATGGCCATCCGGCAATGCCGCAAAGCATGGCATCTCTCCAGGACAGTCAAAATGACCCTCGGCTTGGCTATCAGAACGGTCAGCAGTGGGCTTCGCGTGCTGGCTATGGTGGCCGCAACAGCAAGGAAGAGCGTCCGTCGTACCCCACAAACCCTTACCTTCACAACATCGGAGGGCAGTACAACAACGGCTATGGCGGCAGCTATTCGTCCTACGACTACTCTCCCAACTCTCTCAGCCCTCCCAACCAGCACTTCGTGTTCAATAACCAGGGCGACCAGGGTCTGGCGAAGTGACGTTAGCCAATAGATTACGTTGCATTCCAGACTCACCTTTCGGAAGACAGTACGACGGATAGGAGACATTGTGTTTGGGTGGCTTCACGTGGGAATATCTTGTATTATAGCGACTCAAAAAGTATCTCGTTTTGGCGAATTGGGAGTTTTGTACGATATCACGAGATGCCTTCTTTATCTGGCATTTGCTTTTCAACATTCTGGTGCCTGGGACCAGTTCCCATAACTCTGCCAATATCCGCGGATGGGCCGAAGAGATACGTCACGAATGATACCAACACACGGATGGAAATGTATGCTACTGGGTGACGTTCTCGCGAAGACTATTATATCTGTTCATCCAGCCGTCTAGTCGCACTCGGGCGATGCCCAACGTTGTATCTCGTGCCCACAGATGCAGTACCTGGATTGTCGTTTTTGGTTTTACGGTAGCGAAGGTAGGGAAAATAAGAGCGTGCATCTAGACCCGGCGATAGCGTGTGTTCCCACGCGCCGTCCTCATAGGCCATACGTCTGTACTACCTTGTCATGACTGGTGGCGGTTGCGGATGATGGCCGAACGAGGATGGCCCTTCTCAACAAGGACGCGACGGTGATGCTCAGCTAGCCATGACCGCAAACTATTGCCTTTAAGCGTTATCAGGCCAGACGACGGGTTATGCCCTAGCTTTACGCTTGCTCGTTCTAGTCGCAAGGCTGGTTGTGGCTTGTCTCCAGGTATGCAAGCGATGGACCGACGCCTCGACGGGATGCGCTAATGATACCGGAAAGGCGCACGTCCATGTTTAGCATTACCCGCAGACAGCAGACCGACGACTACTGGATAGCCACACGACCGTGTCCCGCCGTTGCAGTGATACAACACCATGGAGGACCCAGAGTCATCCTCCACGGGTCTCGCGTCCTCCAACCCTCGAGCCGAAAGGGCAACTGCGTATAACGACGCGACGGAAAAGACGCATGCCACGCTAAACACTACTGCCCTCCAGCCCCCCACGAACCTAAATGCGACGTCGACCCTGACCAACTCGGACCTTTCGATTGGAAGGGGATTCACCGATCCATCGCTGCCCAGATATCACGTCCGCGCTCCGTCTACTGCGTTGAAGCTTGACACGGACCTCGCCATCGCCTGCAACCCAAACTCTTCACGATCTCTCCACCCCGCCAATCTGGAGGCCAACGGGAGCGACGCGCTGCGGCAATCGGCCACTGCGCCGATTGCGATACAGGACAGCGGCTATCTGAGGACTGCCTGGTCTACTGCTAGTCTTGGTTCGCTGTCGCCCTCCTCAGCCATCTCGTCGCCTGCACTGGCCGCGCTGGGAGACATAACCCCGCTTCCCTCACCACTGGTCATGGGCGACTCACCGGGGCCATGGCAGAGAGCTGACCATCGTCCTCGCTCGCGGGGCATATCGGGCGCCTCTCGCGACGACTCCTTTGCCATGTTCACCAAGGGCACCCTGTCTCCGTCGCCCTCGCTCAAGAAGAAAGGATACTCGGGGCTGAAAGCGGCCGCCATCGAGGCGGCTGCCGCGAACTCCCAGCAGAGGAACGAGGCAGCCCGTGAACGCAACAGAAGTATTAGCGAGTACACTCCAGATGCAATGCGCAACGCTCGTCCCCGACAAGTCTCGGTGGTAGAAACGGACCCCAACATGCAACAGCGTATGAACCGCGAAACATACCTTGCGACGCAGAGGGGCCTTGCCCCCGCGAAGGTGCCAGCCGGCCTTCCTACCCCACCCGCGAGCAACGCAAGCAACCGCAGTGTTACTGATACCGAAGAAGAAGACGTGCCCGACGATGACAAGACTCAATACATAGTGGTGCGGTGTGGACCTCAGAAGACGAAGAAGCTCTGGCGTCCTGTCCGGCAGCTTGGTCAGGGTACCTTTAGCAAAGTCTACCTGGCAACCTGCGAAAAGACCAAAGCCAAGGCACCCCTTGATGAGAACGTTTTGGACCCACGGAAGCTCGTCGCCATCAAAGTCGTCGAGCATGGCCCGGCCGGGGGTGCCGATGAAGAACGCGTAGAACTAAGCCTCAAGCGAGAGGTCGAGATGCTCCGATCAGTATCACATCCGTCTCTCGTACATCTCCAAGCCTTCGATCACGATGACGCGCAAGCTCTTATTGTCCTTACCTACTGTCCCGGTGGTGATCTGTTTGATGTAGCCAGTGATCATCGCGACAAGCTGACTGTCGATATCGTCCATCGTATCTTCGCCGAGATGGTCAGCGCTGTGCGTTATTTGCATACCCAACTTATCGTGCACCGCGACATCAAGCTAGAAAGTACTGCTTCCATTCTCTTTACTTTGCTGCGCCTCAAGTGGTACGTTTCTTCAGTTCTATTCCATACTAATGACATCCAGACGTTCTTCTCAACATCCCTGTGTCTACTGTGCCTCTACTCAAGAACCCACAGAGCCATCCGCATGCCATAGCGACACTTACGGATCTTGGTCTCTCTCGACGCATCCCAGCTCCACCCGAGTCACCTCTTCTGACAACACGATGCGGTAGTGAAGATTATGCAGCTCCAGAGATTCTGCTTGGTCAACCATATGACGGCCGTTCAACTGATGCCTGGGCGCTTGGTGTCCTTCTTTATGCTCTTATGGAGGGACGACTCCCCTTTGATCCGCTTCCAGGCAAGGCCGCATCTCGCAGTAGAGCCGCTCACCGTATCGCCAGATGCGATTGGTCTTGGGTCAAGTTTGGCGACGAAGACGGCGAGTGGGATGCTGAGAAGGGCAAAGAATGGGCTGGCGCTCGCGAGTGCGTTGAGGGTCTACTGAAGAAGGTCTCACGTGGCCGCAAGAGCTTGGAGGACATCGAGAAGCTGGAATGGGTCCAGCAAGGCATTCAAGTTGAGGGCGGCCTAAAGACGAGGCCAGAAGATGAGGTTGCAGAGACCGCTGTGGCCCAAACCCCGCCGAGGTGATCGTTAGTGAAGAGCTGAGATGCACAGTTTGCCGAAGTCGAATGATAGGTTGTCTCCGCTTCGAGACGCAACCAAACGACTTTTCGATATTTCATTCGATCCCTCCAATCTTCCCAAGATCACAAGCACCCAAGTCCTGCATGAGAAGGGTCGATTATTAAATCTTGCCATCTTCGTGGTAAACCTGCATGCGCAGCTCGTTCGGCAATACCTGGGTTCTCTTACATTTTTCTTCTTTTCACGACTTTTCGCTCTCACGTTCGTTGTTCTATTGATATCCCTCCCATATCCCATACCTGTTCGCTTCTTTAACTGGTTATACTTGTTTTCAACGTCGTTCAATCGGCTATCATTTCATATACGTGGCGCCTGCGTCTGTACGTTTTTCCTCAAGCGGGTTCATGCTTCCCTTTCTCTTCTTCGATCATGTGGCATTAGAAAAAAATGGGGTCACCAATCGACTCTCGATAGCTTTAGCACTTTAGCAGGCATGCTTTCTTCTCTTCCTGTTTTGGAAAACTTTGAATCGAGTTGGCTTGGATAGAAAATCAATATAGCGATTCTTTCGCCATTGCTGTGTTTTCGTATTATCAATATTTACCATACGCATTGGCGGTTGAAGCAGAGTCTTCGACTCCCTACCAAAACTGCTGTTCAACATGTCCTCCATGAAGCCCTGTATTTGGCCACCCAAGCTGTTGGGTCCGTTAGCAACTAGAGTTTTGGTGCATAATCGCATTAACGGCATAGCTAAGGAGAGTTCGTTGTCGGGCACAGACGAAGCTATATTGAGAAGGCGTTCAGACACGTCTTTATGATATGTCCGTAGTATGCAGCGGAAGAGGGGGGGTAACGATTTGCAAACTGACGCGAGGGGTAGTAATAAGAAGGCCCTTGTTAAGCTAAACTACAAGTACTAAAAACCAAGGCCAAAAAACAGACTCCTCTCTTTACAGTCTAGTAGGAATCCAATCCTTCGACATGGACTTTCTGAGGATTTAAAAAAGGACTTTAGCTTAAACAGCTGCCTAGAACTAGAAATTGCCAGTGATATTTGTGGCGAGCGGAAGAGCATTCTGAGCTTCTACAAAGAAGCATCTGAAGGAACTGCGTGTTGTAAACAGATGGTGACGATTCAATTCTTTGTTGCTTTGCTTAAGTGAGAGCACAATGGCTGAATTCTTAAGACTCAACTTTAGTTTGCTGATCTACTCCTATCCAACCCTCGTATTCTTGGCGTAACCAACCATCTCGCCAGTGTGCGTCTCAGTTCATCTCTGGCCGCCGGCTTAGTCAAGTAGTCGTCCATACCTGCATCCCAACACCTCTCTCTATCGCCCTTGATTGCGCTAGCGGTCAACGCAATGACAGGCAGCTCCCGTACTTGCTCGTTGAACATAGTCCTGTCGTTGCGGATGCGCCGCGTGGCCTCATATCCGTCGACATTTGGCATCATGCAGTCCATCAGTATGGCATTAGGCTGAGGTTTTGTCGAATCCTTGCAGAGAAAATCGAGTGCCTCTTGGCCGTCACATGCGGCTGAGACGACGAAGCCTAGCTTTTTTAATGCGATGGAGATCACTTTCCGGTTGATGGGATTGTCCTCCACGAGCAGGATGTGGTTGCCAATCCCTGGTGTGTTCGTGATTGCAAAGGAGTCCAACGTCACGGCGTTCGTACCATCGGGAGGACTGGGGTGGCGAGCCTTCTTGGTGTTCGCTTTCTCTTCGGGACTCTGTTGCTTCGCCCGGTCAGGTAAAGCGGTCGATATGAGTAGACCATGAGTTGGCCCATTGTATATCTGAAAAGGGATCTTGCAAGTTGCGGTGGTGCTTTCGGCATGAACAGATTCCAGCCCGATGTGCCCACCCATAAGCTCAACTAATTGTCGGCAAATTGCCAAGCCCAGTCCAGTGCCGCCATAGAGTCTTGCTGTTGAGCCATCGGCTTGGCTGAACGGTTTGAACAGTGTTTCGATCGCTTCTTTCGAAATGCCTACTCCGCTGTCCTTCACAACGAACTCGACGATGACTTGATTGTCCTTCTTTCCAGCCTCGTAAACGCTAAGCGCAATGTGACCCTCCTGTGTGAACTTGAGACTATTTCCAATCAAGTTGGTGAGAATCTGGCGCAACCTCCAGGGATCTCCTAGGAAGAGTGCATCAGGCTTAAGATCGCACCTAAAGTTCAGAGACAGGCCTCGTTCCCTTGCTTGAAGTCGCAATGGGATGAGGGTGTCACTAATGAGCTTGTGCGGCGAGAAGGGTATTTGCTCAATATCCATATGACCAGATTCCATCTTGCTGAAGTCCAATACATTGTTGACGAGAGTGAGGAGGAATTTTGCGCTTTCTTCAATGGAGTTGCTGAATTCCAATTGTTCTTCATTGAGTCCGCAATCAGAAAGGTGCTCATTCAGGCCAATGATTCCGGATATTGGACTACGAATTTCGTGAGACATCTAGACATTCTTTAGCTTAGGTCGCGGATCCGTTTAGAGCGTGACTTACATTTGCGAGAAATCTACTCTTCAAGTTGCTGGCATCCAACGCGGCTTTCTCTTTGGCGACGAGTCTCTTGTTTTCCGTCAGTAGGACAGACCGCGCCTTTTCTTCAGTGATATCAAATGTGGAGCTAGTGCAGCCTGTACAATATCCTCACTTGTTGCGCTCCCATCCACGCATGGAGGGACATGTTCCGCAACAAAACGAGTCCGGAAATAACGATCATCTTCCCAATGCTCCACGATCGGACTGAAGGTGCGTCCCTTGAGAACTCCTTGGATAGTATGAACCAATTCTTGGTCTGGGTTGCGATAGGTGTCTTACGGTGCTTCAACGTACGGTGTATCTTGTTCTCCTCTGGTACTTTCCAAGAGTTTTACGACCCTGTTAGGGTCCCACTTCAAGCGCCCCTCGCATATATACATTTGATTTGTCTTGTCAATTCCCCACAACATAACATCTGTTTGCGCGAAAAGTGTGATAATTGACTGCCGTCGTATGTCAGCCTTGAGTCGAGCAACGATCCATTCGTGAATGTCCATCATGGACGCGTACCAGCGAAGGACCTTTCCATTGGCATCCCGATATGGTTCGGCGCGTATCAAAAACCAGCAAAAGGTTCCGTCTGAGGCTCTCCGGTAACGACCTTGATGCGTCCAATCCGAGCGTTCATTCTGGACAACATCAGCCCAGGCCGATGTCATTTCCGGAACATCATCAGGAAACATTATGGATAACCATCCGCTTCCTAAATTCTCTTCTTCATTCAACCCTGAGAACGAATACCAAGACTTGGATAATTTGACAACCTGCCCATCTGTGTCCATTGTTGCCAAAATGTGAGGAATGATGGCGTAGGCGATGTCCGATGTATCGGTTTTGTCCGAGGAGGTGTCATTGCTATCCAAGTCGAAATCAAAGGGCGTTGGGCATTCGTCGTGGACTTCTCGATCATTGAAATTACTGTGCAAGGACTGGTAATCGTTTTGTCGTTCGAAAGCATTGATTGGGTCTTTCACTGCAGCTGGTAAATTCGGTGTTGTTCGGTGTGGCAAGGACATCCGATTGAAGACGATCAGGAAGACGCCGCCAAGATTGGACGATAACCAGTGAACAGATGCTCAGGCTCTGACCACACTAGTAGCGTCATCGGAGTCGTTGGCGCTAGGTGTGCCCGCTTGTGAGGAATAACGGGGAACGTATATATTGCTTTCGATGATTGCTTGTTGCTCAGCTTCATCGTCCCAAAAGGCATTGGTGTTGTGATAGAGATCTGTCGTAGAAACGTGTGCGCGGATATCTTGTCTATTGGCAGCACCTGATTCGCTGATATCAATGGCAGCAGCTAGGATAGAACTCCAGGTGCACAGATCTGGTGAAGCACCAGGCAATGGAATCAGTGCAACATCGGCGATATTTTTGCCAAGCAATGAGCCTTCTGTGGCAAAAGGCAGGTTTTGACGAAAGGGTAACAGGAGTCGGACGCTGCCTTCGTTTGCAGCGATGACGGTGCCGGAGCGGTTAACCATCAGCGCTGGCGCGATCTGATGCGCAAGAATCGCTTGGGCATCAGGCACATCGCGCACCATCTTGTGAGAGTGAAACAACAAGACGAGCAGACAGAGGCAATCTGGTGATGGTGGTGTTGATAACCGCGAAGGTGGGTGTGAAGTACGACACCTGCTGTGATACGAGCTCCCACAAGGCGTCGTCGTCGGCGTTGCCCTAGCGAATGAGGATGGGAACTTGCGAGAGGGTCTAACGTTACCCCGAACAATCCACCGATTCCCACGCGCAGATTAAACACAACGCGAACCAATTTTGGTGCTTTTAGACATCAGGCAAGGCTCTGTATGCTCTGAAATGTCTTCTGATATTTACCATAAATTTTAGCTAGTGTTGGTGAGGAGTTGTGTGAAGTTGGAGTTGCCATACCGAAATTGGAAGGACAAATCATGCCACCCCTCATGCCTTGCATACCTGTTACGCGCACGGGCACGGTATTCTGTTAACTCCGGCGTCGACGGCACCTAACTATCCTGGGCGCATCCGCTTTCGTTCCAACTCACGCGTCTACACGGCTCTCGGTTGAGTATTGCACTGCAGCTGTCCTGTAAAATCCAATCCGGTAAGCTCCTTAGGCAACACTAATGTCGTCGTTGTGGAAGTGATGGTGCACAGCTAAGCCTCTACGATACTGATCTCAAACAGCGCGTCGGATGCCACGCTGTCAGCGGGAGCAGGATGGAAACGAAGAACCTGAAAAAGAACCAAGCAGTATGGCGTCCGCTATCCGTTGGAGATATCCCCAGCCTCGTTCAGGTGGCCGATAGAGTCCATCCTGATCTTCCAGAAAGCAACGAAGTCTTCGCAGAGCGCGCAAGGTTGTTTCCGCAAGGCTGCTTAGGTTTATTCGACGATGCCGGTGAGCTTCACGGGTACATCATTTCGCATCCTATTCGTTACTGCGAACCTCCGGCTTTGAACCAGCTTCTGGGGAAGATTGAGTCAAATGCCGATCAGTACTACATCCATGATTTGGCTATTCTTCGTGGGATCCGTGGATCTGGTCTCGCTCATGCATGCCTCAACATGATTCTGGAAAGTGTTGCTAAGCGATATGCAACTACTGGTCTTGTTTCCGTCTATGGTACGGCGAAATTTTGGGGACGGTATGGATTTGAGACACCAGAAGCAGTCGACAGGGTATTGGAGAAGAAGATTCTAGACTATGGCGAGGAAGCTGTATATCTCGAACGCAAGAATGAGATGCACATATACGATTGAAAGACCGATGGGACGTGTCCTTCTGGCCTAGAATATGCACGACATCTCTTGATGTTGTCAAGATGGAAATGTACCATATCACAACAACACGCCTTAACTTTGGGCTTACTACTTCCTTCTTGCGACAAATATTTGTATGTCAGAACGAAGCTTATTAACGACCACAACCTCGGGATGCCACGAAACACTTATTGCAATTTGGAGAAGAGGAAGTATTATATCACTGTAATGGTTCCCCTTCCCAGTGACTCAAAAAGTCTAACGACATCGTCTCTTGACTCTTTTGAGTGGAAGAACGGAACGAAACGATTAGCCCCCATATGCATAGGAATGAAAAAGCCTTCGTCTGGGACCTATTTTCCCACCTTGGTAGGATTCTCTTTGTACTTTTCTGGCGGTGGCGTTGCCAGCCCTATACGAGAAATATGGCAATAGTAACTCACCAAGAATTCCTTACCCTCACAGCGGCTGCATCCCTACAAGCCTCAAATTCTAAGCTTCTAAACCGATTCACGATCAAAAACCGGCTTAGCTATGATCAAACTAACTAGAACTTTTGTACAACTACTAGCAGCCATCAATGTCCTAGCCTGCAACAAACCCACGTCATCTTCAACCTCAACTACAGCTCTATCGATGGTCATCACCTTATACGAATCACTGCAATCGATGGATCCATGCACGCATCGACACCGATATGACAGCACAGAAGAATGCTACAGGGATAGAGATATGCTACGTCGCCAGTACTTAGTCCAATACGTCGCCTTGCAAAGAAGATCGGCACCTGTGAGAACACATACATGGGGGATCCTTGCTGAGCAAGACTGTCAACTCTTGGGGCAATACATAGTATGTAAGGAGTCGGAGGGGGAGCCGAAGGATACGAAGGATACGAAGGATGTTAACTATCCTCTCGAAGAGATTAAAGGAGGAGATGGGGCCGTGGGACGAAATGAGGAGACGGTGGGGGATGGGCCGGTCAATACGAGCGGGGTCAAGGTTGTGGTGGCGCCTATGGTTCCGGCTGATGGCCGAGAGGCGTAGAGAAGAAAAATACTTCCTTTGCAGTTGGAGGGAACTGCGCATGGAGGAACATCGCCCTACGTCCCAATAGTGTTGTACATGAAGAAAAATAAACACAAGAACTATTAGATTGCAGTTCGACAGAGAAAAGATCGAGATGTAGCTGATCTAGATCTTGCAGAGTGTCTGCATTGCCTCCTTTGTGCTTTGGGACGTCTCTTTGACCACCTTGATGATGTCCTTGAACCTGTTTGGTGTTAGCCTATTTAATCCACAGTATAAGATTTCAAGATTTCCCTCCACTTACTCGGGTGTCCCTGCATCGCCCACAAATTCATACATGAAGCTCTCGCTCGTGGTGACCACGGCACCTTCATGTCTCAGCCTCGCCAGAGCGATTGGTACCTCCTCCTTGTTGCACGAGCTTACGCCATCAGCAATAACATATACTTTGTGTCCGGATCGGAGGAGGTCGAGCGTGGTCTGGGTGACGCAGATGTGGCTTTCGATACCGACGATGATGCAAGAGAGCGGACCGGAGGCGTTGAGCGAGTCGAGCGCTTGTTTGACTTCTGGTGTTCTACCAAAAGTCAGCGGGTGGAACTGGTACACACATCATCCATACCGTAGCTTACATCATGGAGAACAGTGTCTTGTCAAGATGACAGACTGTCTTGATGCCATCGGGCTGATCCAACTTCAGCTCCGGACATGTCTCGCCCAATCGCGCTCTGTTCTGGGTGGTTGCAAACACGGGAATGTTCAGTAGTTTGCCTGACGGCGTTGGTCAGCAATAAGCGTGAGGGACGGAATGTGTAGCGACGGAGTATGGGAGAGCCAGCCTGAGACCCCTAGGCTGACAATGCGGGGGGTCAGGAGCCTAGGGTCGCGATGTCTCATCGGAATCTGGAAGGCGGTGTTGGCATGGAAGTGGTAACACACTTGCTTTGAGCAGCTTCTGTGCTGTTGAAACAACCTTGGGGAATTCGTATATAGCAGGACGGAACTTCTCTTGGAGATCGCAGATACTAGGATGGTATTAGTAGGGGAGTTGGTAGTCACCGTGGGAGGCATACAAGAGGGCGGGGTTCGCTATGGTCCATCAGCCACTGTCGCACAAGATGTTGCTAAGCCGCCTACCAATGCGTCGTTGAGCCATGGCTGAAGAGAATGTTCGATGAGAAGTTATACGAGAGGCAAACGACACACTTGATGGTGCAACGCGTGGGAGGAGAGATATCATACTTGATGGCGCGTATGCAAGCCGCATGCGGACGTGCCTCGGCTAGAAGGAACGACATGGTCGCTTCCCCAACGGTCCAACGCGCCTGCCGTACAGTTGTCGTCATGTGACGAGGCAGAATGCCGGGCATCTGAAACAAGTCCGCCCGTAGGCAAATGCCTGCATATTGAGCCCCAATTTACCGCGTCAAAACAAATCCATAGCAAACGCGAGAATGTCCGGCCTCTGACATCAGTACTCAGGAGGATATACTTGGGCCCGGAGGCGCGGGTACCTTGTTCATTACGAGATACCGCCGTTGGTGCTGTCCCTGCGTCTGCTCACGCGGTGATGTACCGGCCAGATACAGATCTGGCGAGTCCGGAAATACACATTTATTCTTGGTTGTGGACAGTGTCCGAGTAGGAAGACATAGCGGACGGTCTGACTGCGATGCAACAAAAGCCCCTACAATCTCACGAGCAGCCGTCATCCCCTATGACATGGACTGCACGAGACAGGAGACGTCCATGCTTAGCTGGACATGAGTTCTTCAGCTACCAGGAGATCCTCAGCTAGTCAGTCAGCAAGCCGACTCTCCTGTCTCTGTAGAGCAAGCTGCCATGTAGCGTACTGTGCATGACGGAGTGGCCCGTTGCATGCTACCGTCTCCGCACGGTCAGCATGGTCAGGGCTGATGACGGCTGACGGTGTGGCGTGGGTGGTGCTTTTTCCCTTGTTCTGTGCTCTGGGCGCGGGGAACGTCACCGGCGTGGTGGTGGTGGTGATAGTGACAGCAGAAGGAAGGTGGTGGTGTCTTGTTCATATGCTCCAGGAACAAAGCTGCGAGAAATACGGCAGCACCCCGCAATGATGCAGCGTTGGATAGATTGAATTGCGTGTTATATTGTCCATGGAGAAGGCGCCCCTGTCGCAGTCACACATCCCAAAGCGCATTAGAGGCAGCCCTGTGCGTTGATCCCTCCTTAGGACCTACTAGGCGTGGCCCATATGGCCATGCATGCCGCTGCACTGCACATAACCTCACAGACTGTCGAGTTCCTCTTCTTTCGCCGCCTGCAGAGTCTCGATTCCCGACTGCATCTAGCCATAGTTTAGCGCTGACCGGCGGAACCACAGTCGACGCCCGAGACATTTAGCAGCGACGAGTGCAGACAAGGCTCTCACAGCAGGGGTTCACGCACCAGCATCTCACGACGCCGAATTCCCGAGTACACCTTCACCGTGTGCCTTTACGTATTCCCACCCTCTGCCGCCACCTGCTCTGGAAGCATCTCCTTGCTGTCGATTCCCCCAGGCGCTCTGCACTAGCCCTCGAGCGGCCGCAGCCCCTCCCCGAACACCGCCATTGCCGTAGCCAGCGAGCGCCCACTAAAGTTTATGAGCGACCGCCGCCACAACATCCCACAATATCTTTACCTACAACATTCCCAGCCCATTCATTCGGACCCTCGCCGGACAAAAGTGCCCTCGCCGGCCCTATATTCTCCCGCCTACTCACCCCTACCGCTCCCGCCGCAGCATCCATTGCACCAGCAACTACACTACGCCCACGTGCCGCCGCACCTCCTGCTGCATCCCTTTCTGCAGCTCGCGCGCATCGACGAAGTGCATCAATCCGCCTCGCACACGCCTTTCCCCGCCGTAATTGTGTCTCCCCACTCGCTGAGCCCGCCTCCTCAGCGGGACTCAGGCCGCACCCTCTCCAAGAAGCCTCCCGTGAAGACGGCACAGGCGCACACAAATACCACAGATGGGAATAAGGATACACAGCGTAGCGTGCCCACCAGCGCGCCCACGATGACATCAAACGGTCTGCCAAACATGTCGAGCAAACGGGAAGAGGCGGGCACCCAGACGCGCTCCCAGCGCCCGTCCATCGTCTCACAGCACTCGAATTCCGTTCCCTCGACGCCCCTGCAGGTCGCCCGCAAGTACACTACGCGCTCACGCTCCCCTTCGCCAAACGGCGGACTGGGCAGCCATTCGCCACGCTCTGTGTCGTCCGAAGCAAACGGCACCATGCCCACGCTGAGACCCGCGCGCCCCTTCAAGTGCAGATTCGAGACCAACGTCGGCATGCTGGGCCGGAGACGCATGCCCTACCAATCAGACGAGATACTGGAAAAGGCCAAGGAGGAGCCAAAGAAGAGTTTGGATCCCCACGAAGATGACAAGTTGAGCGGAGATATGCGAGAGCTGTACGACCGGTTAGTGCCGAAGCAGGAGGACGAGAGCATACGAGGGCGCTTTGTAAAGAAGGTGGAGCGCATACTTCAGACCGAGTTTCCCGGTACCAAAATCATGGTCCATGTATTCGGCTCTTCTGGCAACATGTTGTGGACATCTGAGAGCGATGGTAAGTGACATACGGCATCTCAAGGTCACCACTAACAGGAACAGTCGATATTTGCATCCAAACGCCCATGAAAAGGCTTGAAGAGATGCACCCGCTAGCTGAGGCTTTGGATAAACGTATGATGACACAAATATTTAGGTTGATTCAGACTGACCTCTCCTAGATGGCATGGAACGCGTGGTATGCATACCAGCAGCCAAGGTCCGGATAGTAAAAGTCTGGGACCCTGAGCTAAAACTCTCCTGCGACATCAACGTGAACAACGTCGCCGCAATCGAGAACACGCGCATGATCAAGACCTACATACAGCTCGACGATCGTGTTCGACCGCTCTCCATGATTATCAAGCACTGGACAAAGCGGCGTATCCTGAACGATGCTGGTTAGTCTGCTACATACTCTTCTCCTTCACGACTAACATTGCCCAGGTATTGGTGGCACAATCAGCTCGTATACATGGATATGTCTGATCCTCAACTTCCTCCAGACGCGGGATCCACCGGTCCTTCCTACCCTGCATGACCTTCCCGATCGAGCGTTGGACGAGACGACCGGCCAGCCTTCGTTATCGAGTTTCGCCGACGATGTAGACAAATTGAGAGGTTATGGAGAGAAGAACCAAGAAAGTCTGGGCCAGTTACTCTTCCATTTCTTCCGTTTCTACGGACACGAGATAGATTATGAGAAAGAAACAATCTCAGTACGGCAGGGCAAGCGGATACCGCGAGAAGAGAAGGGGTGGCATCCCGGCGGTGGCCAAAAGGAGGGGGTTAATCGCCTTTGTGTAGAGGAGCCTTTCAACACGGAGCGCAATCTTGGTAATTCCGCCGACGATTATGCATGGCGCGGTATACACCTGGAACTCCGCCGTGCTTTCGACCTCCTTGCAGATGGTCAACAGCTCGACAAGGCATGCGAGCAATTTGAGTACCCGCCCGAGGAGAAGTCGAACGCGATTTTCAAGAAGCCGCAGTCGCAGAAAGCCATCATCACCTCAAGTGTACCAAACCGGAATGGACGAGGGGGTCCGAACTCGCGTGGAGGTAGAGGAGGCTTTAACCTAAAGGGTCAGCATGGAGGTAGTAGGCGATCTTCCGGCAGCTCCAACTACGGTCAGGGTCGACCACCCTTCCTACATAGCCCGCCCATCCCCGCGAGCGCTGGCCCGGAGTACTTCAGCTTCCCAAGAGGCATCCACGACCAGCTACACGACCAGCTGTATCAGCAATACCAAATGCTGGAGATGCAGTCCAACTCTCTACGTGCACAGTTGGCCGCTCAACAACACGCTCAGCAAGCACATCAAGTACGGGCTGCGCAGATGCATGCTCACGCGGTTGCCCAGGCACAAGCGCAAGGCAGAACGTCTAACAGTATAAACGGGTCGCCGCAAAAGTCACCCTATATTAACGATCGACAAAGCCCTCGTTTGGCCGAGCGTGGGATACCTCCAAACGCTCTTCCTCAGGGCTTTCTATACCACTACCCTGGCTTCTTTACTTCGCCCCAGTCCGATCCCAATGGCTCACAAGATGGATCGCGAACCAACCCCTCTTCTCCATCTTTGAGTAACAGCATACCTGGTGTACATCGAGGAGTGCATCGCGCATCCAATGCAAGCGAGACAAGCTCTCTTCGTTCGCATTCACAGCCTCCTCGCAGTGCTGGACAGCAGCCTGTCATTGTGGGATACCCACCCGTACCCCAGCTCGTTGACCCTGGTCAATTTGCTGGCTATCCTATCGCACGATCTTCGCAAGATCCTCCGCGACCACAGATGACGTCAGAGATCCCGGTGAAGCCTACGACGTCCCAGCCAGAATCAATTCCATCTTCCGACACCAGCTCCCCAAAGGAGTATGTCGGCTACTACGTTGCAGAACAACCGCAGGTACGTCCGCTGCAAGAGTACGCTGTTGGATCGATTCCATCCTTTAGCGAACTGGCTCAGCGTCGCCGGCGCGTGTCACCAGAGATCACGCAGCCTCTTCTGAACACTGCGTTACGACGAGTGACACGATCACCTTCGCCACTTGGGCATATGCGTAGCTATTCTACTGGCGTGCCTCAACCGAATGATGTACCCACCATTGAGCAGCGGAAGTCACGCATTGACTCAGTCCGTCCACCTATCGACAATGGTCCAGTCATTGTTAATGGCTCATTTCCGAGCCAATCTCGTCCGAGAAGTGATATAGTAGAGACTGTACCACCAGAGATGCCATCTCAAGCTCCACTTGGAGTATACGCCAACGATCAGGCTATTTATCAGATCCAGCAACTCCAGGCGCGTCAGCAACTGGTTCTTCAGGAGATGGAGAGACAGAAGGTCGTGCAAAACATGGGTCCTCCCATTGTGAATGGCTCAGTGAACGGTATCCCGCCAGTAGAGACAAATGGCTTGACGCGAGTGCCAAGCGAAGGCAAGCAACCGTTTCCCACATTTGGTGATGGCTGGGTAAATTACGAGGCCACGAACGGCCATCAAAGCGACCGTAGCGATGACATCTCACCAACCCGCTCTGTTCCCCATCAATGGGGTGCATCAGCGTATACTAACGGACTACCTCCCCTAGAAACGTCAAATGTGCAAAGAGCACATCCTCAAGAGATCAAATCTGCGACGATACCGCTGCTGTCACCCGTGTTTGAGACGCGCACGCCTTCGCCTACTACCAGCAGATCTGCTGATGTCAGCAAGCTTGTCAATGGTAACAACAGTCATAAGTCGCAGGCCAAGCCAAACAACCAACAGCATCGTCGCGCGTCGCTCACGGGTGGATCGAACGGTAACGCAAAGGAGAATCGTAATGGCCAACAGCAGAAGAGCACCATGAACAACGAAAGGACGAACAAGCCGAGCGCAGCAGGTAATAGTCCCAATTCTTGGCAACAGCAGCCTCCTCGTAAGAAGGGGAAGAACAAGAAGTCGAGGGCGCCAGACCAGAAGTCGATGGGTGAGCCATTGCCTGTCAATGCTGCAGATCGCAAGGGTGGCTAGATGATTATCGTTGCCGTCGATTTGAAAGCTACACAGATCGCTATTCGGTCGGTCGCTGCTGTTCGCCCTTGGGAAGCGGAAATACGCCACAAAATTGCATTTGGAGGTCGAGCAGCCAGGGACCTGCTTGTACGCCAGCTTTCAACTGGCAGGCCAGGCCAGGCCAAGCTATACGTTGCCATCACGAAACGAAAACGGCGAGATACCACCGGAAAGAGAAAAAAAAGAAAGAAGACCACCCGTCGGATGTCATACACACCAACATGTCGTTGATTTTGCTGTCATACTCGGCGGCGCGAATCACGCGCTCGCGCAGAGCGCTCTGAGTTTCTTTCATTTGGTCGGCGTTATTGTTTTGCTACGCGTGGCACATGCATGTTATCGCATCACCTTGGAGTTTTTCTAAGTTCTCTTTTTGTTCATAAGGGGTGCGGTTCTTCAGGTCACAAATATCTCGGTACACCACAGCGTTATTTTCTCTGGTCTCTCTTGAGTCGCAGGCTGCGGAACTCTATCATGGGCTGGCTCATTTTGACATTTATTATTGGTTGCGTACATGGACATGGAAAGTATTGAGGCATGTATAGATAAAAGATGAGCGAACGTGCCTGTTGGTCTGTACGAGGTTCGAGCTCTATGGAATGAGGTAGAGAAATGAGAAATTGCCAAAAGTCATTGTCAAGGATATGCGAGTAGTGATGTACGAGAAACATGTTGGATCGTGACGCTGTTTGCTAGAGTATACGTTGACATTATATTCCCATGATGTGAAATGACGGTCAGTAACACCGTTCCGCGTTTGAAGCACTCACCACCTTGACATATAGAGCTTCGGTTTTTGCTCGTCCAACTCTCACAATTTCAACACCACACCAGTGCGAACAAGCGCACTGAAATCGCTCAACACACCTCTTCCATACAGCATAGATATGTTGCAATACATCCACGGAGAACTCCATATCCACTCTATGTTGGTGCCTTGCGTTGCTGTGTTGGTTGTATTCCTCAGCATACTATCATGCTATGACGGTCGACAAGAAAAGAGAGTTGGCAGGAACGAAATGGGGCATAGTTGAGAGACATGGAGGAAGACATATGCGCAACATCAAACACTATAAGTCCAAAACCTGCAAGATCACTCCATCACTCTTGACCATAATGCAACTTCCTCCCCCTTTCCTTCAACAAATCACAACATCTCCCACTCTTTTCATCCAAATACGCCGTTCCCTCCCTCACCGTCCAACCCCCCTTCGCCCCACACTCATAGACCACTCCACTCTTCCCCTTGGCCAACATATCATCGAACGCCCCCATCAACCCATCCATCGGCGTCAACAATCTCTCCTTCTCTAGACTCTCATAGAACTCCTCTGCGCTAATCCCCGTCCTAACAACATTTGGCGCCACAGCATTAACAGTGATACCCTCATCCTTGAGTAACGCGCCATACGACCGCGTCAACCCAATCAAAGCGTGTTTCGCTGCTGTGTAGATGGGTAGACTGGGTACGCAGTAGAATCCACATACACTTGCTACAAGACCGATTGTGCCACGCATGGAGTTTTCATTATTCCAGACAACGGGATCTTGACGTCGAAAGTGCTGTACTGCTAACGCGATGGTATAAAGAACGCCAGTGAGATCTACATCGATAACCGAAAGATCGGGTTTCGTAAACGAGTCAGCGGATTGCTCGTTGCTTTCACAAGGGAAGGGAAGCCATTTCTTCTCGCCGATGCCTGCAATGGGGAAAATGCAGGTTATTCTTCCGCCGAGTGCTTTTAGTGCGGTTTGGGAGGCTGAGAGCTGGGATTCCCAGCTTGAGGTGTCGCACGTGCAGTAGTGGAGGACGGTTTTGGTGGGTGTGTTGTGCTGGGAGACAAGGTCTGCGGCTCCGGTCGTGTTGCGGTCGGCTACGAAGACGTGATAGTTTTTTGACAGGAGGTGCTTTGCTAGGGCAAGACCTATGCCACTTGCGCCGCCTATGGGTGTTTAACACCTGTGTGTTAGGTTCGGGGGAAAGCAGCGAGGAGTACCTGTGATGTACGCTGTCTTGGGTCGATCGCTCATCTTGCTGTCTAGCCCTTCTCTGTGACTACTACCTAGCTGTGATGGTATAGGATAGGAGCGTTGATATAGGAGAGGTTGGTATACCGTTCATATATGCGACTTGCAGGTCATCTTAAGCTTCCCCGCAGTAGGGAGGCACATAGAGTATGCGGGGTTATGTCAACGATTGCAACCCCAACCGAAAGTATAGTCCATATGTTTATTTGTCCTTGATACATTCTATATGATCACTGTCCGGGCAGCATTGAGACCTTTTCCATCGTCTATACCTCAGGTGTTTACTAGAAGCTGACCTGGGAGTATTGGTGGTAGTAGCTCGCTCTCATACATCATCGGCCAGATGGCATATACATGTTGGTGTTTGAGGCTCTGAGTAAACGAATATTCTTTGCAGCCGGAATAGACGTATTGATGGATGTTATCAAGCACTGTGGAAGGTCGACGATGATGACGTCATATTGTCGATTCCACTCGAACATGCATGCGAGCGCACCGCGAAGCACGCACACACGGTCACGAGAATTCTTGATAGAACATTGACCTATTAGCAGAAACCTGTAGAAGACTAACGCATGCATGACGATGGTGCAGATAGTGCAGGTTTCAACGGGGAAAAGAAAATGTTGAATTGGGGGCTCCGCGACTTCCGATCATTCGAGCCTGATGCTACCTACACGTGGAAGCTGAAACTCACGACATCGACTCGGAACACATATAAGGCAAGATCTTTGCTACTACAGCCAGTCTCTACTTCACAATCTATGCTAGAGGATTGTTATCTCTCAGGCTTCCCATCGAGTTTTTGACGTCATTGTTACTCCACATCGAAACGACCTAGCTGCGCTCGACGTCCAGACAAATACTGAAACTTGAGTTGCTACATTTGGCATTGCTCCAGATCAAGGGTCACGCCGCCAGATTTCTACACAATCAACTACGCGAGTCACTACCATGCCTGAGATCATTCTTTCGATCAACGCAGGATCCTCCAGCGTCAAGATCTCCGTCTACAAAACCCCTGAGGATGGCGCCTCAGTACCGAAACAACTCGCGGAAGCAACTGTCGAGGGACTAACTGCGCCACCTTCAAAGCTAAAGTACGAGCGTGGAGACGAGAAGATCAAAGGAAAAGAGCTAGAAAATGTCACCTCACAAGAAGACGGGTTTCGCTACATCTTGGATCACCTGACCAACGATGAAGGCCTTCCTGAGCTCAACCGCAAAGAAGACATCCGCTTCACATGCCATCGTGTAGTACACGGCGGGGACTACCCCAAGAGTCAAGTCATTGACAAGGAAACATACCACCACATAGAAGAGCTCTCGGATCTAGCACCTCTCCACAACGCGCCTGCTCTCACCATCGTCCGAGCCGTAGCAGATATCCTCCCCCACGCAAAGAACATCGCCTACTTCGACTCCTCATTCCACAACACACTCCCAGAGTACATATGCACCTACCCCATTGACCAAAACGTCGCACAGAAGAACAAACTGCGCAAATACGGTTTCCACGGCATAAGCTACTCCTTCATTGCAAACGCCGTATCAACCCACTTGAATAAGCCGCTCGACAAAACCAACATCATCGCCCTGCATCTTGGCTCCGGCGCATCAGCATGCTGCATCAAAGGTGGAAAATCACTCGATACAACAATGGGTCTAACGCCCCTCGCCGGTTTACCAGGTGCCACACGCTCCGGCTCCATCGACCCATCCCTCATGTTCCACTACACACACAGCGCAGGTAAACCCTCTCACAGCTCCAGCGAAAAACTGCACATTACGCAAGCCGAGGAGATCTTAAACAAGAAGAGTGGCTGGAAGAGTCTAACCGGAACTACTGATTTCGGGCAAATCAGCTCTTCGGAGAGGAAAGAGGACAAACTCGCGTTCGATATCTTCGTTGACCGTATCCTAAATTATGTGGCTCCGTACTTTACCAAGTTGGATGGAGAGGTTGATGCACTTGTTTTCGCTGGAGGTATTGGTGAGAAAGGCGGGAAGCTGAGGCAGGCTGTTGTAAAGGGAGTCAAGTGTTTGGGTTTCGCGATTGATGAAGAGAAGAATTCGAAGCCGGTCGAGGATGTGGTTACGGATATTAGTGCTGGGGATGCGAGATATAAGACGTTGGTTGTGCAAACGGATGAGCAGTTAGAGATGGCGAGGGGGATCTTGGAGGATAAGGATCGCTTCGTGGGGAAGAGGTAGATAGAGAAGCCCTTGATAGTACAGGTTATGGCCATGGCAGACATTGAATATATCGATTCGATAACAACACAAAGGTATCTTTCACGCATGAGATCATCTTTGTGTGATTACGACCTGCCTTACTCGCACACGAGATAACGCACATACTTAGACGCTGTCTCAGGCATATGTTACTTGATATTGCTCTTGATTCACTACTATATAAGAGCACTGTGTCCCAGTTCTCGCCAAGATTGTCCGATGACCAAGTGTAGAGAGTGGTTGCTGAAGCACTTCATGGTGGAAGGGCAGTAGAGCTCGAACACTACCTGGATATCCGTTAACTATCTTCAATTTTCTCTGACACAAATCCAGATTCTGGAATTGAAGTGGCCTTCTGGCTGACCTCGGCCCTAGTCATACGCGCGGCGCCTGCATAGCCGGCATCTTCTGTCAGAGATCTGAACGCTTATTCGTCGAGCTGCATATCGTGGCGGTGAAGCTAACGCAGCTCAACCCTCCGGTTCCAACCAGCCCCAAACCTCTCACCAGAGGTGACCTCCCAATAAATAGATTCTGAATTCATTCCGGGCCTCATAACCATAATCTGGAACACCTTTTTTGCTTATAACGCTGTACATTTCACTGAATTGGTTGTCCTCTTCTAGTCAAAATACCATTATGGCCAAGATACGCCATCCAAAATTGTCTCAAGCTCAATGAACTGACCACAAGGAAACGATAAAACGACTTTATCTCGATGAAAATAAAAATTTGGGAGGAGACGGTGGTGTGATCCAGCCTATGAAGCCACAAGGATTGTCTGCAAGGTAGGAACAAAGTATGCACTACGCGTGGCAATCCGGAGCAAGAACGAAATCCTAATTAGGTTGCTCGCAAACCATGCCAATTTAAATGACACGGCCTGGAGAGAGAGAAAGATCAGAGTGCAGAGTACCAGGTATCCCAGCGTCACAGGAGAATATATGGATACCTTCCTTCGTTACTTGGAGAGAGCATCGTCACACCCAATGTCAACATTGTACGCCTCCTGCTAGATTCAGGTGGTAACTCCAATAGCACAGTGGCGACGAAGCTCCCATATCCTCGCAGAGGCCGATGGAACGCTGTCTCTGAAGCCATCTACACTGGCGATGTCGCCATGGTACAGCTCTTGCACAACGCTGGCGCCGACTTGCATTTCAACGCAACTCTCGGCCTTACGCATACTTCGCTACAGCTGGCCGTTGACCTTGGACACTTTCATATCGTGCAATATCTACTCAAACAAGGCGTGGATGTCAACGCATCACCCTACATTTGGGGAGCTGGCACAGCTTTTCAGCTTGCTGCTGCAAATGGATCAGTCGGTATTGCGAAGATGTTAGTTCAGCACGGCGCTGACATCAACGCACCATGTAGCAAAACGAGGGTAGAACCGCATTTGAAGGTGCTGCTGAACATGGACGAATTGACATGCTGCTCCTTCTCTTCCATAATAGGGTCGGTATTGTGTCTGATGGTGGGAAGCAGGTTCAGAGGGCTGGTGAACTTGCGGAGAGTAGCGGCCAGATTGCAGCGAAGAGTCTCGTTGAAAAGTTTGCCGAGACAGCAAGGCTGAAAGCTATCTTGGCATTGTAGTGGAATAGTGTCTACGGTCTAAAGACACGTAGGTACAGGCGCGAAAACACGAATTGCTAATAGATTGTAATTGTATTCTTATATTTGTGACGCTAGGCTGGTAGTCTATAGCCTGCAATGAATATCGTGACACACTTCATGAGTGCATGTAGTTGGGTATCGCTCCCGGGGTGATATAATGTCTTTCGTGAAACCCAAACGCCATCCCATGATCCAATCCAATCCGTTCTCAAACGCCCTATAAATGCACTAGTTGAATCCAAATTCTGGAGAAATGTCTCTTGAAGTCTGAGCTAGGCTGCTCTTACGAGATGTCGTGGCAATTGCCATGCCAGACTCTGAAGAGCTTGCCTTTCGCGACTGCGATTGCGAAGTAGTCTAGACTTGCCCAATGGGTACTCCAAAGTTGAGTGGTGGACTCTTGAGCCTGACGCCATCTACAACTTCGGTAGCACAGGAATTGCGAGATTCGGCCGAACCTTTCCGACTCAGTGGCAAGTCTTCCTCAGCATTGTCTGCGGTTGCTGGGGGAGCGGCGGGTTCGGGTGCATCTTTAAGTTTGCTGAATCTGTCCTGGTCCTTGGCAACCTGCTCGAGCACATCATCGAGCACGTCGAGTGCTATGTGATCACTAGCACCATCGACCGGGTTGGTGGGTAGCATGAGCGGACCTATCAAAGGCTGATCTTCTGGTGGTGTACCAAACAGTGTCTGTTCTTCCTGAGCAGGCGGCTCTTCAACTGCGAGCCCCTCGTCTTGTACTGGAGACAGGGCGCGTGGGATCAACGGGGTGTGACCGGCGAAGCGCTTATTGGCTTCGGGTAGCGGGGAGAGCAGGGCATGGGTCGGAGCCGGAGATGGGAAGACTTCATCGTCAAGGTCGGATATCGGTAGAGAGATGCGCGTAGGCATGCCAGGGCGCTTGTGTCGCCTCTCGAGCAGGCTCTGGAACGAGGAGCTGTTCGGATCGAGGGCACCTAGCTGGGCACCGGTTATGACATTGTCAAGGCCCTGCAACTTGTCCGTAATCATCTCGGCAGGCGGAGTAGTGGTATCGGGGGCAGTGAAGAGGATGTCAGGACGAACATCCATCCTGGTGAGGCCAGCCCAGACGGTTTGAGTTTCAGCGTCAGCATATGTCATAATGAAGTTGCATCAACGCTAGAAGGCGGTTAGTCGACTTCTGCGCCTTCTAGAGGCAGCACACACACCTAATGCAGGCTGCGGGAAGAGAAGTGCGCCGTGGCTTCGGACTCGTGGGCAATGTCGCGTGGTGAATGTATGCCGGGGGGATAGGATGCTACAGCGAAGGATACCGGGCGATGTTCAATGCGTGTGTGGGAGTGAAGGAGGTAAAACTGCAGTGGTGGAGAGAGACTGGCAGACGCGGCGCGGGTAAGTTGCTCATATGAAGAACACGAGTCTAGCGGGTGGATACAAGTGCACAACAACGCAGAACGCGGGTACGGTGAAAGGGACGCAGCGATCTGTATCAGCACAAACACGTCACACGTCATAGCTGCGGAGGGTTCCTGGCCGCCCACGACGCCCCCACCATGATTCCCGGCAACACATCCTCCCAGCGCCATCATCTTCGACTGCACAATCTAACAAAACGCCATGTTTTTATTCTCTTAATCTTGCAGCTCTCGCTTCCTGTTTCACGCTTTCTTAGTCCTGCAGAATCCTCCAAGCCACCCGCCGTCGCGCTTGAGGTGTGGATCGGCGTGTCATGATGAAGCCCCTCTTGGCCGCCATGAAGCGGGTGGCCGTGACCGGCGTCATCTCGCGACATCATTATCTCGAGAAACACCGCGTGCTCTCCATTTCCGTCGACCTGGTAACCACTTTGAACATCGCAGCCCTTGGCGGCGTGGAATACGCTTACACGTGAGAGCTCATTGGCAGCGTGGGCCTGGTTCCGATCGAGACCTAGAGCCTGTCATTCTCTCCCGCCTTGGTTGTGAAGAGGGGTAACGCGCTCACAGCTTAAAGTACACATTCGAAATAACTTCCATGGACGCATAAGCTGCATAGACGTTCCTGAATCTTCTAGCCTTCTCCATTTCCCCAACATACCCCATTCCGACGTCTTCCGCTCCAGTTTGCAGATCGCGCCCTCTCAATCAGGAAGACTAGCAATCGCTACGCATCTAACAAAGGTCCCCACTGCGCCAGATCATGGAAGCGTTTCCGTATATCTCTCCACAACTCAAATATTCGGGCCTGACGAAGCAAGAAAGAGAAGGACTGGCAACAAAGGAAAAGCCCGCCACCATGCACCAGGCTAATTCACCGGGTACCAATTCAGCGCAAACAGATCCCATCAAGACCGCTAGGAAACATGAATCCATGAACAACCGCAGTTATGCGATTCCATTTCCTGGTAGCATGAACTCATCTGAAGATGACGCGCCACCTTTTCCCGACGCCGAGGTATCTTCACTGGCGCTCGATAATAAGCCTGGCGCGCAAATACACTACACATACTACCCTGCATCGAAGCCCCACGGGGGTCATCCGAACCCGTTCTCGCAAACGCTGATCGTCTTCCTAAACGGGCTCATGATGCCAAGAAGTTCATGGGATCCGGCAATGCGCAGTTTCTTAGAGAAAAGGATAGTGGGGCGTCTACCATATCCTGGTCTATTAAGTTACGATAGATACGGCCAAGGAGACTCAGATCCCGATCCCGATGACCAACAACCACCACCATCGCACGGACATGATGCAATATCTGCAGTGAAAGCACTCAAGCAGTTCACACTTCAAATATGGAGGGACCACCTTGATGTCAACAAACCCACACACTACCCCTGTCTCATCTTTGTCTGCAACAGCATCGGATGCGCACTCGCGAGACTCTTCGCGCAATGCTACCCTGGGACTGTGTCTGGACTATTGTTTCTAGACAGCATCATGGCCAACTCGGACTACCAAGACTTGTGGCCAGACCCCGATGCGCCAGACTTCAACCCGCACACACTACCCGAGGGCGTGACTGAAGACGAGGTACGCTCTACAAGAGAAAAGTACAGAAGAATGTTCCATCCCGATGTACCCAGCCAAGAGGGCTTATCAAGAAGAAACCTCCCGCAACTGTTACCTTACGCAAATGCGCCGAAACTCGAAGGCTACCTGGGCAAAGGCCCATATCTCACCGTCGTTGGTCATGACTGGGAGACCTTTGCCGAGCAATCGTGTACGTACATGTCTCTTTCCAAGTCAACTCTTGGACTACAGAGACTAACCCGGAAAATAGACAAGGGGATTTTGAAAACGCCCAAGGTTCTTACCATGACTTATGCCAACCCTGCCTGGCGCCGCTACAACGAAGGTCTCTGTCAGATCACAGATGAAGGCAAGGCTATCGGTCCTATAACAGCTGTCCGCTGTGGCCACTTTATCCAGCAAGACGACCCTCGATTCGTGAGTGATGAGATGGTGAGTCTGTTGGACAGGGTGGTGAACCGCGTTCAGCAAGTTAGTCAGAGGGACTGATGTGTATGATTATGGCTCAACGCAATGGAATGTGGGCTGGGTGAAGGTTTTGATGTTTGAAAGTTAAATGGCATGATATACAAAAAATGTCCAGTATTTGACAACCCAGAGCTGAGTAATGATAAAAAAAAAGGCCGCCCATATGTACAAGGTTTCCTGAACGAAAGAAAGCTATAAGCATTCTCGTATACGGTATCCAATGTATGGTCCGAACGTATTTGATCGTTCGTCTTCTCGCCACGATTTGCTGGGTCTATGCAGGCCTGCAAATCGAGTCGTTGGCGTCGTCGTCGTCCAATCGTCGTTGTAGCGTAATGAGTCTGAAAGCCACCACCCATGCTCAGAGTCTCTGCTCCACTGATTATTCCTATCCAAGACAGCCCGCTTGGAGCCGTTCGGAGTTCATGATCTCGTATCCGACTCCAATTTCAATTCCCTAACCCATATCCAATCTCAAAAATCATCCATATCCCCCATGAAATTATCATCACCCGTATCCACCGCCTTGTTTCTCGAACTCCCACTAGGCTTGAAATCATTCTCGAAATCGTCGACTTCTTCAGCATCATCTTCGTCTTTCTCCTCCAACAACTGCCTCTTCTCCTCGTCATCCAATCCCGCTCTATTCGCAGCCTGCATCCTCACGCTCAACGGCCGATTCTGCATATAGCTCTCCATATAGCTGGCGCCCAGACTACTTGGGTACCCGTAGCTACCCGCTTGGTCCACATCATCCACACCGCTACCATGTAAACCGCCGACGTAGGTATCGAAATCCGTGTCGTCGTCTGCGAGATCGTCGATTTCGAGTTCAGCGCTTGTGGCGGCCGCGATCGAGTAGATGGGGTCTGGACCCGCGGTCTCGGGAATGGTGTATGCGGTTTGTTGAGGGAGAGAAGGTGACGGGTCGAGGAATGTGCGGGTTGCACTTTGGGCTGAGCCGAAGGGTATGTTGGGCGAGCGTGGGGAGGGGAGTGGTGGGGAGTTTTCGGCGGCTATGGATACGGTACTTGGTGTTTCGGAGAGGGGCTTTGCAGCCGAGTTGATGGCGTTGGTCATGGGGAGGGGTAGGCTGTGGTGTACAGCATCACGGTGTTCGAGGTAGACTGGTGGCTCTGGCGTGGTGAGTCGCGGATCTATCATGTCGTCAAGCGAAGCAGTTGAGTTGGAGGCGGACGTTGCTTCGCTGCTGGGTGATGTGAGGGGTGGTTCCTCGACAGTGTCGGCGGGCAGGACGGTTTGGCCATCTATGACCAGACTGACTCTCTTCCGTTGCGATCTAGGCTTGTCCTTGTGTCGCAGGGCAGACTTCTTCATGGTGGTGCGCTTGGCCTTCTTAGCTATCTCAGCTGCCTGATTCTCTCTGCCTAGCTGCTCCCCTAGCGCTGAGCACTCCATGTCCTTGTTGTCCTTCCTAGACTTCCGGCCGTCTTTGCTCTGCTCAGCATCTCTTGACGCTCCAGCCTGCGCTAAGTTCGCCGTGGTATTTGCGCTATGTGCGACTTCGGTCTTGGACTTTTTCTTCTTCTTTTCTGGCGAACTGTCGCGTGCATCGAGCAAGGGAAGGAAGACGGGCGTAACTAGGCCATAGAGCTCCTTCTCCCTCTTGTGCACTCTGGTGTGCTTCTTCTGCTTGATCTTCTCTTCAGGCTCGGGCTCAGGCTCGGGCTCCCTTGGGTCGAGCGGTGACGCAGTGCTTTGAGCATTACTGGTACACGTTTCTTCTGCGGACGCGAATTGCTGGTCGCATGCCATTGAGCGGTACCGGGCTACAAGCTAGGCCCAAATCAGTCTTGCACAAGAATCAAAGGAACCAAGATAGAGTCCTACCTCTTCGCCATGTCTCCGCAGTTCGTCCTGCTTGGCCTTTATGTAGTCCTTGATGTCGTCCTCGAGCTGCTGCCTTCTCAGCTCGACGCTGCGGGCCAAGGCGTCCAATTGCTCTTTTGTGAAGCCTGGGACCTCGGCCAGGCTCGGGTCGGCGTGCAAAAGCATGGACTGCTGAAATGTGTGAGTCTTCTGATCGGCCGGATGATTCCGCTTTGGGCGTGCGCCGGAGCAGGCTTCTGCGGCCTTCAGGTGGTTATATATGGCGGGAAAAGATACTTGGCGGCACCTGAGCAGCGTCAGTTGTCGCACTCATGGCGGGCGGTTATATGCAGCATGCTGCGACTGTCGGATTGCCCGTCGCGTACCTGGTATCGGGGAGTAACGCATTCGGAGGCTGGCGGGCGATTGGCCGGCGTCGAGGTCACAGGACAGCTCTACTGTGGCTTCCGCTCTGCGCTGTACCAGAGCCAATCTCACCGAGCCAACTAAAGCTCGACTTCAGCCTTCTCACGCGGGCAACGGGCGCAGTAACGACTATCGCGTGCTCGAGAGGCGTCAAGGTGGTGATTGCAAAATCTCTGCCTTTGCTGGTCAGAGGGGCACGCTCAAGGTTGTGATCTGACGCTTTCTATCCGGCTGCTGTTCGGACATGCGCCTTGCCTGTTCGGGCAGGGCTCGGTGGGGGCTTCTCAGGCGTTGCAGAGATCAACGGTTCTAGAAGGGTTCGCGTCTCCCCTCCGATACCACCACCACCCGCCCTACTGCGACAACACGCGTACACTCCTGTTTCCGCTGCATCTGCTACAGCACTTTCCTCATGCGTCTTCGTGTGGATACAAACTTGGCCGTCGCCCACCACTGGGTCCCTGCCTGGATGCGCCAGAGCGTCAAGTGAACGGCTGCAGAGGGGTTCCCGCACACAGTTGTCCGGCTAGCTAACATGCATCCATCTCCGCATTACGGGTCCTCGAACTACTCGTCATCGGTCAATGCGCCAAGCAGCTCGCGATCCTGCAGTTGACATGCTGTGAGACACATGGTCGTATACAAGCAGACATAGGCTATTTCAACCTCTGCGTCTTGAAATCGATATGTGTGCACGGTGAGCTTACTTTCTGGTCTACCACAACCCCCATGCCAGTCTCCCGACGCCTATACAGGTCGCTATGAAAGCCACACAGGATGCAGCCCGTCCAAGAAGTCGGCATCCACATTAATAAAGCTTCGCCAAAAGTCAATCTCGAAGCGGCTGGGCTGCTTCTGAACGACCCACGTGACACCTTCACTTAATCTCCGACAGTCGTTTGCATCCTGACCCATAACCAGGAAGAGATCTCTGGCAACCACCACCTGGCCTCTCCAAATATGTTCGTATTCACCCAGCGTTATAGTCATCGACTTGTGTACGCTCCATTCACTCATTGGCATATCCTTGGGAATGTACTTCCATTCCCAGAATCGGCCCCTGTCGTCCAAGAACCTATCTCCCTCCCTGGCCTTCATTGGGTAGAAATGCGGAGCAGACCACATCCGGAGCGCCGAAAATCTTGCTGAAGCGTGTTGAGCTCGAAATTGCTTTGCCGCCTTGACAATGTAGTCGCGGTCAAAGGGCGTAGGATCTATGATCTCTCCGATCGGTTTCGTTGTATGAATGTCGCGTCGTTGATCAATGTAAAGGTCGAGCGAGCGGCCGGGTTCAGCGGCGGCAGTTACAACACCACTGACCCCCGGATGATAGGAAAGTCGAATCACGCCCGCTTTAAACAAAGGAATGATCACGGAACGTATCGCTTTCCGCCATTCCATCGGGTAGATGTCCTCTACGAACTCAAGAGCGCCTCGTTGGTTGTCTTCCAAGAGCTTGTCCCGATCGGCCCAAAACTTCGATGGCATATGCATGTTGCTGAGATGCGTCCTCCGGTCTGGGATTCGCTTGGCTCTTTCTTCTTGGTCAAACAACAGGGACGATTTGAATGGTGTGCCGTACTCAGAAGCGAGAAATTCTTCCGTCTCGTAGAACAAGGCGATGGCGGCGTAGGCTTGGAAAGCATCGTCAACGATGCGACGCTCTTTGCGGAAGAGAGGCGCCATCCCCATAAAGTTGCAAAGCTCGAACGGGCCCGAGTTGATATCGCTCATGACGAACTTGTCCATGGCAACTACCATGGATTGGTGCTCGTTGTACCGGCTGAGACCACCAGGCTCCAAGTCTCCCAGGTGACAACATTCCTTCGCGACTAAAATGCAATCGTCAGTTACTGTTACTACCGGAGACGGTGAACGTACCTCTGTCGTTTGACCGTTGGGAATGACTCTCGATCATTTTCCCAACATCATAACCTCCCTTATTATATACTCGATGACGGCGCAAAGCAGTCCTCAGCGTATACATGAAAGTCGAAGGAGGAGTTTTGAGTTCGGTTGGTATTACCCACGCACGTGCGGGGTCGCGTACTATGGGCAAGAAATAGAGCGGATCTTGTGTATTAGCTACCCATTCAAATTGTGGGACCAAAGGACCAGATCTTTGCTTCTGTCCTTGTTGATCTTTCTCAAACAGGTGCTTGTGAACATCCCTCCCCGAAGCTCGAACCGGAGCACTCTTGGCATTTGAGTCTGTCCCCAATCGTGCATCCTCATGAATCTCTACTTCGTCTCCGTCATACTCATACTCAGAATCAGAATCAGAATCAGAACCCGATGAGTCCTCATCGGTACTGAGATCGTAACCGATCTTCCAGGCTCTGAGCTTTCCCATCTGGAATTTCTCTATGGCAGTCTTGTAGCGGGGAGACCGGTTGGGTATGTCTCTATTCGCGAGCTTTGGGAATAAGATGGCATCTTCTACTTCATCGGCTTCTGTGAACTCGTATCGCAGTTTGTACATGTCGTCTGCTGCTTTCTGCATTTCAGGAACAGAATGGTCGCTAACAATCTCTGCATTTTTGTCGAGCATATCAGCCATAGTCTGCACCTTCTCTCCTGGACGAACACTACGAATCCGCCCGGTATCATTTTCTTCTGTGAGGGTTTGGAAGATGTGACGAGCTCTCGTTAACATGTCTTTGGCTGTCCGAAACCGGAGGGCATGCGCAAATACCTATACTCATTAGCTGACCATACATAGACATCGCTGGGCTTAACGAACCTCTTCGATCTTCTGTTGTAGTTCGTGTGCACCTCCCCCGGGTGCCGCATCCCAGATGTAAACATCGTAGTAATCATCGAAATTGACCTGCCATGACCTCCTAGCTTCAACTTCTTCGATGAAAGCAGGTCCGACTTCACTGGTTATATTGTACTCGCGTTTTCTAGCTCTGCCAATTCCAGTCTTCTCGCGGCTTAGCCAAAGTTCCTTTTCAGGTGGTTGAACAATAACATAACCAGTCACTGGATCGCGGATCAAAGCACGTAGCTCACCTGATTCCATGGTCAGGTACTGAATGAAGCGACGATTGAAAGCATCGTTGCGCTTGATGTAGCCACAGATGATGTTGCGGGATTCCTTAATCTCGTGTGATCGTCCTGTGATCCCACGACCACCAGTCTGGTGATAACTTGTTTTAGCCTCGGCGTTGTCAAGCTGAAAATAAGGTATGAAACCGACAAGCACAAGTTGTTGGCGATGCGCATCCCCAGTGAATTTCGTCCACTTTGGAGCTCGGAAGTAGTGGTACGTGGTGAGTATGTTGAGCTCGAAGAACTCGTCCCAGTTGCGGCATAATGCGACGGCATCAGCGAGGTTGGAGTCTTTCGCGATGATGGAGAAATGGAACCAACCGCTGCGGTTGAGAGCTTGCTCGCTGCGGTAGTTGTACATGTCGCGACCGCAGACCCTGATCTTGATTCGTTTTTGAGTGAATTCATTCTCACCGAAAGCGTCACCAAAGTCTATGAGACCATTTTTCTCCAACTCAGGTGGCTGTTGTTGTGCCTTCTTCTTGGTCGCTCTCTCGTGTTTGGTGCGGTATCGGTTCATGACGACAGAACGTTGACCACTATTGTTATGTATTTGTAACATGATGTCGTCGGTAATGTCGCCCTGAAAAGGGTCTTCGACCAAGTCTTTCGGTACCTCGGGCCCATCGGCGCCGTCCCTCTCGCGTATAAAGTCTACACATGCATCTCGCACATCCTGAAGGCTGGGACGCTCTAACTTCAGACAAAGATCTCGTAAGTGTTCTCTTGTCACATCTTCCTTCTGCAGAAATTGTTCTATACTGTTGGCCTGGATTGCGATGGGTAGGAGCGCGCTAGATGCCAAAAGAAGCCTACAGAAGAGGAGATTCTTGATCTCGCCGATCTCATCCAATAGCTGCTCAATCTCGTCATGGGGAAGTACAGGAGTCGTCCTAGGGTCTACGAAGCGTTCGCTGTCATGAACATAGTAGCCTGCTACGCGTTCGAACCGAACAGGCGTCCGAAGTCTCTCACGCATCTGCTCTTTGGTCTCCATTTCGACGAAGCCCTTGCCCTCAGCGTCTTGTCTGGTTGGATCTTCCAACTTCTTCGTCTCTGAATTAGCCTTTCTTGCTCTCTTCTTCGCGCTTTTGGAGAGCACCTTCTCCGCAGGCTTCGATTCTGCTGGGCCATCAAGCTCAGACGGCTCCGCTTGTACATAATGCTCGTCATGCTCCTGCTCGTTGAGCATGAGGAAGAACTTGATGAGCTCAACATAGTTATCCTTCTCGTAGCCATACACGTCTTGAGTAGGATCCCATTCCTCCTGCTCCTCTATTGACATTTGCGAGAGACTTTTGGCGTACACGTTATTCAGGTATTGTTCTTGGCGCTTCTTGTTCTCTCTCGCTCTCATTTCGCGTTGATGACGATCAATCTCCTTTTGATGTCGTTTGAAAAGTAACGATTCGAGTTTTACTTTCTTCCCCTCGCTTTCTGCCTCTTCGTCTTCTTTCTCCTGGCATTGTTTCACCCAACTAAACCACTGCTTCTGCTCGTACATGACTGCGGCAGCCCGTTTGCCAAGTTTTTCGAGAGCTTTTACCATGTTATATCTCTCGTTCTGTAGTCGGTCCAAGTACTTTTCGTGGCCATAATCATTGTCGATTGCAAAGAAATGACTATGGTGTAATTTGCGTGCTCGGATTACTCGATCAAGCAAATTGTACTTTCGGAACAGATAGTCGTGCACCTCCCGCAGTGTTGCCTCGTTATCAATATCGTTGAAGTCTTGAGTAACGATGGAGGTTTTATTGCTTGCTAAGTACACTGGTAACTCCTGTGTATCGAGGACGGCGTTTCGCCTCTTGTAACCTAGATAAAGAGCTGCATAATGTGAGTATAAGCAGGAGAAGAGTGAACCTCGCTTACCATGACATTGCCGAGAATGAAATGCACAGAGTCTGCCATCCAAGGAAGTCGCTTCTTTGTCACAAGCTGTTTGCGCACTCAAGTCTGATAGCAGCCGTGCATGACATATTGGGACCATGACAACAACGGGAAGGACGCCGATCCATGTCCTTGTGTATGGATTTTCTCACGAACGTCGTTGACGGGTACAAGTGAGAACTCTTTGTTCAATTTGACAGACGCAAGGATATTTGCAGCGTTTCGAATGACGGAACGTTAGCGGTCTGGAGATGAACCAGATGTCAATTCAGAGGAGCAAAGCGGGCATACGCTAAGATCAGGGCGCTAACCACATATGGAAACAAAAGCGGCAGCGCAACGACAGGTCGTCGCGCAGTGATAAGTTCGTTTCAGTACAGACGACAGAGGATGTTAATGTATGTATAGTTGCTATTTGTATAGTTGTACTATTCCTCTCCATAGTTTGCAATGTTTGTCTATCTATCAACGTCTTGTTCACGTTACCAGTCTCTCCACTTGCTCAGCAACTTCCAGGACTCGGCAAAAGCGAGTTTGCAGCGACTTGGCATTATTCTTGCAGGATGTAGTAACGTTTTTCTTACGAACTTAGCGTCGGTTGTAGTCGGTAAGTTGGCACTAAGTTCGCAAGGACAAATAGAATGAACCTCGTAGTTAGTAGACTGATGCTTGATTATGATTGAGAAGCGTTGAAACGTATATTAGGCTCCATCTACACTAACAGAAACAAATTATGTACTTTGTATCTTGTTGCTCAAATCCTCCACCTCTCTGTAGTCTCCGCGAGCCGGCGCGATCTGAGCCGCAGAAGAGGTAAATTGCGTGTACAGTCGATTTGGCGACAAAACATGGCAACTGGTTCCTCTTTCTGTCGAATGCAACTCCCTAGCCGGTGAATCTAGGAATCGTAGTGGCTAACCTGTACGAGGGTGGCTGTGGAGGTTGCACCGAAGGGTATTTGGGCAAACGTCTCCAGGTCAACGCCGATGGCCTTATGCGTACTACCATCTTCCGTCATAAGGCGTCCGTCCATTTCTAAAGTACGGGCATCCGTAAGGGATCGCAGTTTGATGGCCGAACGTGTTATGCTGCATGCCTTTCTGGTATCTTCGCACTAGTGTTGCCTACCAGACTCAGTCGCCACCCTCTTCTTCCTTTGCCTTCTCTTCCGCTTCCGCCTTTTTCTTATCCTCCCACTTCTGCTTCTTCTCCAACAACTTCTGGAGGTTCTTCGCGCCGTTGAACACACCATATGTCTTCGCACTGCACGCCGCACATGTAGGATCTTTTCGATATCTCTTCAAAGCGCAAGCCTCGCAGAAGTAGTGTCCACATTTTGTGATGATGGGATTCTTGTAGGGCTTTTTGCAAATGATGCATGCAAACGGTATCTTCTCTAGCAGCGCAAGATCTACGCCGTCCTCATCCTTTCCCTTCTCATCTCTGTTCGCGGAAGCGACAACTGTTCCTCCAGGCTTCTTGCCCTTGGTTGACATCTCCCACTCGCGGTCCAGCTTCCAGCCTGCCGCATAGTCTTCACGCGCGTGCAAGAATTTGCAGTTGTCGCCGAAACCACAGAACCCTGTCTGCTTGTAGTCCTTGCACACATCCGGCGTGTAGTCCGTGACAGTAATCGTTCGTATGTTTGTCGATGATTTCATAGGCCCTACTTGGCGACTAGGCGCATCGGGGTTCTTCTCGATAAAGGTCTGAGGCTTCGTTCGCGTGCTGCCGAGCAGATTCTTCGAGCTGAGAGCGTCCTCGGCGTTCTCGTCGTACCAGTTTGACTGCTTTGTCGCATCATTGCTTGCTTCTATAACGGCCGAGCGATTCGCTGCATATTGTGTTGTGCCCTCGACGGCCGTGTTCTTCTTCTGGTCTGCGGTGGATGCCTTGAGCGCGTTACCGTTAGTCTTCCGCCGCTTCACCACGCGACCATCTTCGCCTTCTGCGTCTGACCCCGACGAGAAATCTGAATCGGATTGAGGCGGCGGCGGGGCAAATTTTCGGGGCGCAGCTTTGGCTCCTCGCTTTTTAAATTTGACGACGGGTGCTTCCATGATCAAAAAGTGGTGAGTGAGTGTGGTGCGAGGTGTGAAGCATGTATGTAGTGCTGTAGGATTGAGCCGCAGAAAGTTCGAGCCAAGCTGTGGCTGAGAAATCCAGATTCACGTGACATAATCCGGGGTAGCGGCGCCGGATCCCGGAAAAGTCCCGAACTGCCACCACAACAGGCGGATAGCAGATAGGAACAATCTGACAAGCTAAACCCTGCAATCAAACCCTACGTAGAGGTAAAACGCCTGCGGTCGGTACTTGATCTATGTGTGGAGGTGGAGCTTGGGAATCGATGGCAGATCTCTTAGGTATAGTACTATAGTTATTCAGATTCAGGCTTCTGCAGCATTCCTGCACCTGTGGATCACGGACTAGTAAGAATAGAGATGCATGCAGAAAGACGCCCGCAGCCCGCAAACATGTGATAGAATCAGCGATATGTACAGACGGGAGCTTGGTCAGCTTCTACACAGTGTGCATGGTGTGACCCTACCTAATAGTAGACAACCTTGCAACGACTCTTAAGCACGTTCTTCCGACGAGAGCCTCTTCTCATGCGTTTCACTGTGTTTACTAGAACATTGCGTCACCCCTTTCTATACAGCCATGTTGATATGGTGCATCGCGGTCGTGGGGTAATTGCAATGCGCGTCTTGGTTGCGGTGATCCAATCGCGCACACAAACAGCCCCCCTCGGCCTAGCAGCGCTGCAGTAGTGAGGGGGCCCGCTACACTACCACGTCGTCTGCGCAGTCTAGCGATTAGACGTGCAGCAGGTGCCGGCGCGAACCAATGGAGAGGACCGAGGGGCATATGTAGCTTTGTTGATGTTGTGGATATGTTATGGGTATCAGCTCTGGGTCGATGGCGAAAGCGTGAAAGCGTCAAAAGCGCACGGTCGCTTCATTTCGCTCTTCTGCACAACATCATCCGCTCTGCTGTCATCCCTCCTCTGTCGCCTCTGTAGCCCCTCCAGCCCGTTCGGCATTCCCTTCTTTTTCCTTCTTCGCCATCCCGAGGCTCAGCCTGGTGATGCGCCTTTGCTTCTTTTCCCTAGTGTGACGGAAACGCGACCGAGTGCCAGCAGCCGCTGCCGTGTCCCCAGTCGCTTTCCCACGCGTCCTTCTCAACCAAACCCTTATTGCATTACGCCCACCGCCTGACGGAGTGAAACCTTTATTCGCTCCTGTCTCTAATACTCCCCCGACACGCCATCACCACTTACCGCCCCATTCCGCCCACGTTTCCCGCTCCTTAATACTACCTTTCGCCGACTCAACCCATCTCCTACCGCCATTTCGGAGGCACATCTACGTGGAAGTGGGGAAGCACATTCAGGCGATGACACAATAGGAAACGGGCCCAGGGACTACCAATGGCTACAGCAAATCCTCCACCGGGCGCGCTCTCGGTGGAACTCCACAATGGCTCCGACCCCTTCCTCGCGGCACCGCAGGACGCCCACCGCCAACGATACTCCGCCTTCGACAACTCGCAGTTCTCCCTCTATCTGAATGGATCGCCCATGCAGGCCAAGCGCGCCCTCCAGGCACACTTGGCAGAGACAACGCGCAGACTGCAGGAGACGTCGCATTTGGGTAGTGCGCTTGTTCAGCAGAGGAAGGAGCTAGAGGACAAACTGCACGAGGTCGAGCAGCAGCAGCAGGACAATGATATCGGCCCAGAGTTGCGTCAGAGGCTGGCTGAGCTGGAGAAGGAGTTCAATGAGGTCGGAAGGGAAACGGCTCGCGCCTTTCTCCCCAAGTCTCGCGTACCTAGTGGCGAGACTGATCCCACTGGCAGCTCCGTCTACTCTAGCGAAGCAATCCAGTCACCGACCAAAGTGAGCGTCCCTTCGCGAAAACAGAGGAACCAACAACCCAGCCGCATTAATGACATTGCGCTGGCCACAGAAATCTCCACATCTTTGCTTTCTCAGTTGAAGGACCTTCAGGCCGTACTTCTTGAGAAGGATGAAGCCCTCAAGGCCGCCGATCTGGACCGATCGCAACTCGAAATTGAGGTTGAAGGCTTGTCGCAACGCTTACGGACATTAGACGAAAGCGAGTCGCGACTCAAAGACGTCAACTGGAACCTTGAGACACAGGTTCGCGAGTCGGAAACGCAATTCAAGTCGGCGGCAGATAAGGAGCGCAGCCTCAACCATGCTTTGGACCTAGCACGCACTGAGAGGTCAACCCTGGAGAAGGAGTTGGAAGATCTGAAGCAGATGTACACTAAGCTCAACGACGACCACATCAACAAGACCAAACAGCACGAAACTGAGCTTTCTAGTCTGCGGCGAGTTGCAGCCATGACGGAGACGGAGAAAGGTGCAATGCAGCGCAAGGTGGAAGAGCTCACGTCCAAGAACCACGAGTTAGCTCAAGCCATCGCTTATCGCGCAAGATCAGAACATCGTGGTCGATCTGAAGGATCGTCTGATGACGACCGTGGTGTGAGACTTCAATCTCGAACCCCAGAACATTCGCCTGAGCCATCTCCCAGCAAGGCTACGCCACGCCACGGTATGCTCGAGTCGGAAACGCTGAAACACTCGCTTCAACACGCCCACCGCATGATCCAGCAACTCAAGAACAACATTCATCGCGAAAAGACTGAAAAGATTGAGCTGAAACGCATGCTTCAAGATGCCCGTGATGAGGTGGACGCTACCCGCGCTCTGGTTGGACCTGGTAGTGCAAGTAGGCGAAGGAAGAGCGATAAGGAATTCAAAAAGCCGGCTCCCCGACCCGATCGTCTCGGAGCCTTGCGTAACGTTTCACAAGAGATTGTAGAAGACGACGAGTGGGAAGAACAGGACATGGTACCTGATACTCCAAGTAGGCCACCACAACACTCCAACTCCATACCAGGATCCTTCCCAAGTGGCTTCAGCTCTGCCGCAGAGACAAGCGCATACGAAGGCGCTGATACGGCTAACGAAACCTCGGATGCTGCTTTTGAGACTGCCAACGAACGTGATGGCATGGCAACTGAATCTGACGCATTCCAAACCGGAGCTGAGACCCTTGACGGAGACAGCAGTGACCAGCTGACTGAGACTGAAGCCGGACCTGGCAAGTCTAGTGCACGGCGTAGTCGACCATCCATCTCACAAGGTGGTCGCATCAATTCTTACCGGAGTACAGCTTCCGCTTCTGGTGATGAGTATGATTCAGACTTCAGAACTCCTCTTCACCACCAGACTTCTCGCTTCAGGTTGAAGGCAAGAGACAGCAGTTCGCGGAGATCGACCCCGAGAGGTCTAGATTTCTTCGCAGGCACGCCACCAGCATCCAGAGACTCTCCCGCAGGTTATGTTAGCAGCAGTAATGAGAATACTCCAGCCCAAGGCAAGAGTCTGCTAGCAGAGCTGAACGATCTGAGTGGAGATGACGACGATGCCAGTTCTGTTGAGGGCTCACCAAGTCGATCCAGTGTCGTATACTCAGGCCATGCTACGCCAGATCCACTGAGGAAGGCCGTTCTCGGAAGGTCTCTCCTTCAATCCGATGCCCCCAAGCCGGCTATGGTGGATTCTGGCACGATGACAGAAGCGGACGTTCCTGCGCCCATTTCCATCTCCTCCATCTCGAGCCAGAACACTCAACCGCAAGCCGTTCCATTGCCTACGTTACAAGTCTCTGCTCTGCATTCGCAAGACACGAGCCCGCGAGCTCTACCCCGGCCAGACCTCAAAGTCTCCTTGGTCTCTTCGCAAGACACCGAACCCAAGCATGTGCTACCACAAGCTCTTGGCCTCTCTTCGGTCTCTGGCCATGCTACCAGCCCTCAAACCCCCAGGATACCCCAGCTGGTTGTGTCGTCTTTCTCAAGCCAGGGAACTGAGCCACGAATTCCTTCAGCCCCGTTGTCTACAATCTCCTCGCTGCATGCACAAAACACAGTGCCACGTGCTGTACCCATCACTCCTTTGGACATGTCGCCAGTATCTGCTCATACCACCGAGCCTCGACATGTTGCCCCTCCTTCTCTTGAGGTGTCAACCGTGTCGTCCCAGGGCACTGACCCCATTGTACCAGTAGTAGAGAAGATCATTGCTCCATCTTTGGACGTCTCGTCTATCTCCCACCAGACCACTGAACCCCGGGAGGCTCCCGCCCCGAAGCTACTGGCTCCAGCAGGCCTCTTCACGTCCGCTATCTACGCGCAATCGACAGAGCCCGCACAGCAGGTGGAAGCTGCCCCGGTATCAGATTCGAGGTCAATCCCTAATGATGTTGTTTCAGCATCTCCTGTACAAGACTCTCACCACGTGGATCAGCTTGTACCACTCCAAATGTCAAGTTTGTCTGCTCACGCGACGGAGCCCAGAGACATACCCTACAAGCCGACGTTACTGCAGATGTCTTCTTTGTCATCTCATGCGACTGAGCCAAAGGATCTACCTCGTGCGGTCCTCTCAGCATTCTCTTCGACATCGACTCAATCAACAGAACCGCTGGCGCCAAGAGCCAGCAAGCAGCAGTTTTCTGAGCTCTCTGCGCAGGCTACAGAGCCTGTTGCACTGCGCCAGCCACAATTGCAGCTGTCAAATTTCTCTGCTCGCTCTACAGACCCAGTGGAAGTGCCCAAGACAGGCCCGTCGCAGCTATCTTCCCTGTCTACCCAGGCATCTCATCCCCTAGAGCCTATGAGAGCAGCACCATCCTCCTTTTCCGTACTGTCCTCACGGACAACTGAGCCAATCGTACCAGAAGAGCCAACTCCCGCCAATTTCTCCGGGGTTTCGTCACAGGTCACTGAGCCTGTACAGCCCAGGCAAGTGCCACTGCAACTATCAGTCGTTAGCGCACTGCAGACCGAGCCGGCCACGGTACCTGTTCCTTCGGCGTCCGTACATGACATTTCTGATGTGCAAACTGTGCATGACACTCAGCCTGAGTCACCCACGCTTCCGGCATTCCTACCAACTCCGACAAGCCGGCCATCCACAGCAAACCGTGTTTCTTCTCCGACCATGACATTGTCTCCTGTAGCTACACAGGGTACTGAACCATTGACTCCTTCAAGACCTGTCACTGCTCATCGGGCCGTGGGGCCTTCTGTAACCAACAGTGCTTCTTTCCAGACAGAAGCAATGGAGAACAAGCAAGTATCTACGCCCAAGCTTGGTTACTCCGAACCTGTACTATCCTCGAACAAGGATGTCACTACAGAAACCACCACCCCACCGGTTAATAGCAGGGATGTTCGCATGCCCCTTACACCTGTAGATGCCAATGCCGCCAGGGAGACGCCCCGAGCACCAATGACTGACGGAGGCACTCAGACAATGGTGTCTGCTCAGCAAATTGACAAGCTGCTGCTTGCCCGAAGTCAGCGATGGAGCAGTTTGATCACCACGTCCGAGCTGGAAAAATCGCTGTCTCCGCCCGAGTCGCCTAGCAAAAAGTATGCAAACGAGTCAAGCCGAACACCCAAGCGCCCGGGTAGCTCTGGAAGCATGCGTTCTCGCGCTGCAACGCCACCACCACTGCCTCAGGATCATAAGGAAGTCATCGCCGCGGCCTCTCTCAAACCAATCTCCCCAGGCACAATGGGTCCGCCTACAATGCCAGCATCTGCCTACAAGCGACGACCACATACGCCTACCATCAAGACAAGCAACAACACCCTCACTCCCAGAACAGGCGGTACTACTCCGCGTGTGCGCCGACAATCGCAGCGTAGCGGAGCCTCTTCACCTTTGAGCCGGAGGTCGTCACTATCGTCGTTCACCTCGGAGATAGACCAACGCTTTAACATTCCAGGTGGCCCGTCCTTTGCTGCAAATGGATTGCCGCCCGGTGCGACAGATCCGCGCATGATCCAGGCTATTACCCAAACAATGATTGGCGAATACTTGTGGAAGTACACTCGCAAGACTGGACGCGAAGGCATGTCTGAGAACCGCCATCGACGTTTCTTCTGGATTCATCCTTACACAAGAACACTGTACTGGAGTGACCGAGACCCTCAGAGTGCTGACAAAACGACATTGAAGGCTAAAAGCGTAGCCATCGAATCTGTACAGGAAGTTGACGACCCCAACCCTCTACCGCCTGGACTTCACCAGAAGAGCTTGCTCGTCATCACACCTGGTCGGTCGATGAAGTTTACTGCTCCAACAGGCCAGAGGCACGAGACATGGTACAACGCATTGAACTATCTGTGCCAAAGGGTCGACGAAGGCGAACAGCAGAAGTCACCTACCAAGTCTGATCAGGAGCAGAAGGCAGCGACCGAGGACGAGATTCAAGACGAATTCAATGGCGGGTATCGCAGCTCTTCTCGACAGACAGGGCGTTCAAGAGGTTCGATGGCCTCGTACGCCACCCGGCGGACATCGTCTCGCGATTATGGTCAAGTGCCCACTATCCGACAGTCGCACGTCACACCCCATCGCGCAACATCAACCGAGCCACTTATGCATGGATCAGTGTCAAGCCGAATCAACAGTATGCTCCGACCCAGTGTCTCTGCTTTACGAGGATCCTTCACTAGTCGCCGAAACAGCCGGACCAGCGCTACAGAGTCTGCCACATATGAAGAGCCCAGTGCCTCCAATATGGACCTCAGTCGTGATATCCATGAACACGTGGAGCGCGACCAGGACTTCATGCCTAATGTCCGAGCATGCTGCGATGGTAAGACCCCGTCGTTCCAGTAATGTACAAGAGCTAACACATCTAAAGGTAAACACGATGTTGGACACCTTCACCAACATTCAGTCAAAGGTCGACACATGAATTCTCAAGCCTCCAGGCCTTCGCTCTTTGGTTCCATAAGTTCGCGCGCGCAATCCCGAACCGAGTCCCGTACAGAATCACGTACCGAGTCACGTACTGAATCGCGAACCGAGATGCGCAACGAGCAGGTGCGCCACCAGACTGAGATGGAAGCAGCAAACTATGGAGCTGGTGCATAATCTCCACTTCATACCTACACCCTTTCCTATATAATCATCAGTGTTCGTCTTGAACGACACTTCACTAGTCACTTGATCTGACTGACAGTCTCTTTTCTTTTAGCATTAGTCATTTCGTATGGGGACCGTTCCCATTTTCCTATGTATCTATCAATCCATCTCTCGGCTTTTGGACAACACCTTTCAGTTTGGATCCGGATGAAGCAGAAACTCAAATTCAATTTCGAGCTCAAGGAGCTTCATGTATGGCGTTCCACGGTGAAGCATTTTCTGTACAATTTGCGCAGTACTCTCGACTGGGGTTGGAACTGTACACTGAGACGACCTGACGCATCCTACACGGACTAGTTCCCGGCTTCTCTCCATTCTACTAGAAGTGTTTTTCAACCGTTTGTAACTCATTCGCTCTTCCTTCTTTGGCCTGAAACATGCTCTGTTGTTTTAGTCGCATCGTTAGCATGGTGGCGTCACATAATGTTTTTACTTTGGCTTAGAAGTTAGTGTTGACGGCCTGTAGTCAGATTGATAGAGGACGAATCAAGAAAGATCTAAATTGGAAATAGCGTTCCCTCCTTTGCGCAGATAATTTCTTCGTGCAAAGAAAGCCTGCATACATGAAGCAGCTGAGCATGAAGAAAGAAGCAATTCGAAATGAGGTATTGCTATTGATAGCTATCGCAATTGTCTGCCGTTTAGTGGACATGTGAACTATCCTATAACAGGACCTGCCAAGGCGAAGTATTGTAATATAGCGGCGACGTGTCTGTCGAATAGCATGATTCTTCCAAGTGGGTATGCTCGCATGAAGTTCATGCACACGGAAAGGCGTTCCTTGCTGCCCCAATTACGCCAAGCTAATCTGGTGCCGTGCGTCACTAGCACTAGCGGTCGAAACACCAAACTTTCGCTCCAGCCAACGCGCCTGTCATTTCGAGCCTTTCTTCGACAACAACAACAACAACCACACGACCACCAATCGCGCATCTCGTTTCCGTCGAACCTTCACTTCTGCAACTGCGGGCAGCTTCCTGTATACCTTTAATAGACTTTCGCAACCGACGCATAATAAGAATCACCACCGCAAGGCGAGAGCGCGACGAAGCACGCCATATAGCTCCCGACACGAAATCACCGCCATCTCAAGGCAAAATCCTCGCTACTGCACACCTACAACAACCTAAACGTAGTACCGAGTCAGAACCGCAACCATGGCGCGCAATTCTGAAAAGGCGCACTCGATGCTGTTTCGCTTCCGCGCTGCGCAGGCCGCCGAAGCTGGAATCATCGACATATCGCGCACCCGCCGCCCCAAGCTCATAACCTCGGTCAACTCAATTCCCGTCTGCGAGAAATGGCGCGGCCAAGTGCTCAAGGAGATTTCGCGCAAAGTCACAAAGATCCAGGACGAGGCGCTCTCAGACTACCAGATCCGCGACCTCAACGATGAGATAAACAAACTCATGAGAGAGAAGCACATGTGGGAGAGTCAGATAAGAGGCCTGGGCGGGCCAAATTATATGAGAGGCGGACGGGTGCTGGATGAGGAAGGTCGGGAGGTGCCAGGAGGTGGAAAGGGGTATAGATACTTTGGACGAGCGAAAGATTTGCCAGGTGTCAAGGAGTTGTTCGAGAGGCAGAGCAGGCCGGAAGATGATATGGATAAGGGGCGTGAAAAAAGGAGCGAGCTGAGGCAGAAGGTGGACGCGGGCTACTACGGCTACAATCTAGACGAAGAGGATGGCACGCTGCTGGCATACGAAAAGACCAAAGAGAGAGAGGCTTGGGACAACTTCATGTTACTCGGCGACGATCTGGATGAGAAGCCAAGCAAGACGCACAAAGAGTGGATGGAGCTACCGGGAGATGCGGGTGACGGCATACGATGGCGCGTCCCAACACTCGAGGAGGTGAACAACGAGCTAGTTGAGCGCAGGAGAAGAAAGCTTCTTGAGAAGCTTGGTTGAGTGCGCAACAGCGCCTAACAGGTCTTTCTTTGCGGAGTTTGGCGGTAAACTGTACAACAACAGACTGCGACTTTTCCGGTGCAACTTTTATTCAGCTGGAAGAACAGGATCAAAAATTGATACCCTCGCCGAGCGACCGGCTACAAAAAGCTTATATGTACATCAGAAGCCATAGGACAAGCAAGAGCAAGTCCAAGTCAGCAAGACAATGTAAGCGGTTCGTAACAGTTCTGTGCCTCATGCATTGATTCGATCAGACCTACTACTTGGTCTCGTAAGCTTTGATTTGAACGTCGTATGATAATGAAGGTGATTGGGTATCTCATTCGTTCGTCTAGAGTCCTCTATTCAGCATACAGTCCCGTTACGCCCCTCTTCCTTTTGCGCATCGGAAGCGGCCATGTTGAAGCAGATATGTAGGCAATCCCACACTGACTTTGCTCTCTGATTTTCTTCGTCAGAAGGAGTATGCTCTTTTTCATAAAGCAGGATAAACGTCGCACAAGCCACAAGCCCCCGAACGCTCAAGTCGTGAACAAAGTGTCTTCCTCTCTCAGGTACTCGCCGATATCCGCTTGTCTGAATGTGACAATACCTGTAGGGTCCAACTTCCTCGCCTCAGCCGTCGATCGTGCACTCACACCAAAACCCTACAATCGCGTTAGTTCAATTCTCGATTCTTCGCAGCTTCTCTTTCGAGGTACCAGCAGACTTACCAGTGGCGTATCGTTCATACTCAGCACAACAACACCTTGATGCTCAGGGCAGTCCTCGCTCCACCGTCCCACATGCGCCTTGAGCACATTACCGCCGTACAAAAACGGCATCTCGCCGTTCTGCTTGACCCACACCTTGTATCGTGCGTGCGGTGCGATGACGCTCAGCGCGGTAATGTGGAGGCGGAATTTGCCCGTCTTGGTGAATTTACCCAGGCAGATTCCGAGGGAGAGGAGGTTGTCGCGCGCGACAGATGTGGCGAGGTTGGCGAGGGATTCGCGAACGTAGTAGACACGTGAGCCCTGGGAATCGATTGTTAGCATGTGCATAGGATTCGGGAGAGGCTTGAGGAGTTGGAGTAGTTTGTACCTGGACGCGGAAGACATTGCGATCGTTACCGCCCGTAGGGTCGGCGATAAGGTTTGATATGCCTTTTCCGCAGTACGTCGCGAGCTTCTCGAAGAGAGTCTTGGTCTCTGGTTCTGTGAGGGGCCTCATTGTGTATGTATGTAAGGAAGTTTAGGGTTGGGGTTGGAGCTGGGCGCAAGTTCGCAAAGTCGAGATCTGCTGCCAAAAAAATGTGGAGCGGATGCGGCTAGTCTCCGCCGCGGCCTCCGCCAAAATTTCAGAAATTCTGGCAACACATCTGCCAACAATACCGATTGTCGCCCATATCGACCCCAAGAGTGATTGCAATATGTCAAGAAGCGTACCGGCTGCGAAGCGAAGAAGACTTTCTCCACCCGAGGATGGCGAGCGTACGAATGGTGCGACGGACGATCACAAGGCGAAGTTTCTGAAGAATGCTGCGAAATGGGATCTCGAACAAGACTACGAAACACGACCGCGCAAATTGAAGAAGCAGAAGGAGAATAAGAAGCTGCCTGTCAGGACAACCGAGGGATGGGTAGCAGCGCCGCCCAATGCGCAGGACATCAAAGAGGAGGAGTCGGACAGCTTCCTCGGGTCTGGCAGCGAAGATGAAGCAGTCGAGGGCTCGGACGTAGAAGAGGTGGAGGAACAGAAGCCGAAGATACCTGCGCGACAACAGATACTCGAGGCGAAAGAAGAACTTGCGCGCATAGCGAGTCTGATCAATGAGGATCCCGAGGAGCACATTGGAGCGCTGAAGACACTACAAGCACTGGCGGAATCGGAGAACTTCAGCGTTCGTAAATTGGCATTGGCAACACAGGTCTCCATCTTCAAGGACGTCATCCCTGGGTACAGGATACGGCCGCTGTCGGAAGAAAAAATGCAAGAGAAGATCTCAAAGGAGGTCAAGAAGCTACGGCAATTCGAGCAGAAGCTGGTATCGAGCTACGAGGCACACGTCAAGTACCTAGCGAGACTGGCAAAGTCGAGTGGATCGGACAAGCAGCACATGGCGAGTCTGGCATCAGTTGCTGTTAGCTGCGCATGCAACCTCTTGAATTCCGTGCCGCATTTCAACTTCCGCGGCGAGCTTCTAAAGATTCTTGTTGGCAAGCTTAGCACGAGGAGGGTAGATGCCGACTTTGTACGATGCAGGGAGGCCATGGAAACACTCTTCGAAAACGACGAAGATGGCAACGCCGCGCTGGAAGCTGTTACGATGTTGACGAAGATGATGAAGAGTCGGAACTACCACTTCGACGAAAGTGTGTTGAACACTTTCTTGCACCTGCGACTGCTGTCCGAGTTTGCGCAAAAGGCTTCATATCACTCCGTCGACAAGGCGGAAGACCCAATGGTCAACGGCAAGAAGATTAAGCAGAAGCGCGAATTCAGGACAAAGAGGTTACGAAAGGAGCTAAAAGAGAAGAAGGCGATTGAGAAGGAGTTCAAGGAGGCTGATGCGGCTGTCAGTCACGAGGAGCGCGACAGGATGCAGGCCGAGACGCTCAAGATGGTGTTTGTGGCATATTTCCGAATCCTGAAGGCTCGCTCGCCGAAACTGATGGGTGCTGTGTTGGAAGGTTTGGCACGATACGCACATCTGATCAACCAGGATTTCTTTGGAGACATCCTGGAAGCTCTCCGCGACATCATCGCAACCGCTGAACTCACGGCAGCTGCCGCAGTCGAGGAGGATGAAGACGCATCAGATGAAGAGGACGACAACGAAGCGCCCGAGCGCAACCTCACTCGCGAGTCACTCCTCTGCGTCATCACCGCATTTGCACTTCTCGAAGGCCAAGACGGAGCAAAAACAGCATCAGCCCTAAAATTGGACCTAAGCTATTTCATCACCCATCTCTACCGCACACTACACCCAGTTGCCCTGAACCCAGACATCGAACTCAGCTCCAAATCCCTCCACCTACCCGACCCCGACGCCGCAACATCTCACGCTGAAACCGCAAAAATCAATGTGCAAACCACCATCGTCCTGCTCATCCGCTCTCTCTCCTCCGTCCTCCTACCCGCTACCTCAATGCGCGCCGTCCCACCTCTCCGTGTCGCAGCGTTCGCGAAACAACTCATGTCCATCTCCATGCATCTTCCCGAGAAATCTTGTACCGCTATGCTCGGTCTATTGAACCGCGTTACCAAGACGCATGGCAAGAAAGTAGCACCTCTGTGGAATACAGAGGAGAGGCGAGGCGACGGAGTGTTCGATGCGCTGAGGCCTGAGATTGAGGGTAGCAATCCTTTCGCAGGGACTGTTTGGGAGGGAGAGATACTGAGGAGGCATTTTGCGCCTAGTGTGAGGGAGGCGGTTAGTGGTGTGGAGAGGAATGTTTTGGAAGCTAGTAAATAGATGGGTTATATGTGGTGGAAGTATGAATAGCGAATCTGATCGTTCGCCCATGACTTGCTTTTAGCTTTTTGCCTTGTGTTTGATTGTGACTTGGACATATACACAACGTTGACAATCGCTACGTCGAAGTTTCTATTTTACTCCTGATTTCAGAAAAATTCGCGTCAGCGATTAAGATGTCACAGCCTGCGCCTCGCTCGCAGCATGAGGCTCATTCTGTCGATCGTGGCGTAAAGAGGCGGTCTCCTAGCTTGGATCACCCTGTATCCATTGGATGTCTGATTATATCCGACCAACAATCTACCCAACGCACGCATTATGCCAGCAACACCATGCCGTCGATACTGGTGCATCACACCCCAGCAATACAACGTTGCTGCTGTCGGGTTTACCGAAGCTATACGTCAGACTTCACAAAGCGAACCATCGCAACATGCTTTTCCAAGCATTGCGCGACCCGTTGTACGGCGCTTACGATTATAGATCTGCTCCTTGTCCCAGTCCATGATTGGCACTGACATTCATCATCTCTACCAGCCCGTACTAGGTCTCAAGCTAGGCTGTGCCCGTGGTGGGGGCCGATTAAAGGCTGAATGAGATCTGCTCAAGTAGCCATTCCGACTGTACTTAATATTCTACCGTGCCCCTAATCACCTAGGATATTGTTTGTGCACGCCCACCTTTACCCACAAGTCTTGCGATTACCCCGTTACGGTTACATATTTACACTACTCCCGCAATGGCTCAAGAACCAGACATCGATCCGAATCGGTGGTATTCAATGTACATAGATAGCCACACACAAGCGATGGTGGGAACAGTCCTCTACAACGGAGACGGATCAAGGGGCGCGGTATTCATCAAGACCAGGAACGATACAGAGACCGAGCAGCGATGGCAACTACTCAAACTCAACTCAACCGCCTGGACGCTGCGTTCACAGGGGTCTGGTCCAAACAGCTATTTGTCCGCGAAATATTCCGACGACGAGCAGCAAGCTGGCAAATCCTTCGCGTATATGGCTCGGGGCGACATTGCTGACGCGAGTGCGTACTGGACTATAACTTCGTGGGGCGACGATACGTGGTATCTGACCAGTCTGGCAAACAAAACCGATTATCATCTCACCCTGACACCAAACGCGGGCCATATTGTGATGAGTTCGAATATCACAGCGCCACAGAAAGGGCAGAAATGGAAGTTCTTAGGCATTACGGCCATCGACGATGAGCGGTATTCAAGCGTCAATGTAAGGAATATATGAATCAATGGTAAAGATTGTATAAACTAACACACTACTAGTTGGTTGGCGCTGTGATTGGTACTTCAACTGCTATCTTAGGTTCAACAAGATCTTCTACACCCTCAGCCACGGCCAGCGCAACATCTTCAGCGGACGTGAACGCGAACACCTCTTCAGGAATTTCTACTGCCGCCAAAGCAGGTATTGGAGCGGGAGTCGGCGGTGCTGCGCTCATAGCACTCATCGTACTCGGCCTCTTCCTTTGGCGAAAGCGTAAGAGAGGACAGTATACAAACCCACCACAAGAGTTACCCCATGAGGGCATGGCCCATGTTCAGTCTACGCCACTGGACAAGTATGAGTTGAATCACGACGCCGCGGCTACGTACGAGATGCCATGCAGTAACGCTGTTTCAGAGGCACCGATGAATGAGCGTCCTGCCGAGCTACCTGGTCATGCGGTGCAGAGATGAAAACACCTAGAGGAAGAGCAGAGAACTAGATCTAAAGGAAAGGGTGTAAGCCACTTCAAGTATGACAGGAAAGAGATGTTCGTCAGTCACCATCGGAGCTTAGACGCCGAATCACATCCTGGGAACTCCTCATCGAAGGTGTGGCACGTACTACCGACATCCGTCGCCGACAACCACGTGGGAAGCTTCATAGTCTTCGGGTGATCTATAACTCTTGGGAGATGCTTGATTGACGAAGAAAGCGCGGCATCAGCAGGTGCTTTGGGTCTTGGCTCTAAAGGACCTCCCTAGAAGGCAGTTCAGATGTGCACACACCCTGCAATCTGGAAGTAGTCGGGACAGTTGTTTGCGAGAATGCATCGAGGGGAAGGCGAAAGTGGTGTCTCTCAAAGAGGAGTTTCTATGCGACGCATAAATCTTACTCACGTTGAGGCAACCAAACAAAGCACCTCCGATTCCGATGACCGAGATTGAGGAGATGCTCAAAGTCAAACTCCGTCCAATACGGGCCTCGTGTTCACTGCACTTTATAGTGTTTCGTCCAGTCGGTTGAAAAGCTCCGACAAGAGGGACTTTTTACCGGCTAAATGACCACGCCTTCATCTCCATGAACCACCAGCATCTCGCTTCTTTCTTGCATATATTTGCAGATCCATGGGTTATGCTGTGCGAGGTGGCACAGAGACGAGACTACGATGTCGTTTTATGGGCATCTTCGCTGGGCTTTTGAGTACATTTAGGATCGTGAAAACATTGCTTGGAACACTGGGAAGCAGAAATAGCCGCACAGTAGCTGTATGTAGACTCGCGAAAACTGTCCACAGTTATTATGAGGTAGGCAGACAACTTTGGGCCCTGCAACCGTTCCTCCAATGCGCAGGATCTTCAAGGCTACCACCAAACAGTATAGTCGCTCATATTAGCCTCAATCTTGGCCCGTACTGAATGTCTCGTCTAGACGGTGTAGACGAAGGATGCCGTCTTGGCGACAGAGCGGCACCACTGGCGGAGCGACTACCATGTCAAATTTAAAACTATTCACGGAACTGAGCCATTCTACTCTCTCCGACTACTCAGTTCAGCCTTGATAGAAATGCATTCCTTTCTTGACGTATATTCTGACCCCGGCCCTTCTGGTTTGATGGATGAGTAGTCAAACTCAAAGGGCCTTCGTGCAAGATGCCCTGCTCACAGTTCACATATTGATCCTTGGGTTATACATAGCGACCCAATATCTCCTACCCAAAATCTACCCACATTACAGGTCTTCACATATTGACTTCCGCATCTGACGTGCATCTGCCGACCCCTATCACGCACTTGTTCATCTCCCAGCATGCAAGAACTCCACACATGGAAGCTCTCAACAACTCAATCAAAGCCCTATCTAATGGTAATCCTTTCGCTTCTGTGCTGCATGCTACCATGCAACTCACGGCTGGAAGGATCCGAGCACCATGCTGCCTGTACGTTGGCGCTTATGGCCAGGGATTTTGTGTATAAGTTGAGCTTCGTCTCCAGTGTACAGAAGACAAGTCAGTGATCGCTATCCTCCCGTCTAGGATGGCGGGCTTCAACCTCAGGGCGCTATATGCGCTTTTCGCCTCACTTTCACTTCTCTACGTACTATGTGCCGCCGACGCAGTAAATGATCTCCAGACCAAAGGCCGCGCAGCCATCGACGCAGCCATCGCCAAATCAACAACATGTACCAAGGACAAACTCCGCGTACGCCGAGAATGGTATGTATCACAACCATCCCAACTCTTCTATATACACAACAACAACGACAACCTAACATAGATACACTAGGGGCGACATCACCGCCTCGGAAAAACGCGCCTACATCGCCGCCGTCCAATGCATAACCAAAGCGCCGTCTAAACTCTCACCCACTCAATACCCCGGCGCCAAAACGCGCTTCGACGACTTCGTAGCCATCCACATGAAGAACACGCTGTCCATCCACGGCACCGGAAACTTTTTGTCCTGGCACAGATACTACACGTTTGCGTATGAGAACGCGTTGAGAGTTGAATGCGGATACAATGGTACACAGCCGTACTGGGACTGGGGACGTTGGGCAGCTAGTCCAGAGACGAGTCCGATTTTCGACGGGAGTGAGACGAGTATGAGCGGCCAAGGGGAGAAGGTTCAACACAGTAGTAATGGGTTGAAGCCGGCTGGGAATGGCGGTGGATGTATTGCTAGTGGGCCGTTCAAGGGCATGATGGTTAATCTTGGGTATGTTTTCTCGCTTTTGCTTACAGAGCATACCTCCTAGTACTAATCTTTGTGCAGTCCAATGGCAGCCATCGATAGTCCGCAGGCTCCGCGGAACCCAAGATCGGATGGCTATGGATATAATCCTCGTTGCATCAAGCGCGACATCAGCAATTACCTTACCCAGTTATACGCAACAACAGATAAGATTGTTGCTTTGATCAACAACAGCAAGACAATAGGCACGTTCCAGGATACCATGCAAGCCTCAAATGGCCCACATGGCGCAGGACACTTTACTGTGGCTGGCGACCCGGGGAGTGACTTCTACACATCACCTGGCGGTATGTATTATCCCATTCTTTGTTCTGTCTCCTCGTTGCTAATGGATGCCGGGCTACAGACCCATACTTCTACCTTCACCACTCCATGGTAGACCGTGCATGGTCTATTTGGCAGAGCCAGGACTTTGCAAACAGGCAACAGGTCATCGCGGGTGGTACGTCGATGATGGGTGGTGGGAGGGCGCAGAGTTTGGAGGACAGTGTAGACTTGGAAGTGCTGAATGTGGATGGTAAGGTGTATAAGATCAAGGACTTGGTTAGTACGGTTGCGGGGCCGTTTTGCTATGTTTACGAGTAGAGCAATGTGGCGACAGCTACCATAAGACGAGCATTATCGTCTTTGAGATATATGGCGTACAACATACCAACTTACGCGTGAAAACTTGGCATAAGTCAGCCTGTGCACAAAAGAAGTGTGAACATGTCGAAAGTAATATGCAATATATATGTACATATTAAAGGTCCTCAGATTAGCTCTCCTGCTGTCCTCAGAAGGAACCTCGTCCATTCCCCATCAGTCAGTCTCTCGACTTCTTAACAGGCAACGATCGGGCTCCTCAACTCGACTTTGGCTTTAATGCCCCCACAGGGACATCATCACTGGACCTCTTTCCGCCCGTCTGTAAAACAGGACTTTGCAAAGAAAACCACCCACCTGATACAAGCACCAACACCCAGACCCGCAGGCACCCAACGACAAAGACCACGCATCCCCACGACCAGCGATGCCACAAAGAGGGCAAAGGCGCTCGGATTGAAAACTACATAGTTAGACGTCACAAGCGAACTTCGTCCTCCAAGCTTATTAGGCGAGGTAGCACGGCGCTTCAACCCTTTTACTTCTTCCTCAGTGCGCGGTGGGAAAGGTTGGGGCTGCAGTCTGGTGAAGGCGAACCCAGTAGCTTTGCGAAACCACCCGTGGCTATCGTTGTGCAATGATAGTGTGGGCGATGTGGCTGCATCTAGTATGATGGCGCACTCCCTCCGCTTTCCGTTCTTGTTTGTCATGCAGTGAGACGCCGGGGATGATTAGTCCCCGGCATCGCCTTGTGACGAAGGTTTGTCGTTCACTGGGATCTGGTGGGTATTAGCAATTGCGCGATTGTGTTACTTGTTGCGCGCTGATAGCCTGAGTAATCCAGGCTAGCTAATAGGGATCAGGGTGTACTTACTCGCTGCTCGGGTTGTGGGTAACGAGAGAAAGCTGCCGACGCGCAGCCTAGAAACTTGAGCGCGCAATCACGGGCTACGCTAGTAGCAAGCTAATAACGTAAGCTGGGCCGGCACATTCCTGTCATCGACACTAAAGCTCAAACCTACTTGATTGGGAAATTGCATCTTGGCGTTTCCATAGCCCCACAAATGCGGTCTGTACTTCCGGATCGTATATATATCGTCGTCCGTCGGAGCTGAAGCTTGTGCCTCTACCGCATTGTGATCGTGCGAAATATGCTTGTAACGACATACACATTCGTATGTTGAGCTATGCACGTAGATCCACGCCAAAGAAATCATGCATGGAGATGATAGCGCTTCCAACAATGGAGCAATCTCTTGCGTGATGTTTTCTTAGAAACAGAGCATTCGACATCAAGGCCGCTTCCAATATTCCATGTAGCCAGGCCCCTAAATCGGATGCCAGAATAATGCTCAATGCTACTCCGCGTAATCGGCAGACTATTGCAAATTTCCATGCAGAGACCTGTTAACGTTTGCGGAGACATAACTTTCATCTCGATCAGGTCATGCTGAAGTGTTTTCGGTTTGATATATGTTAGGTGAAGAGTAGTGAAAGCGCTAGGTCAAATAGAAAACAATGCGCGTGGCCTCCCAGGCCATCTTTTGTCCAGCTTAACTCCATCATTCAACTCTGTACAATGCCGCCCAGTCATTCTCGTCACCAACTTCGACGCACCCATCCATCTGGAACGTCGGTGGACCCCGCCAAATAAGTTTCTTCTTGGTTCTGAACCTTAAGTACGAGCTATTCCCCTAGAAACGGTCTCTTTGCTTCGTCCTGTAGATGGTGAAGCCCACATAGGCACCTGTCAGGGTCAGGCCGAACAGCACAAACTTGACAAGGAACCAAGTCCAGCTTCCGCCGCTGCTGCTCTTCTCCCGTGTCATAGACGAGGCAGTCTTGCCACCTGAGCTTCCTGACGACGAAGAGGAGCCTGGGTTCTTTTTGTAGAGGTTTTGCGACTTGACGGAGACGATGTCGTGGTTGTCGGAGAGTTCACCGGTTTCGGCAGAGAAACCTAGGTAGGCGACGGGGGGAACCTTGAAGTTGGGGATCTCAAAGCATTGAGTCCATTCGCCTTCTGACTTGTATTGGAGTTCGAGACGGAGGAATTGTTCTTGGAAGTACGTGAGGCGGGCTTTGGTCGCGATCTGGGCATTGCGAATTCCACGGGCCTGGTTGGTGTTAGTATCTAGACAGTCAAATGATCTAACCAGTACATACCGAGCATCCAGCGACCTCGTTGGCCTTGCCATCATTATCCTTGTCGTACGGCGTGTTTCCATCACCGTTCATAGCCATGATATAGGGGAACACGGTACCGGGGCGGTTGTTCTTGTATGTATCGAAGAAGAGGCCGAGACCCTCGAACTTGTCCGTGTGACCGAAGACGTTTCCTGGCTGCGCGCGCTGCTTGGTGAGCCACATGGCGAAGCCGTCGCCATAGAGGTTGCCTTGGCCGTGGATCTTGAACTCGAATGTAATCTACTCGCGTGAGCCTTTGAATGTTGGACATGATGGGGGTATAACGAACCTCCCAGTTTGTGGCCGTAAGAGGCACCCTCGAGAACAGCCAGCCATCGCGCGAGGGCTTGTCCGAAGCAAGTCGAATGTACTTATCAGTTCGAATAATGGTGTCTCCGCCAAAATCCCACCAACGGCTTTGCATGTCCGAGTCGAGGTATGGCTGTATGTGGTGTTAGAGCATGCTGAGGTGTAATCCATTTAGAGGCTTGTTCGTGTAGGGCATGCGACTTACAGGCTCGAGGCTATGTGTCCGTAGCTATGCTTTTGTTAGCAACAACCCCCCAATGGTCCTCAGATGGCAGCAACCCACCGAGATGGCCTTGATATCAGGGTCCTCGCTCAAACCCCCCTGCCGCGCCCAAGCACCCGTCCAACTCGCCGCGAGCAAGCATAGGCTCGTCCATGGCCTTGCAAACAACATAGTCGCACTTGGTCCTCGGCGGTCTAGGAGCAGCTATCCCCAAGCTACCAACTGAGTACTGGCGCGCAAGAAAGAAAGAATGGCAAAGAAGACTAAGCTTCAGTGATTGGGGGAAGAATAAAAGCCTCGGTGGGGTGAGGCTCGTCGGAGAGGAGAATGACACGGGTCGGGCGACTTGAACGTGCTGGAGTTCTGCGAGTGAATCTTGGGGATCGGAAAGGCCACTCTATCACCTCCGCGTGTAATGCAGGGGTCTTGGGTTGCAGCGACTACGCTAGCGAGAGAGCCGCTCTTGACGTCGACAACTTTTCAAGACGAAGCCACTCACGACCGCCCAATTCGCAATACCACACCCCACGCCACACTCATATCAACGCACACATACAACCGACAAGATGGACTCATTAGGCGGCATGTCTTCTTACCCAAGCGACCCAAAGACGGCGGTTATGCGCCAAGTACAGCAGGAAGCTGCTATGCAGAATGCGCGCATGCTTGTCGAGGTACGTTTTTACTATACCCTACGATTGAAGAGCATCCGAACTTGTACTAAGGCGTCACAGAAACTCAACGAGCACTGCTTTGAGCGCTGCATCCCCAAGCCCGGTGCCTCTCTCTCCAAAGGCGAAGAAAGCTGCATGAGCGCATGCATGGAAAAGTACATGAGCGCATGGAACACAGTCAGCAAGCAATACGTCGGCAGGATACAGCGGGAACAGGGTGGTGCGCTGCAGAACGTGTAAATGGCTGGCTGACGTCAGAAGCCTTCACAAGATATCCACGATATAAAGAGTCATGTACGAGTATGGGATCACAACATCAGAATCCCGAGTAACGGCGTATGATCAAAATGTACTATACACTGTACCACCAACAAAAAGAGCTTGTATCAAGACGAAATTGGTTCAATTGCCAAACCATGACATCCCATGTGTGATGAATCGAAGCTCGCCGTCTATGCTAACTAGTAAAGGTCGTGGTTTCACCCAACGCTTATTTCTTAGCAAACGTCTTTTGCCTCTGCGCATACTCTTTCACAATAACACTGCAGTTGACCTCTTGACACAGCCTCTTCCTCCTCTCTGGTGTCAGTTTAGTCGCAAACTCGAGTCCACTCGCCCTCTCGACCGCCTCAACCGGCACTTCAAAGTCAGTCAATGGCTTGTGGTTGGGAATCCGATCATTTGGCAGCACGAAAGCGCCCAGGGCAACTTTGCCTCCAAGCTTGCCGTCTTCGGCGAATATGACCTTGTAGAAGTGTGTGGGTACAGCGACGTTGGGTGGGTTCCCAATGACTTCGTATGATACGCGCCATTTGCCGTCGGCTTCGCGCTTGGGGAGGTATAGAGGGCCGGTTACAATGCGGACCGAGGGGTACGAGTGTGTGAGCCTGCGGCAGAAGTCTTCGAAATGCGCCCAGTAGTCGCGGTTGAAGCCATCGCCCACCTGCGGGCACATGTTGCTCAACGCAAAAGTATCATCCATGGCTTCTTGGCTCCATTTAGCATCGGCAGCAGGGACCTGATGCCCTCTGTCATAGCCTGAGCGGAAGTAGTCCTTCAACTTTGCGCGGAACATCTCTGGGATTGTAATGTCTTCGACGAAGACGCTGTGTTTCCGGTCGGCGTTGCTGTTTGCTAGCGACTCGGGCGTAATGTGCTCGGCAACCCATGCTGGGTTCCGTGTTCGTCGGTCATAAGACGATGTGAGGGAGGCGGCAGGGCGGAGATCGTTGACTGGGCCGGGGAATCCATATTGGAAGAGACCGTTGGGATCTACGATTGCTCTCCGAGCTGCGGCTGCGACTGCAGGTGAGGGGATGGCGGGGACGGCGGGTAGAGGCGCTGGTCGACCAGGCCCAGTTACAGTCGTCGTGGTAGTGGTGATTGATGGCGTAGGTGGAAGGCTGTCCTTCTTCGTCGAGTAGAGCGCCGCAGTCGCTGCTGCTCCCGCGGCTGCACCACCAGCAGCAATTAAGCCCAAGGTGAGTTTAGACATGATCAATGTAATTCAATCTCCAGAGACGTGGGTTGTTGGTGAACCTTGGGGTGGATATGGAGGCCTCTTGTGGGCTATAGAGAGCTCTCACGGGTCCAGCGTCCTTTACGGCGCGTGAGGAATGTCTCGGACGCGTCTACCCGTGTTCGTATGCTTCGCTGGCGCCTGTTCCCTCATGGTCATCTGCATTTTCCACTAGGAGAGTTCGGCGCTTACCACATGCACGCTAGCCTTGACAGCCGCACCTGCATGGATATTCGACATCACTGACAAGTCATCAAGTCCAGCAATTTTGCGGATTCCTAAAATCCGGGCAGCTCTCCTTCATTTCTCCATCATCTGCAGTACATAGATGGTTATGCGGGTTTAGATTGGGAGCATCATCCCATAAAGTGTGACGCCACACCGCCAACATGCCTTCCTGGATATCGCGAGCCACTGAGTCTCACAATGCTCAGCTTATCACGACGGCCGCCGTATCAGGCTTCGTCGTGGGGAGTGCGATTCTCGGATTCCAAAAGGCTCGACGGATGACAAGGGTCGCGGATCTGAAAGCATCGATTCCAGATCTCAGTGACGATCATCGCGCGTCCAGAGTGAGTACCTAGATTTCTGATCGGCTGCATACTTGATCATTCAATTGCCGCCTGAGGACTCGCTAACTGAACTCAGTTAACTGAATATGGCGCTGCTTCAAATGTCTTTGCTCCAAGCAAGGAAGATGAACGGAGTATGGCATTAGCCGCAAGAGCAAGGAAAGGCGATTATGACGATGGTATAATCTCTCCATTGAAAAATGCCAGCCAAACCTGACTAGTGTGGCAGATCTCATCCTTGAACAACTGGCGAGAAACAGAGTATTCCTCACAGATTCCGGCATAGCCAAGTTGAGGAACGCTTTCGTGATTGTCGTCGGATGCGGAGGCGTCGGATCACATGCGACAGCCGCTCTCGCTCGGTCAGGATGCTCCAAGCTTAGGCTCATCGATTTTGATCAGGTCACGCTCTCTTCGCTCAACCGCCATGCTGTTGCTACTTTGGCAGATGTTGGAACGCCCAAGGTACACTGTCTCCGAAAACGACTTGAGCAGATCACTCCCTGGACGCACTTCGAATGCCGGAATGAACTCTTTGGCGAGCAAACCGCAGCAGCACAACTAGCACCCTTGAATGGCCAACAGCCAGATTTCGTCATTGATGCGATCGACAACATCGACAGCAAAGTTGCACTTCTGGCATACTGCTACATGAACAACATCAAGGTCATATCTTCCATGGGCGCAGGGTGCAAGTCTGACCCTACAAGAATCTTCATCGGCGACATCTCTGGGAGCACAGACGACCCCTTATCAAAGTCTACCAGAAGAAAGTTGCGGTTGAAGGGCGTCAAAGATGGCATACCAGTTGTATACTCTACTGAGAGGCCCGGTCCTGGAAAGGCTGAGCTTCAGCCTCTTTCTGAAGAAGAATTTGCCAAAGGCAACGTTGGAGAGCTGGGTGTTCTCGCAGACTTCCGCGTACGAATTTTGCCCGTCCTGGGTACTATGCCAGCCATCTTCGGCCTAGCTGTTGCGAATCATGTCATTCTTTCCATCTCCGGTTACCCTCATGAATACCTGCCGTCAAAGTCTCGCGACAAGATGTACGACGGAATCTTGGGTGCTCTTCAAGGAGCTGAAGAACGGCTAGCCCGCGCAATCTTCAACGAGGATCCACTGGGCCTCAAGATTCCCATCACACAAGACGACGTCGGTTATCTGGTGGAAGAAGTATTCAGCGGACGAAGCATCATCAGTGGATTGTCTACACGTCTAGCATTGACGCGATGGACCAAGCCAACCCAGAGCTTTCTTGACCAGAGCACACCAGGTCAGAAGAATAGTAACCTTCAGATGAAGGACCTAGTTCTCATGACCAAGGAAGAGGTAACAAGGCATGAGAAGGAAGTGTTGAAAGGCCAAAAGAACCTGGAGGAGGTATATGACGCCGAAACGATTGAGCGTGTCAACAAAAGAATGGCAGAAGAAGAGAAGTTCCAACGCTTCAGGTAACGCACGATACAAGAAAGCAAAACAACCACTACACTCATCATGTTATTGCACAGCTATCGCAAAATTGCACTCTACAGTGACCCGACATCCTTTCCGTATCCATCCGTATCCACAGGACACGACATAGCGGATCTGAAATGCAATTCTCCACGCTTAACCCCGATGTCACCTCACCAAACCCCGCGGCATTGTCAGCTATCTGCATTAGTCGGTCCTTCCGATCATCTGTAGCGGTGACCGATATCCATCGGCCGCCGCACTAGCGCAAGGCACGCGACCAATAGGAGGAGTCCACACTCCCGCTATCTACGTGGTAGATATTTTTTCTGCTAATGACGTACAGCATCGATAGACGAAACCGGCACTCCCGCCGCGGTAGAAGCTACGCGTTATACATCTATGATGGTCCACTTGGCTATGGTAGCCAATGAGCTTGAGGGGAGTAACAACGGACTCAACCAAAGTAGCTCAGTTCCGTAATTCATCTGCATGGATGGTATTGAGGCTCTTCTAGACGGACGAAGCTTCAGGCCGACGAAGCTTGTAATGAACGTCATATTGGAAGATCGGCGGAGTTAACGGTTATTGCTAGGATATAAGTGTCTGTTCACTAACCCGGCAGGAGCAACAATTCATCCTTCTAAAACTCGATCCGACACCAACACCCCATAAAAGCCTAACACCTCACCACCACAAACTACATCAAACTATACAATGGCGACAGACACCAAGTTCGAAGGATGGCTCGGCAAGGACAAGGAGAGTGTCAAGGGAAAGATGGAGTGGGGCCAATTCGAGCCCAAGAAGTGGACTGAGGACGATGTTGACATTGAGATTTCTCACTGCGGTATTTGTGGATCAGACTTGCACATGCTGAGCAGTGGCTGGGGACCAACACCCTACCGTATGTTTCTTCATCTTCCCACAGTTATACTCTACTAATTGTTGCTAGCCTGCGTCGTCGGTCACGAGATCATTGGTAAGGCCGTAAAGGTCGGCAAGAACGTCAAGCACGTCAAGGAGGGCGACCGTGTCGGTGTTGGCGCGCAAGCACGCTCATGCCTTCAGCCTGACTGCCCTGACTGCTCAAACGGCATCGAGAACCACTGCCATCGCGAGACAGTAAACACATACGGCTCCATCTACCCCCGCGACGAGGGCAAGAGCTACGGTGGATATGCTACACACAACCGCACCAACGGCCATTTCGTCCTGAACATTCCCGACGGCCTAGACAGTGCGGATGCCGCGCCTATGCTCTGCGGTGGAATCACCGTCTACTCCCCATTGAAGCGATACGGCTGTGGCCCCGGCAAGACCGTCGGAATCGTCGGCGTAGGTGGCCTGGGTCACTTCGGTGTCCTCTTCGCAAAAGCCCTCGGCGCAGACAAAGTCGTCGGTATCAGCCGCAAGGCCGAGAAGCGCGACGATGTCCTCAAGCTAGGCGCTGACCTCTACGTCTCTACCGACGAAGACAAGGACTGGCAAAAGCACAACGCACAAACACTTGACCTCATCGTCTGCACTGTTTCCAGTGCCAAAATGCCTCTAGATGGCTACCTCAGCCTACTCAAGACCCACGGCACCTTTATCCAGGTCGGTGCTCCTGACGGTGGCGAGCTACCTCCTATCAACGCCTTCACCCTTCTCTCTGGTGGACTCAAGGTTGGAGGCTCTGGAATCGGTGCTCCATGGGAAATAAAGGAGATGTTGGAGCTCGCGGCTGAGAAGAAGATCAAGCCATGGATTCAGAAGAGGCCGATGAAGGAGGCCAACACTGCGATTGTGGATATGGAAGCCGGAAAGGCGAGGTATAGGTATGTTCTCGAGAACTAAGCAAGGAACATACGTCGCAAAATAGCTTTTTACTTAATGCAAGTTATTCAAAGTACATTTCGAGAATCTGATATTGGTGATGATATCCTCGCTGTCGGGGTTGTGTGATGCACTTCTGACACTTGTTTGTGTTGTAATCGCTAATTCAAAGCGGAACCGCAATGTCATCTCAAATTCTTCTGGTCTTCTTCTCATGCCGCCCTTGCCTGAACGACGTCGATGCTCCGGTAATAAGCGCATTGCTCTCGCACTCTAACCTAGATCCACTCTTCCCCGCAAATAAGATCGGCATCCGACGTCGGCACCAAGTGACACGACAACATAACCTTAAGAACCCAAGCTCCTACCGTTCACCTCTCTCTCATCTTACCAACAACAGAACGGAAACACTGTAACAACATGCCAAATACACAAACAATCGAGGTCCCTCACCTGGGTGGGATATCAGCCGCCTACCAAACATCCGGTCCCGTGGATTCCTCAAAGCCTACCCTTATCCTGATAAACTCCTTCACCACGTCCTCTGAGCTATACCGCGATGCATACAAGAACGAAGCACTCACTTCGGTGATGAATTTGGTAGCTATTGAGCTACTAGGCCATGGGCAAACACGTGCGAAGACTGAGAACTGGACGTACTGGGACACTGCGATCATGAATCTACAGGTCATGGAGAAACTTGGAATTAAGAAAGCGTTTGTACTGGGAACGAGCCAGGGAGGTTGGGTAACTGTTCGGATGGCGCTATTGGCGCCTGAGAAGGTATGTCGTCTCCCGAGATTGTGTTCTGTTACAACAATATGGGAAGTGAAGCCTTGTGCTTTACTGGTGCAGCACTCCGGTAACAATATCAGAAATACTAACGTAGTAACACCAAGATCCTCGGCATAATTCCTCTAGGAACATCCCTGGACTACGAATCCCCCCGTTCTCGTGACCTTGGCTGCTGGCACGCTGTCGAGCCCCTTGCTGAACGCATCACTGGCGAATTCGGCACCGCATCCAACAAGTCCACTCCCAACTTCTCCCCCAGCACCGATTTCTGCAACTTCCTCATCGATGTGGGCTTTGGGAAGGAGGAGTGTCCGGAAGATGTCCGACGCTTTTGGAATGACGAGATTAAGAAGAATTACCAAGGGGATGAGGGGAGGAGAAGAATCAGGATGTGTGCGATTAATTTGAGGGATCGGGATGGTTTGCATTTGAGGTTGAGTGATGTGGTTTGTCCGGTATTGTGGTTGCATGTAAGTGGAGTGTTGTGGAAACGTTTCATGATAAAGTTCCGAGCTGACGATCAATTCTAGGGAACTAGTGATGTGGTTTACTCGGTTGCAAATGCTAAAGAGGAGATTCAACTCTTTACGAACTCGCCTGATGCTAGGTTGGAGGTCATTGAGGGTGGACAGCACTTTTTGAGTGCGTCGAATCCCAAGGAGGTCAATGAGCATGTTGTTGCGTTCGTGAAGAAGTATGGCAAGTAGAGGAAGCATTTCCGATAGTTGGTCAATGGAGTAGACTGTTTTGAGCCAGAACAATTTAGCCACTTTGCAGAAGGTTTCCATGAGTGCAGTCTTAGTTCTTACGTGGAAGTGCCATGAACTCAACGCATTCTTCCTCATCTTATGATAATTGCTATTGTGTTTATAACAGAGCTATTACCGTAAGGCTGATCGACAGAGTCTGTCTCACGAAAGAGGGTGACTGTCGTTTGGCTCTTGTGTTGCGACTGGTTGCACATCGTAAGCATCGCCACGAAGGAGTATACGAAAAATCAACATGATGAACATCCGGTGTAAGAAATGGTCAGATACGTACTATATCATTCCCAACATCATACTTTACATAACAAGGGGATATGTACGGCGCTTACTAAGTTTCATCTTGGAGATCTGGTTGTAGCATCACAACATGTCCGCTTTGAGCGGCAAACATGATGTGAGAATAAAGAAACAGTGGATGCGTGATGGCAGTCGAATCTAACGACAAACCAACAAGGCGAAGACAAGATAGTATCACACCCCACTACAAACGAACATCTTCGGCTACGCAAGGCGGCTATGTGGTCTTATTCTAGATATAGCCAACGTATGATGCGTATATGATTGATTGTTTTTGTTTTCCAAGCAGTCTTCGCCGAATGTGTATATATATGCATATCAGTGTGGCAAAGGGTGGGGATGTTGAGTCCCTACACACACAACGCAATGCTTTTTGCAATTGGCTATGATGTATTCCGGCACATGTTCCAGATCTGCCCCGCCCATTCCGGTTCTTGCAATGGTGTTTACTTTTTGCGCGGGTCGCGGAACACTGCCTCTCTCCACATCGAACACTTGGACTTAGCCCACGGCAAAACGGCTGGCATGTCACACTTGTAGATTTGGTCCGTGGGTGCCAGAATATTGCTTCTGAACGGCGTTGCTACAACGCAGGATTCGCGGGAGAACCATGGAGCTAGCTTGATGCCCGCTGCATGAAACCTGCAATAGCGTGGCAAGCCGGACCGGCAGCGGTGATGCGCTTCGGTGTATGACCATGAAGAAGGAAAGTGCGAAAACTGGTGATCCTCGGGCGGGAGTGGAGAAGAAAAGCAATCATTTCGGGAGCAATCGCATCTCCGCGACGATGACAGGGCAAATCTGCATGGTCAGCTACGAACAGTTACGAGTCAAACAAGGAACGGTATCGGCAAGCCTGCTGCATTCCTTCTACGTAACGAACGTTTTCTTTTCCTTGCATGGCGGGCGCCGGAGGATGCAAAGCCTAACCGTCGACGCACCTTCGATTTTGAAACTCGCCTAACATCCATGTCAACAGCTGATACTTTCCAGTGTAGAAGGTGATTGGCGCAACTACACCGGAATAGCCGTTTGGTAAGGTATGACAACCCCTGTCGATGCAAGGTGGCCGAGAGATCGAACCGAAATCCCGCCCGCTCGCCTCGCAGAGGAAAGGCTTTCGGTCCACCGTCCACCAACACCATACTAGGGTCTCGACTAACGCACGTGCGTCAAGACGCGAAGGGCCTGCAAAAGTTGGGCATTCGTGAACAGGGGGGAAAGTTTGACGAGTCACCAACGGCCGCCGCCGCGATCGCGGTGAGGTCGAGACTTTGATTCCGGTGTGTCACGGGATGAGCGATCAAACATGGGTTGAGAGACGACGTTGAGGTGATTGCCGTTTGACATTGATACCTGTTATCATCCTGGATGAGAGATCATTGGCTTGTCGGGTTCAGATCTGGATCCATGGACTTGGTACTGACATTTGCTTTTCTGGCTTCTCGACCTGATGTGCGTCGTGGGTACTCCATGTAGTCAACGAGTCCTGGTAGCGGAACAAGAGACGGAAATCAATGTGTAGCATGTCTCCGATGCATTCATCCATGCAGCCCCCTCAGTTAAACCCCGTTCCTGCGTATGTCCGTGACCCATGGGTCGCCGCATGAGCATGCGTTTGGAGATTCAGCACTAAAGTAAGACTCGATGTATTGAAGGCGTACGGCCGTCTTCGCGGCACAACGCATCGTCCCCAGGTTCATCCTGTTGTTGATGGATGTTGGGTGGGAGACGGGATGGACACGTTTTGCATCCTGGTCATTTCGGCAGTACCGCCTTGCTGTTTGCTTCATTCCACATGTGCCGTGTGGGGAGGGGTCATTGTTGAAATGGACAAGTGGGCCGTCCAGACAGTGGGGTTACTTGTTGGTACTTGACTTGTTTCCAGGCCTTGACGTCAACAGGCCTTTGTAACGGATGGCAGGTGCGACAAGCACATACTGGCGGAAGCCGTTACATGTCAGGTACAGCCCACAGTACTGGGAGCCTGCGCCCTGCAATGTTTCTTAGAAATCTGTAAGTACGATGTATACAGACCAGCCGGGTCATGGCGGATTGCTTGAAACGCATGTGGCCAAAGTACGTTGCTGCAGGCAGTATCTAGATAGTCGCCGGCGCTCAGTGCTGACGAACTTCGCTCATCCCGGAGATGCAAGTCTTGATATTACTTTTGATTGTGCGGTTGCACTATTCTCAGTCCGAGTGACACAAAACCAGTTGCATCCGATGCACAAGCGAGCAGTTGGTGGAGAGTTTCACGTAGTTGTTGGTCGCCTAAGACAGAGGCAGCTAGAATTGCCGATCACGCCTCGCACCACGTACTTGAAGTTGTGTGAACGAAAAGTGCTTTCGTAGTTGCATGCACTCGTGCACAAAATGATGATCAAACCCCTTGCATGCCGAGATGAACGATGCGTGTATGGATGTATAGTGGTAAACTTATAGACGTATAATGATGCCGAATTAAGGTGAGGGGTAATGCGCCGAACACACCGAAGCAGTAGCTCTGCCGGCTTTGGTTCGTACCGATAGCATCCTCTCGCGGAATTCACCGTAGTGGAGTTCCAAGACAGCGTTGACTAAGTGCATGTGGAGACTTACAATAGTGCGCTTGTTAAAAGACGCACATAGCGAGTAGCAGGTTCGGGGAAGGCACGAATGCGGGTACTTGTATCCGCATGGCGCTATTGAGCATGCGTGAACGTGCCAGTTTATTCGAGTAGCGTGGAAAATGCAATAGTAAGTATGGCAAGGATGTGATATTCGTGCATCTAAGTGCGTGTAGCCAATCAATCGCTAAGCAGCTGTGGTATCCTCTAAAGCATAGATGTGATGATAGCGACGCCCCAGTCCCTACTTTTGCAAGCCTAGGGGAATCTGCGCAATACAAGGAAACGTAGACCGTTTTGGTATCATAAACCCAAGAAGATATGTAAAATGAAAGGAGCCGCCCAAAGTGGTAAGAGTTAAAAAAGAAACCCCCTCCGGCCCTAGTAATGAAATCGCCAAAGAACAGTGTGGCCGTGAAGAGAAACAAAGAAACGTAGTACCAAAGAATGATGCGGTATGATACAGGGTATATGCAAGCAAATGCGAAGAGTTCGAAGAGTCGTGTGCCAGATTAGTTCTCCTCCATCAATGCTTCCTGGTCGCCGGTTTCGCGCCACTCGCGCGCACGTTCTGATAGGCGCTTGACGCCGGCAATGCGCTCTGCCCAGAGAGACTCGGACGGCGATCTAAATGTGTATGCACGCTGTGATGAAATGACACCAATGGCCTGTAGCACCGCCTTGCGCGAATCTCTGCCGAAGACTGCAGGGTGATTAATCCATTCGAGACTAGATTCAAGTTCTGCGTCAAGGGCGTACATAGTTCTGACGTCGATACCTGCTGCAGGAGTGAAGGGACTGTCCGCGTGGGGAGAGGGCGTTCGCGCACGTAGGTCGCCACTAGCGCTGTGAGTTGTGGGTGATGCGGACCCAGTGCTGCCTGCTGCACTGGATGGTTCGTTGCGTCGGTGACCAGGAGGTGGTAGTGGTGGTAGACCTCCCTTGCCGAGTCCTTTTAGGATACTCCGTGTTTCTTTGAGGAGATGGTGGGCGCGTTCGTGTTGGCCGCGCGAAACAAGCGTCAATGCGCGTGTCAGCATATCTGATGTGAGCAACTCCATACGTCGCTGTACAACATGAGGATGAGGTGGAATAGGAGGTGTTGGTGGTCTTCCTGTTGTATTTCTCTTTGGTCCGGAAGGCAGCAGAGTAATGGCCAGTAATGACGGCCGTGGGAGATGTGAAAGGGATCCCTCTCTTAGGATATCGCCGTACGTGAGGTCTGCCTGGATTAATGGTACTTCTTCAACGCTGAGCGTGCGCGACTCGTCCTGGTCGAGTGGTCCACCGAGAGCCTCCAAACCAGAGACGATCGACTCCCAGGGGTCCTGAGGAAGCTGTTCTGGAGAGCCCGTATCTGGCGCAATAGCTAGTTGGACTAAGATGTCTCGCTTGTCGCCAAAACGCAGGTCACCCAACGCCGCTTCAGCGTCACGTCCGGTAGCTCGTTTGGTGATCTGTAACGCACCACTGATTTTGACAAACTTGGCAGGAGAGCCTTCTGGCAGTCGCAACTTCAGCTTTACGTTCTGATGCGACGTAGTTTGGAGTGAACCAAGGCACCCCGCTGCACACTCGCGAAGCATCATCCAGTCCTTGACGTATGTGTACGAAGCCTTGGTTCGTGTAGAAAGTTCAATCATGGTGTCCGGTTTATGTGTTAGTCCAAGACCAAAAGAATGAATGGAGACCCTGGATAAGCGTTAGTGGTGATCATGTGCATAATAGTATCGAAGTACTTACTTGGCAGCCTCCGCGCGGGAGATGACAAAGTCAACGCTCTCGGCATCCGAAGTAGAAGAGTCGCTAATAAGCAAGATGCTAGAGAGGGGGTTGCTGGACTTGCGCTGCATGAGCAAGTCCATGGCTACATTGGCTCCATCAACCACGTCCGCGCGCAGGCTCTTTTGTCCTACAGGGCGTATGGAGTCGAGCACTTTGGGCCAGTCTCTCCAAGCCTTACCAGTCATCCCAACAATGGGAACGCCGCCGCCGCTTGAGCCGAAAGTGACGAGACCCATACGGTCGCGCTCA